CTGCAAGGCTTGCTCTAGCCCCGTAGCACAGGTCAGCCGTTCGCGGTATTTGCTCCGTGGGTTTCTCTCGCAACCGGCACGAGAAGCTGATGGGAGCGATGGGAGCAGCAGCTGCAGATGGGAGCGGGTGGGAGCGGTGGGAGCAGAACAATCTGGAAGCCAGTCATCGGGAGTTTAAATAAAGTTGACCAGCAGCATGTCCTTGCTGGCGGGAGGGAGGTAGCGTTAAGAGATCCGACGAGCGTAAGGGCTGGAGCGCCAACCCAGAGCAGCAAGATTCAGGGCCACAGCCTGCATCTCCAATCTCACCACCCAAGCAGCCAAGATCCCCCCCGCCACTTTCTCCGCCCAGGCTAGGCCAGTCCAAATCGCTCCTCCGTCCGCTGTTGGCAAGCCCACAGAGCCGAAAGGCGAGGCGAGTCGGTCGATCTCACGATCTTCCCCCACATGAGCCTCCACGTGGATGTGATGTGCAGCAGATGGCGAGACGCCGGTTTTTTCCACGTGCCCATAACCAAGACAAAACTGCTCCCACAATCAGGCTTCCCCAGAGTTTCTCCTCGTTGTCTTCGAGCGCTTTTCCGCAGCCCTTGGGCCACCTGCTAGCAACATCAGCACGCGCATACCGAGTGGCTCCCCCAGAGACCCTTGCAGCAGCCATAATCCACCGAAGCCCATGTGGATGCCACCGGCGTGGATCCAGTTCAGCCGGCATGTTGCTGCAAGCGTACGATTCAGGCAAAGGCGATGGAGGTTGTGCGTTTTGGAGGCCTGCCATTGGCTGGCTTGGCTCGTGTTTCTCACCGAGTTTGTGAGGCACATACGAAATCCGGTAAAAATCGCCAAACGATGCAGACCTGTCGTATTTTGACTCGCGGCGGAAGAATGCGCATGTTAGAATGAAGCTGCGAGGCAAATGCGTGAGGTTATTGCGTGAAATTACTAGTATGAATTGCCCGCTGCCTGAGGTTAGTACTACTAAACGGTGCAGCAGAGGTACGTATCTTTCGCGTTGGCCCACATTCTCACAGCATTTTTTCCCGTTTCACCTTTTCCCATTCTTGGTCTCAAAAATCAATCAAATGTGGCCAAATCGTACCGCGAACTCCATATGGTCAATTTAGCCCCGGCGGTCCCTCTTTTGCATAGGGAATCACTGGCTTAGATCGCGCTAGCGGCATGAACTTTGACAGAGAGGCAAATTGATTCGGCCCTGCTATTCAGTCCACTACAGCGCTCTCTGATTGCATAGCAACATACTTGCCTAAGTAGTTTTTGCAAAATTTCTTTCATTTCTTGCCGCATAACATTCCAGCAAACGCCTTATCCGAGGCATTGAGAGCCACTCGGCGAACTTTTTCCACTAACATTGTAGCTGCTTTACTAAGGTTGGCGCTGTCTTTATCTTGGTAATCTGATGGTCTGCCATATCGTCTTGAATACATGTAGCTCGACACACGCCTGCGTACTTGCATTCATAGAACTTGGCAGATAGAGTAGCGATATGTATACATCGAATAATGAGCGATGGTGATATACAGTAAGTCAATCTCTCGCATTCTATGAGTCGGTATCCTAGCGCCCCAGGTTTTCTTTGAGAAAAGAAGGGGCTTGTTGAATATAGCATATCATACATGTATGCATGTTATGGGAGGGAGGGATTAATTTCGACGACTTCTAGTTGGATTTGCAACTTTCTCCTTTCAGTAAAATAAGCCTATGATCTTCAAGTCGCACTATTAATTCTTCTTATTTAAATTAGAAGTGACTAAACTGCGGAATACATACATCCTTTTCGATTTCATTATCCATTGCACTAGGTGCGCAGCTAACAAAAATTGCCATATACCAATGTGCAAATCTACCCTAAATTTGTCACAGTTCATTTCGAGGCACTGTATATGTATCACTTGAAGTGGCCAGCTATTCTCTTCTGTAAGCACAAGAGAAACTTAGAACTCGCTATTAGATGCGTTGGGATTTATTAGCAACGCTAGAAAAACATATCTCATGAGCTACTCAAACGGCTGGTACTGGGTGCGGTATTCAGTTGTGCATTAGCAGTCAATCATTGGCACTTGCAGCACACCAAGCAGAAGTCTGTGCTAGGATAGTAGGGTAGTGGCAAGGACAAGTTTTATCTACGTGATAGATAAATAGATGTATAATTGTGACTGGATAATTTGTTGGCCCGACTCTATTTACACGACTCTCCCTCTAAATGGACTGACTTGTTCCAATTGAAGAGATTGTTAGGATTTAAGCTTAGATTTGCAAGTATCTTCTAAGAAACTGTAAAACGAGGCAACGAATATCATTTCATTGCCCATATACTTCTTCATATATCAACTCTCACTACGAAGTTTCTTGCGCTCCTAGTCAAGTCGCGGTGCTATTTCTTTCACTACCTAGATTGATAGTATAAAGTCAACATACTCGGATAATGGAATCAAGCTCTTTACTTCACTCTGCAAAGAGACATAGCAGGCTATAAGCTTACTCAAGCAAATATGCGTGTTGGAATACACGCTTAAATTTGCCTAGACATATTAAAAAACGACCATAGCTTTAAAGGAAATCATACCCTAATCTCTTGAAGCACGTTCAACCAATCCAGCCAGTAGTACAGATGCCACCAGGTACGACAGTAGCTCTCGAGTGAAGTAATGCCATACACAGTATAACATCCGATCACTATAGATCTTCAGTGTTTACACATCGTGCAAATAAAGTCTCGTGAGAATGACGTTTTCAGACTTGAATGTCAGGGATTGCCTGCTGATCAGTACCAAAAGACTCCCTTGGTGACATGCATGACGATGTAACCATAAGGGTGATAGGCAGACACACTGGCCGAGTGGCGCCAGCCTCGCAACACCTTGTTCCTATCGCCAGTGCCGATCATTAACTATCAGAGCATTGAAGTGATTACAGCTGTACAGTAAGTTCACGGAGGGGCTACAGTGTGTGGGTGGATGGTGCTCAGCAAGACTGATGCTGTTTCTGTATGTATACGCCAAGTCGTCCATCACTGCGTCTTGTCTTGATAGACAAAACCAAACAGGATCGAAGCAACGCAAGTCGCCTGTAGTTCTTCAACAAGAGCCAAGGAGAAAGTTAGAACAGCTATTAGGTGCTGACAATATACCCTTAACTCCGCGTACGCCACAGTTCGCCAATGGCACATTCCAAAATGAAAGAAGCTTTGCATAGCATGGCCAGCCCCGCTCTGCGGAACTTGTAAGTGATTTGTAGGAAGCTCTAAAAGACAGCTGCATATGCGTGGTGATAGGCAGCAGAATTGTTTGCTGACAGTTCCACTGTTGATGCCCGCTGCATAAAGCGGACGGAAAAGGTACCGGACAATCTGGCAATTGTTGACGGGGTTCGGTGTTGATCAGGGTCCTTGCACCTTACATTTTCACTGACTCGAGAAATCAGGCACATCATCATGGTCACTGCTTTTCAGAACGTATCGCCATGTGGAAATGAGAAGCATTCCGTGAACTGGGGCGCCGAAAATCCGGGGAAACTGGAGCATGAAAAGAGCGACTCCAGAAAAACATGGCGATACCCACCGCATTGACCAATCTGTAGTATTCTGGTATTGTCGAATGTTACAGTACGGCTCACGAGTTTGTTCAGCGGATGGAGTAACTGCGGGGAATCATGCGGAGAAATGGACCATCTTTAGTTGCCGATGCTTTAGAAAATGGCGGAGCGAGTAAAGCGAGTATCGGTAAATGATGTATCGTCATTGTGCTCTCGTCTTGGAATATCCGTCGCCGATCAGCTTCATCACGATCAAGCTACACCTTGTCGCATACAGGTAGCTGGGAGGAGCGTTGATAATGACGTCGGAATATGGCCGGAAATAGCCAATGGCTTGGCTGATGGCTGCATGGCTTTGGGGAAGCATCGGGAGAATTCAACCAGAGCCGAGCTAGGCTCACAAGGATGGCATCCTGCGCAAATCATTTTATAGGATTTGCCGTGGCACCAGCCCAGAGAAGCTTTATAGTTATTACATCACAGTTAGACGCCACGGCTACCATCTTTGGCAACCCCGATGAAAGGTAGGGTAGCCAGAAGCTTGAGAGGGCTCCGAATTCCTCATGAACTTCGGCGGCGCAATAATCTCCGAGAAAGTACCGCTTCGACGCTGGGCTCTTTGGACAGGTGTGGTGGGAGCAAAGAGCCGTTTAGCAGCAGCCGCTCGTCTTTTTGTGCGCGCGCATGAAGTCATTTCGAGCTTGGCCGTGCTCACCACCAAGGATCCACGACCCTGTCTTCTCCAGTTCTCCAGTTCCCCAGGTGGGTCGAGATGCCTCGTGGAGCTCCAGTATTGAGCCATGAGGATACCACGAAAACAATGAAAAGATCCGCTTTTCCTCCAGGCAACGAGATTCCCAGACAAAGCGACCTATAAGTGATGATGGCGGCCCTACAGTACGCAGCCTCGCGCCGGAATACCGTGCTGAGTGTGCAGGAGAAACCAAGGTTCGGGATCCTGGGACGCCCTCTCGAGGGGTGATCGGCGTTGATGGCGGACAATGCCTGCTGGTGCCGGCCCTTAGATATCACAAGAACAAGCGGCCTTGAAGCATTGCTGGGGATTAGGTTGGTGGCTGACGCCTCCGGTTGGAGGAGTTGGAGGAGTTGGAGGAAGATGGAGGGTGACTTATATGCGAGATGCGATAAGGGGAGATGTTATAACTGGGATGATATTCCCGAGAGCTCTTTTTATCGTATGACATGACTATGTATAATGCTCTCGAGTCCCCGTGAAAAGGTTCAAATGCCTATTCAAGCTTGAGCATCTCCAGAGTACTTGGAAACAGGGATGCAGGTGCAGCTGGTCTTCTTGCCCATGCAACCTCACTTACACGCACTTGTGCTTTCTGACTCTTGAATGCTGTGCGTGTCAACAACTCCAGCTTTGACTCATCATCTCGCCCAAATTCATTATTGATTATTGGAACCAAGCATCTGTGCGCATCATGGAGAAAAAAGAGGATATCAGCTCTCATGATGGCGTGGAGAACGTGGAAGACTCGCCTCGGCGTGGCTCCTTTGCCGACATGGACAATCTCTCCGCCGTCTTCGAGAATCCTCTCAAGCAACGCACCAAAGAGGAGCTTCTCAAAGACGTTGCGGAATTCTGCCGCATCCACGACCTCAACGACCATCTCGATGACTTCCGCAAAGGCGCCCTGGCCGCCCAGAACCCGGAATCCTTCCAGTCCCTGCCAGAGCTCACCGCAGAGGACAAGAATATTATTGAACGCGAGCAGACGCACCGCTGGTCTCATCCGTTTATGCTCTACTGGCTCTGCTGCATGTGCTCCATGGCCGCTGCAGTGCAAGGCATGGACGAGACAGTCAACAACGGTGCTCAGGCGCTGTACTTGGCAGATCTCGACATTGCAGGCCCAAATGTCACTCGCTTCTCTGCATCTATGCAGGACAACATTACTGGCCTCGTCGTTGGCGCTCCGTATCTCTGCTGCGCTATTCTTGGCTGCTGGCTGACTGAGCCCCTGAACAAAGTGCTCGGACGGAGAGGAACAATCTTTATTTCTTGCTTCATCGCCGCTGTTGCGTCAATCTGGGAGGGCGTTGCCAACTCTTGGGTGAACCTCTTCATTGCTCGGTTTGTCCTTGGCCTTGGAATCGGCCCCAAGTCATCTACAGTGCCCGTCTACGCCGCCGAGTGCAGCCCAGCTCCGATTCGAGGTGCCTTGGTTATGCGTAAGTCTCTATTGCGCTGCTTATTCGTTCGGCTTACAGTGAGGGCTAACTGAGTATACAACAGAATGGCAGATGTGGACAGCTTTTGGTATCATGCTTGGCAACATAATGGGTGTCGCCTTTGGTCCATCAACTGGCATCAAGCCTAGCCTCGGCTGGCGCCTCATGCTTGGCAGCACCGTCGTCTTGCCCCTAATTGTCTGTGTACAAGTTTATTTCTGCCCAGAGTCCCCTCGGTACGTTCTATTCCGACACGTAATACTTCAATATTAGTTCAAGCTGACATTTTGGGTAGTTGGTATATCCAGCATAACAAAGTGAAAAAGGCCTTTAGGTCCTTCCAGCGCCTTCGACACTCCAACGTCCAAGCCGCCCGTGATACTTATTACACCTACGTCGGAGTAGAGCTCGAGAGAGAGGTTAATAGGGGCAAGAATCTCTTCACGCAGTTTGCTGAGCTTTTCACTGTCCCTCGTAACCGTCGTGCCACATGGGCAACTTGGATTCTTATGTTTGGGTGAGTGATGGCCCCGAACTTGATCACTTGAATTCAGTGCTAACGAATATCTTTTCTTCCATCTAGCCAACAATTCTGTGGAGTCAATGTTATCGCTTACTACAGCACCACTATCTTTGTAAACTCTGGTTACTCCACCAACTCGGCTTTGCTTGCGTCGATGGGTACCGGTATTCTCAATTTTGTATTCGCTATTCCCGCAATCTTCACCATTGATAGATGGGGTCGTCGAAATCTTCTGCTCTTTACGTTTCCCTTCCTCTGCATCTTCCTGCTATGGACTGGAATGTCATTCTTCATCCCCGATGACCCGAGCAACATCAAGAAGAGAGTTGGCATGGTTACAACGGGCATGTATCTTTTCGAGGTCTTTTATTCCCCAGGCGAAGGCCCGGTGCCCTTTACATATTCAGCAGAGGCGTTCCCAGTCCATGTCCGTGACGTGGGCATGTCGTGGGCTACCGCAACAACTTGGTGCTTCAACTTCATTCTGTCGTTTACCTGGCCATCGCTCCAGAGATCCTTTACCTCTCAGGGTGCATTTGGATGGTATGCAGCTTGGTGTGCCGTTCTTTGGTTCCTCATCCTCCTCTTTGTCCCCGAGACCAAGGCACTTACCCTTGAGGAGCTTGATCAGGTGTTTGGCGTCAGTACACGCAAGCACATGAGCTACCAGATCAAGAATGCCTTGTGGCATTTCAGAGTTTGGGTTCTGCGTCAGAAACTGGAGCCTCTTCCTCCATTCTACCGCCAAGCTGAGAGGCTGCACAAGTAGAGATGGAATGCGATGACACTGTTGCGTTAGCCCGATGCTGGTCTTAGAGGCATTACACTCATCGCTGGATTTTGATGAGAAGAGAGAATGACGGTAAATGATGCTTGTCTGTAGGGGCTCTTTGGCGTGTTTGGGTAATGGAGCTTTCTGTATTGCTATGATACCGTGTGCTCTCACAAGAGTCACCTTGTTAGCTGTATAATAACCGTAATGAATGAGATACGAATATGCGTAACCAATCCTGTCTTTTGCTGTGCATCGTCTGCTTGGCGCCAGGTATTTGTATGCTGAATCTGAACTAGGCTGCTAACATTCCATGTAATCTCTCCAATAACGAGGAATTAGATAGCTAGAGTTCGCAGTAGATTATCCAGATTCCGTTTGATAGAATGACAGCCATGCATGAGTTGGCGCCGCGGGTGACTCACCGGCGGTGAATTTGGGGCTTAGGAGCGGCTGTGCTGATCTAGGCTCAAATTCAATACTTGGTGTATCATATAACACCTAAGAAACGCTCATCGCAGAAATTATGATGAAATTTCATCAATTTAATCTCAAAAGCAAGTCTTTCTTAACAGCAAATTGTCAAAGAGAAATTAGCGGGCTTCACCTGTTGTGCTTCTCAGCGCTGCGACACTTACACAAGAACAGTTACATCCCACGCCGCGTGGGAGTATCACATCATATTCTACCAATTTATACCCAACGAAGCTACAGTCACAATACTCGCGCAATGAAGCCAATTGTGCTTGACGGCCGCACTGGAGAAGGCGGCGGCCAGCTTGTCCGTCTAGCTGTGGCGCTGGCAGCAATTACTTCGCAGCCGGTGAAAATCACCAACGTGAGAGGCAATCGGCCAAAAGGTGGAGGTTAGTTCGATATATCGAGCCTCATATCACGTCTACACGCGTACTTCATTCACTAGAGATGCTAAAAATCACTGTTTAAATATCACCAGGCCTCAAGAACCAGCACGTCGCAGCTATTGAATGGCTCGCCCAAGTCACCGAAGCCGACGTCGAAGGTCTCAGCGTCGGCTCCAAAACAGTGACCTTTACACCTAGGCGGCCCCCCTCTGAGCTATTCCAGCGCAACATATCCATCAGGACTGAATCAGGCGCTGCGAGCACGATGCTGGTCCTTCAGGCGATGCTGCCGTTTCTGGTTTTCGCGAGCAACGATTCAAACGAGCCTGTGGCTGTGGAGCTTTCGGGTGGTACGAATGTAGCTTTTTCGCCGAGTTACGAGTATTTCGATCAAGTGCTGGCACCGACGCTGGAAGAGCGGTTTGGCGTGAGGATCGAGCGGGAGCTGAAAAGTCGGGGTTGGAGTCTTGGAAAGCAGTCCTGGGGATCCATTTCGCTCAAGTTTTATCCGATAGCCAAGGGCGAGAAGCTCAAGTATGTGCCTCCGCCGCAGTACAGCTTCCCTGATTCATTTGAGGTGAAGAGTATCGATGTCAGCATCATCACGCCAATGCACTCGCACAACAAGCTTCAAGAGAGGATAGCAGAAGACGCTGGAGTTCTCTGGCCCGGCGCCGACATCAGCTTCAAAACAGTCGAGGATTCGTGCGCCGATAGCCGCTGGTCGGTGCTTCTGGTTGCTCATTCGGCGGACGGCATCCGCTGGGCAAGCGACATTCTCACATCCGCGCCAAAGAACACCAAGGGATACGACCGCTTCATATCACTTCTATCCAAGAAGCTGTGCAAAGGGTTATATGAGGAAATCTCTCTCGGCGGAGTCGTGGATGAGCATCTCCAGGACCAGCTGATCTGCTTCCAGGCGCTCTGCGACGGCCCATCATCCTTTCCTAGAGGAGACGATCCCGCCACGGACGGTCCGCTCGGGCCGCTGATTGATGCCATGGGGAACCTGCAGGTTGGAGACGGCAGGATGAGGAGGGAGAAGACGCTGGAGCCGTTTGGCCATGGCTCGCTGCACGCGAGGACGGCACGCTGGGTTGTTGGCGAGCTGCTCCCCGGCGTGGAGTTTTACAACAGGGGAGATTTGGTCAAGGGGATTGGCTTCTAGGCGCAGTGAGCCATGCAGTGAGGGTTGCAGTGAAGTTTTAGCGCTTATGAGTGAATGCATCTTGATATCGCGTCTATAGAACATGATTGTTGATTCTTTGCTAGAATAGTCGTATATAAGAGCTGGTAGACGGAAGATCCAATCAGAGAAGCGCCGAGTCATGCATGTAGCGTCCAGAAGGAAGATCAATCTTGAGAAGCCGTTACTGGATTCAATAAGAGAAAAGTAAATAGACCGTCTCCAACCGACAGGAAAACAAGTAGACGGGGACAATATTGAATCCTTGAAACCCACTTTCTGGGCTAGATGTGCTTCGCTAAGATCTCCAGATCTGACCGCGTGCAGGGGGGGGGGCCAAATTTTTTTCACAGATTTGCCTTCTGGAGGATTCCATCTCGTCTAGCCGCGCGCGTTGCTATATAATCAAGCAAAAAAGACTCGCTATTGCTATCAATATCAACCCCAGTTCAAGCTTGGGTACAAGGATATTTCCTGTTGTTATTATCTAGTCTTTCGCTCTTATGCAAGCTAATGGGGTTCAGTAGCAACCAATTCGTAAGAATTGATCAGCAAAAACCCCGGAGTTGCACATGTAATACTAGTATATCCGCACTTGTAAATGCCGTGATAAGCCAACAGGATGGGGGCCCGCCGGCCTCGGGAGTTGATGCAGGACCCGCTGCGGAAGTAATATTAATCTGCGACCTCGGCCGAGAGAGATGTCAAAAGTCCCAGCTGAATAGACAAGTCCAGAATTTGGCCGTCAATTATCGTCCAGTAAGCTGTTGATCCTGCGAGTTCATGAGTCAGATGAGACAAGAGTCTCACAACCTCGCGTCGTAGAGACTATCGAGGCGGCTGGATATTATACCCTCGCTTACTTGTCTCAGGTTGCTTGAGTTGGGCATTATAACTTCCCTGATTTCCATCTTTCTACGAGTTTCGTTCCCATAATTTGGTGTCTTGTTTGCAGCTGGCGAGTGGTGCTCAACTCCTCACCATGGAGACGACGATACCCCCGATTTCAGAATCCGCGGCGGTTGCTGCCGCTGTCGCCAGCGCGAATAGAGACGAGCATGCGACCACGGTCGGCCAGGCGCTGAAGCGGTATCCCAGCGCCATATTCTGGGCAATTGCAATGTCCTTTACAATTGGTAAGACTTGAACTGTTTGGAGAGCTCAACTCTCGTTTAAGTGACTAACACGCGAATAGTCATGGTTGGCTACGACACAATCCTCATGGGCAGTCTTATGGCATACCCCTCATTCGTCGAAAAATACGGCACATACCACCCAGAACTCGGCGTCAAAGTCATTTCTGGGCCCTGGCAAGTCGGCCTCAGCACGGCGGGATCCTGCGGCGGCGTCTTCGGCATGATCATCAACGGCTTCGTCACCGAGCGCTTCGGCCACCGCAGAGTCACCATGGTTGCGCTCGCCATCATGACGGGACTCATCTTCATCCCCTTCTTCGCGCCCAATGTGCACGTTTTGCTTGCCGGGCAGTGCCTTCTCGGGGCGATCTGGGGCATCTTTTCCATCATGGGCGCAATGTACTCGTCCGAGATATGTCCCCTTGCGCTGAGAGGCTACATGACTTCCTTTATCAACCTCTGCTGGGTCATTGGCCAGCTGATTATTGCGGGAATCCTTCAAGGGCTTGTGAACAATACGACCAAATGGGCTTACAAGATCCCCTTTGCGGTTGAGTGGGTTTGGCCGGTTCCTCTATTCTTCCTCGCTTGGCTGGCTCCTGATTCTCCGTGGTGGCTTATTCGACAGGGTCGGATTGAAGATGCGGCGCACTCTTTGAAGAGGCTATCCCGGGGACTTAGTGATGAGCAGATTCACCAAAAAGTACTCATGATGAACGACACAAACAGACTCGAGCAAAAGCTGAAAGCGGACGCGAGCTACTGGGACTGTCTCAGGGGAGCCAACTTGAGGCGCACAGAAATTGCCTGTTTGTCGCTATCATCCCAGAGTCTGATTGGACAATCTTTGGCGTACAATGCTACATACTTCTTTGTACAAGCCGGCTTGTCTGCTTCCGATGCTTACAAAATGAACTTTGGTAACATGGGCATCGCCTTCGTAGCGACTTGTTTCTCATGGGTACTAATGACGCATTTTGGCCGGCGAACTGTGCTCTTGTGCGGCTATACTTTCTTAACATTCGATCTCCTCCTCATCGGCGTTTTGTCCTACGCCTCTAACAACTCAGCCGCGAAATGGGGCCAGTCTGCCTTGGCGCTCGTCTGGCTGGCTGTTTACTCTGCTACCATTGGACCGCAGACGTGGGCAGTCGCCTCTGAAGTCTCGTCAACCAGATTGCGAGCCAAGACGCTCTCGATTGCCGGCGTCATTTACAACATCGTCAATATTGTCGATAATACAATCGAGCCATATCTCATCAACCCCACGGAAGCAAACTTGAAGGGCAAGACGGCGTTTGTTTGGTTCGGAATCAGCTTCTTGGTGACGCTATGGGCCATTTTCCGCATTCCCGAAACGCGGGCAAGGACGTATGGAGAGCTGGATGTGTTGTTCGAGAAGAAGATTCCTGCGTGGAGGTTTGGAACGGCCGAAGTGGAGGATGATATCACCATCATTGGGGACGACGAGTCTCAAGTGAGGGTGGAAGATGAGAAGCGAGATGTGGTGGAGCACCAGGGGGCGGCCACGATATCATGAGTTATGACTTTACGACACTGATCATTATACCCATCGTCACTCAATTTAGCATTTTGTTACTTAGTCACTGCTAAATAGATTAATCATTTATAACCTGGGCAGAAGTAGTTGACTGGCGGCTCGGCTTAATCTGTAAAATGTTTGTTTCATTTCCAAAGTTGTACACTATATCCAATTCGTATATAAACCGTTCCTCAATATCCATATCCACCCATATCATAACTCCATATAAGTTCATATATCCTAATTCCAATCGTTAAAGAGTATTTGCATAAAAAATCGTTCCCTTCAGCGCAATAAGATAGCCTACCATAGCCGCCTCTGATAGTAGACGGGCTTGTCAGACTGCGCTAATCTCAAAATCTCATCCTTAATCATCTTTCTGCGTTGTGCTGCTGATATCGGAGCCTTGTTCTTCGACAGCGGATCAGGGTTCTCGACCGCCCACGACTTATCAGCCACGCTCTGTTGAATCTTTTCCAGCATCTCAAGTTGCTTCTTTGTAGGTTCTCCATTGGGCACTGCAACTGGAGCTTCTTTCTGTTCCTCCTCTTTCTGCTCCGCCTTGGGCTCAGTCTCGGGCTCAGATTCTACCACTGTCTCTTCGACCTGAATCTCTGCATCCGATACCCGAGCCTGACCCTGAGATCCCAATGCGCGAGCTTCTCTAGACCATCGTTGACCTTCGGTTTCCAAAACGATCAATTCGCTCTCTTCAATGTCCGCGAGTGCGCCTCTGAATTCTTCGGGCAGATGCGCTTTCGGCGAGTGACGGGGCCGAATAGCTGCTCGAAGGTCTCGCAGGGTACGCTGCTGGATCGCATAGCCACTCAGAAACAGAGCACTTGTGCAAAGGAGGACTGTATACAAGCGATATATTAGACATTTTCTGCTGATTTTGAGGACCAAAGCACCTTGAGGGAGAAAAGCTGTGGCGTACTCATAGTGGCTGTGGCCAGCATAGACACCTGACCAGAGGTGAGGAGAATTCGACGCATATTGAAGCTATTACGACAAGGATGACAAAATTTTCGTGTAATCTGTACAACCTAGAGACGATAAAAATACTAACACGCGATGAGATCCCGCTCTATCTGATGCAAATTCAAGGCATGAATGATCTGGAAACACAAGACGGCAGCCCGCGTATACTACGGCTGAGGATCTGCAGAGGTGCATAATCGCGCTGTTGACCCAGCAACTATCTTATCGCACCCCGGATACCGAAATCTAGGCGCCTTTACGCGACAGCTACGATTGCAGAGTCCATCCCGACGTCATCGCCTCAGTTCCTCTCTTTCCAGCATCTTCAACAATGTCAAAATCAAAAGGCGATACCGTTCAGGCCGATGCGCGGCGCTTCCTCGACGAGCGCGGCTCAAATGCTGCGCTCGCGCCAAACGGTCTCAACCCAGCGACCATCATGGAAAAGGCCGTCAAGGACCGCATCGTCGACTCGTACTTTTACAAAGAGCAATGCTTTGCATTAAACGAAGCCGACATCATCGATCGAGTCGTCGAGCACGTCAACTTCATAGGCGGCACGCACGGCGCCTCCCAAAAACCCAGCCCGTTCCTGTGTCTAGCGTTCAAGCTCCTCGAACTGGCACCCAGCGACGCCATTATCCAAGAATACCTATCTTACGGCGGAGAGCACTTCAAGTACCTGCGCGCACTGGCATGCTTCTACGTACGGATGACGAGACAGGCAAAGGACGTGTATACAACGCTGGAGCCCTTTTTGCAAGACAGGCGGAAGTTGAGGCGGAAAGCGAGGGCGGGCACTTCGCTTACCTTTGTGGACGACTTTGTGGATGATTTGCTTAACAAGGATAGAGTGTGCGCGACGAGTTTATGGAAGATGCCGAAGAGGGAAGTACTGGAGGATTTGGAGATACTGGATCCGAGAGTTAGTCCGTTGGGAGACATTGAAGATTTGCTGGAAGAAGATGATGAGGGAGGGGATGAAGGCGAGGCAAATGGAGAGCGAGAGGAATCTGGAGAGGTATCAGAAAGAGAAGATATGGAAGTGGACAGGGAAGAAGACCGGAGAAGTCGCAACAGATCACCTTGATCCTGCTGTTGACTTTAAGAACGGAAAAAGACAAAGAATGCGCAACTCGATCGCTGCTGCGATCCTGCCCTCTCTGGGCCAATGCCACGATGCCCAATTCCAACCGCCAACTCGATGGATTAGCGCAAAGATCATGCTTTGAAAACTATATGGAAGAAAGGGTCCTTTCTGGGCGCATGCGGGATCAACAAGTGGAATATAAATCTCCGAGTCCATGGAGCTGGTAACAGGCTCTGCATTATGTGGAAAAGGGTTATAGGGTTGTTACTACAGCCTCTTTCATCAGATACCATGAACCACATAGGAGATCTAAAATACCCATTCAGTATATAAGAGGCGAGATTGGGTCTCAAAATGATAAGATAACATAGATGAATCGTAAAGCATCATGGATATATAATACAAGCCAAATCTATCAACACCCCTTTTCCTTTCCGCTGCTTTATGCAAACCTTTATACATGTTCCCGCATTGCCTCATACTTCAATCAACTTCACCACCTTATCTGCCAATGTCAGTAGCCTCCTATCATCCCAATATTGCGCAATTAACTGAATGCCAGCTGGGAACTGATGGCCTTTTTCGGCTTTTACTGGAACGCTAATAGCAGGCAGACCAGCAAGACTAGCAGGGACCGTAAGGACATCATTCATATACATGTCCACACTACTTCGCTTTTGAACGTCGCTCAGTTTGGGCGGATACGTTGGCGCGGTTGGGGATAGCAAAAAGTCCACCTGGAGAGGACCTTGTTTGTCCTCCAAAGCAGTATCCGCAGACATCTCGCTCAGGTCGAACTGCCTAGGTTCGTACAGCGGATTGTCCAATTTGAAAACTCTGTCAAAGTCCCGCTGGATCAACCGACGGACTTTCTGAGCCTGAATAAAGTAGTTATCCATGGCTTCGGAGCTTAGACTATAAGTTCCCAGGAGAATTCGCCGTTTCACTTCGGCTCCGAAACCAGCACCGCGAGCCTCGGAGTAGAGGGTTTCGCCGACTGCATCTCCTCCGGGACCGCGAACGCCGTATCGTACTCCGTCATATTTGGCCAAGTTGGATGATGCCTCTGCCGGGGCGAGAATGTAATATGCGCAGAGGGCTTCCTTTATCGATGGAAGAGATACGGGGACTACACGAGCGCCCTGTGCCTCCAATGCTGAAGCAGTAGCAACCCAGGCTGCACGTATGGAGGGGTCTAGCTCGTCAATGTTATATTCGACTGGTATGCCGATAGTAAGCTGAGAGAGATCTGGTAGCGTCGGAGGACAAGCCTTTGAACAGCGCTGACGGGCCGCAACATTCAATGAGGTGGGATCATGAGGATCATGCTCTTGATATAGGCCGGTGTCGAATATAAGGTCTTGGATCGGCTCAACATCTCGTGCAAGTAGACCAACGGTGTCCAAGGAGTTTGCATACGGAACGACGCCAAACCTTGAGAGCATCCCATAGCTCGGCTTGTATCCAATAGTGCCGGTATATGCTGCCGGTAGCCTGACTGAGCCACCTGTGTCGGTACCAAGCGCAATGTCCGCCTCGCCGAGTGCCACCGCAACTGCGCTGCCTCCGGAGCTGCCTCCCGCAGATACATCATCACCAGTTGCTGCTAGGGGGTTGCGAACGGGTCCGTGGACAGAGTTGACAGAATGCGATCCCATTCCAAACTCGTCCATGTTGGTTTTCCCAACAACGGTTGCTCCACGTTGCCGTAGCTGGCGAACAATGGTGGCCTCAAAGGGCGACGCATGCTGACCCAGGATAGCTGAGGCGCATTGCGTAGGGAACTCTTCAGTGACGATGTTGTCCTTCACAGCTAGTCTAAAAGGCTTCGCATTGGGTATCTGTGGCGGCAGCGGTGAATTTGGCTCGGCTTTAGCTGTAATGCACTCTCGTCAGTAAGGCTGAGGCTTGATATATATATCATGTTACTGACTGCTTGCCACAAAGTGATTGAACGTGCTCAGCGAGCGCCGCAAAGGCACTTGGCCGATGGATGGCTGGATGTAGCTGTCACGCCATGTCGTCCTTATTAGAGCCCTACGGCGAACGATTGCCGCCGTCATCGTTGGCGCCAAACCATCAATAACCGGTTGTCAAAAGCTGCAAATGTTCAGATCAAGATTCAAATTCGACCGTCGAATAGCATGACTGCTAGTTCAGTAGTAACGGCACATGTTAGTGGGCTGGTGGGGGCTTGAGCCAGGGAAGCTCCCCGCCGTTGTTAGTGCCAGGCACTAGCAATCCTCCCTATGCTATAATTCTCTGGATCTCGTGCTGCATACAATCCTCGATCGTCACCACGTACCAAGTCACGACAGCAGATTTTACTGCGCGCTATTTGAAGATACTGCCAATGTCCCCTCAGAATCCTTCATATCGGTAGCGAATATGGCTACCAAGCGGGAAATCGAAGATCAAGACCGCGATACGCCCGAACCGCAGACGAAACGCGCAAAGACGCATGTTTCCAAAACGCGCCAGCACCAGAACTCTGGCATTGATCCGACGTGGGGGCAGAAATATGTATTTTCAAGTAGGAAAGATGCCACTACCATACCAGAAGGAGAAGAGTCAGAGTTCGAGGATGATTCTGACGCCATGGCATACCTGATGTCTGTAAGGTAAGAAGAGACCCTTCCCTCCACGCAACCTTGTGGTTTGCTTCCCGAGATTGCATCTGCTGAACAATCATTGAACATCTCAGACCGCATTTACTGATATGGTGAGTACTTAGACAAGAAGCTTCTTCTATCCCGCATCTCTTGGTCGCTCCAAAAGTCCAGATTGGCCCCCAACTTCCACCAGAATATGATGTAGAGGCCGACGACGATTCCGATGAAGAAGATGGTGAAATCGACCCAATATTCGATGCTCATGACACCCCTACCGCACCTGATTCCAAAGGATTTTACGAAGATGGTGCTTATATAGGCATATCAGAAGGATGGGGAGACAACGATCTCGAGCAAGGCGAGGACCTTGATGAAGAGGACCCTGCTGTTGTTCAGAAGGCACTTAATGAAGCATATTATGCCTCTATACTGGGGCAGTATCGTCGCACTCGCGAAATACTTGACTCGAAACTACCCGATAATGCTGCCAGCCGGCTATCTGCTTCCCAGGCTACAGAAGCAGCTCCATTTGGCCGCCATTCTCCCACCACTCGGCTGTGGACCCGGCTCCTGCAAACTACCGACCCTCATCCTATCCAAGTGGCCCTCATGTCCAAAGATACTATCATTCGAATTTTGCGTGTAATGATTGGCGGCAAATTCCTTCGTAGTGGACACAGCATCCCTCAGAGGACGAGTCAATGGCTGTGGGCCTTACTTGCTAGGCTACCTGAGCTGGGGGAGCTTAACCACACGGAGGTGGGCTGGATACGTGACTTGGGCCGACGAGCAGTGCTTCTGGGAAGAAGTCTGGCGGAGATGGCTGCCCTTCGAGATGAACTTGCAGATGATGGATTTGGCGTGAACGATAATGTCGATGCCAGCAGTAGCGATGAAGAGGTAGTAGCGGAGGCTGTTGAAGAAGGAGAAGAGGAAGACGGCGATGAAGACGGCGATGAAGAGCACGGCACTCCTCCAGCAACTGCAAACAAAACGGCCGAAAATGAAGTCTTGAACTCATCTTCTCCAGCTCCTATCGTCATCTCTCGAAATGAAAACGAGGTGCCAACTGGACACGATGACGAAGACGAAGACGATGGAGAGATCAAGGAGACAAACGACGATAGCGAGGATGAAGATGTAGCGATGGACATCGCCTCCGATTCTGAAGCTGACGAGGGTGAGGTTGTCGAGCAAAACGACGATGCTGTGGCTCTAGAGGAAGCCAAGCGCAATCTGCTCGCCAGATTGGCCGAAAGCGAGAACGAACATCGCCAGGAAGAGGAGAAAAGGGATGCTAGGATGAACATGAGAGCAACCCTGACCATGATACTCACAGTTGCTGGTGAGTTTTATGGCCAACGAGACCTACTCGAATTCCGAGGGCCGTTTGTTGGTATGTAAATGTAGATATTTGTGAATTCCTTGTATTCGACGAGCACATGTTATGCATGCGCCACTTCGAGGTAATAACTATACACCCCTATATTGATGATATAACCCCATCGTACAAAATAGTCCCTGGCTCATCTTCCCCTGCTAAGCCATGTACAAATAAAAAACAAAACAAACATTGACAGTCTCCCTGTTTGAGCGGTCATAGCAACTATATAAGCTGTGTCTTGGATAACGCCGATACGCCAAAGTCCATCCTCCTATGCAATTACAATCTTCTTGGTACAATTGTGCCCCGATGACACTTATGGAGACAGTCTGCTCTAAAAGGCCATATCCATGGCCTTTCCTTCTTGAAATCCCAGGAAGCTACCATCATCGTAATCTTCATCGCCGTCAACAGCCATGTTCTCCTGGTCCATGCTCTTGAAAGCAGAGCTGTTCTTGATCCGGGAGTGCGGGACGGCAAAAGCCCTGTAGCTGCCGGCGTCGTCTCCATCCCAGCTCTGGACCTGCAGGTCATCCTGTTCATCAAAGAATCGCTTCCTCGAAGGCCCGCTCTCGACGCTATCGGTGCTTTCTTGCGACATGCTCAGCTCCGGAATCTCGTCCAGAGCGGGGACCTCGATATCGCCGTCATCGTAGACGAATTCGGGCTGCGTGTCCAGTCCACCGACTTTGTTGATGCCGCAGAACGGCAGTAGTTCTCTTGATACTGCCGATGCAGGCTTCGCTGCCGCCGCTGCTGCCATTTGCGACGACAGCTTCACCTCGCCGGGCCGGGTGCTGTCCGTCCACAGCTTGAAGGCGCTGGGGCCGGCGGTCTTGTAGCCTTCGGGCACGGACTTGCGCACCCGCATGCCGACGCTGAGGAGGTTTGCCTGGACGTTGGCGGGCAATGGGGCTCGCTGAGAGGAGGCGTCAGCGGCAGCCGGGGATGAGTTGGTGGGCGATTGAGCGGCGAAGAAGGACGTGATTTGGCGCTGAGCGGGATCGGCTGCAGCGCCGGCGAATTGGCGCTTATTGCGGGGGGTCGACATGATGGGCGGATGATGATGAGTGATAATGAGTGATGGTGATGAAGACCAGATGGTGATGATGACGGTGCGATATAATGAAGCGCAGAGACAAAGAATTGTCGTCGAGGAGGTGGCGGGCAATTCAAAGCCGGTAATGACGAAGATGACGTTGCGTCGTTTTCAAGAAATTCCAAGACAAGGGTCTCAGTTTCTTGTCTCACTGCGGCAACCGGAAGGATGTTCCCAATTCCGGGGGCTCAATTAACGGAAAAGAAATGAAAAAAACAAGCTTCCGCTTTCGTCAAGTGTTGTGCAGTTGTGCAGCAAGAGTGGAGTGGAGAGTGTTCTTTTTTTGGTATTTTTTTTTTCTTGTTTTTTTTTAATAACAAAAGAAAAGGGTTGGGGGGGGTGAATGTTTTTGGAGCAAAATAGAGGAAGTGGGAGGAAATCGCTGGGGTAAAGAGATTTGGACAGCTTTTGACTAAGGGCCCTGTGGAGGTGCAGCCGGGTGGGGCTTAGCATTTCTTGGTCTTTTGGGGCTGGAGCTTGAGGCGCGTCGTGGCGCGACTGTTTCGCGTAAAGTGGTTTTTCCAATTGCACAGTACAATTCTTTATTTGTACAGTACGACGTCCCGTTCGAAACCTTTTGTTAGTCATCTACTGCACAAAAGCAGAACATGCAGCTTGTATCCATAACGGCGGGTCGTCAGACGAAGGAAGCAAGGCGTATGTAAGATGCATGGCATGGTCATGGCGTGCTGCGGCATAGATACCTATCTATCGGAGATGTTCTTTTCTACGGAGGTCTTCTAGAATTTAGGAACCTAGGTAGACAAATTATTTACTCAACTTTCAACATTCTTTTTGAACCGAAAACAAAACACAAAAAAATCAAATAAGATAGAGAGTCATGCCTGCTCACGACATCGCAACGAGGGCTCAAGCTCTGACTCTCAAGCTGCTTGGCGTCTCGAACCAGGATATCCAGCGGCTAACGGGGATCCACCCCAGGACCGTCCACAACATCATGGACCGGGCGATTGAACGAGGCCTCGATCTGAACAATCCGACGATTTTGGAGATTCATGTTCGAGACGGGCCGAGGCCAGGACGGCCGAAGAAGAAAAGAGAAGAGCTAAGAGAACAACTCGTGGAGCAAAGGACAGTTGCTGGGGAACATAGACCACTTATTGCTCTTCCGTCTGCTAGTAAGAGACATTCATATTCTGAATTCCATATCTTTTGTGGCTGCGTTTACTAATGTTGAACTTGTGGGTTTGATCTAGGCCTGCAAAAAGATTGAGCTTGAACGCTGCCGCTATGAGACGAAATTACAAACTTTTTAACTGAAAAATATATCTCACGATGGATATGACACTACGACCTGACGATGAAACTTTATTCATATAATGTTAATGGAATCTTTGGATTTAAGGGGCGGATTATTGTTTTTATACACACAGGATATCAATCTCCAATATTGTGGGCTTCAACAACACATGCTACTGCATGTCAATGCTGTTACATTCTCAGCGTTGTGTCCTGCGAAGTCGTATCAAGAGTAACAAGCAGATGGTTGATGTCGAGCTAATCGCTCATGACTTCTAAGCTATGGAGAGGCTATACAAACAGGAAACAGTGCCTATTTAACATGTCCTGTCAGCCTGCGACTATTTGCAGATCATTGAGCACTGGTGGTAGCGATGTACATTGGACTTGACAGTTAGATGATCAATTGCGTCACTGCTGTAGCGTTGTATGAAAGATTAGACTGTTAATTTTGTACTGAGCCATAAACCCAGATAGAAGTCAGTGAACCAAGTAATCATTGTCGTTCATGCGAGCAAATTTTATACATAAAGTAGATTTACGGAAATGGTCCATTCAGCGTCTTTTAAGAGGGACACGCCCCCAGACTTGGACAGCTGGCCGTAACATGGCATATCACAGGAATCACATGAGCGACAAAGACAGCAATATTCGTGGAAACCTTTGAATTTCGCAAAAGCACAGTGCTATCCTCCGCTACCCACTGCACCCCGGGTATGAAGCGATCCTCAAAATCAGCGGTTCCACGTCATCGCGCCTAGTCAGTTCATCCAAAGATCCATCTAGACACTCATGTGAATGCTTTCTCCAGCTGAACACCCAATGCAGTGCTTTTATTTTTTTGTTCCTGCCTCAAGAATTCGACTCTGTGGTACAAGGCGCGTAAACGGAAAAACGAGAAGAATGATGTGCCATGCAAGATATCCGGAGACCCCCAAACGCCCCTGTGTTGGGTGTTCCATCTTCTATCCGCAAAGAGATTTCGATTAAAGTCGCAAGGTAATATTGTCTAATCCCCCACGCCGATGAATGTTTTGTTTTGCAGATCCGAGATGATCACCACCATATAGCCATAAGAGTCATGAGTACCCAAGGAAAGAAAACCGCCCCGCGGGCAGTTTACTTTCTTCGGAAAGAGCATCCCTCGGTTAATCTGGCCTTACCACCGGTGGGCTGGCACAGAACGGTGGTGCATCCCTGGCAGATGACAACGGTCTGGGCGTGAGAGAAAACGGTGGTGATGGTGAAGCAGCCGGGGCACTTGACGTCCATGAAGAAGGATCGGGGCTGGGGAACAAGGGTCTAGAGAGACAGATGAATGTTAGATATCGTTGGCCATTTCGTGATGACGAGTTCGTGTTCGATTCGTACCTTGAGCTTGTGCTTCTTGGCCTCAGCGGCCGCTGAAGGGTTGAGAAGGTCAACAGCGAGAACCTGTGGCAAAATTTGGTCAGCAATTCTGTCTTCCAATTTGCATGCTCTGGTATCCATCATCTATCATTTCTCCCATCTTGTCGTCGATGCCGTGCAACGTAGATGCCTTCGATGGTTTCGACCCGACAAAAAAGTTTTTGATGCCCTCCGCAGGTGACGCATCATCATCGATTCCTCCGCCATTCCGGTGTTCCCATAGCATCGCATAGATTCCATCCTCCAGAGGCAGTGAAAGACAATTGTCGCTTACCATCTTGACTGATTATAACTCGAACAAAAATATGCCGTCGGAGGTCTTGCGAGGGTCGAGGTACTTGACGAAATCTGGCGACGGATTTGAGGCTCGCAAGCTGGAGTGAGAGGAGTTAAGCGAGGAAAAGTTCGGTGCACATTGAGGGGGCGATTCTCGTTCGCTGGCAACTCAAAATTTGTGTCCAAAACAGAATAGCGTGATAGGGTTTGGTCGCTCATGCGCACGTGACTCGAATTTGCCTTCCGATGATTGGGCCAAGCCGGAGCAGCTCCATAGCGCTAGAAATTGTGAATCGGCCACTAGAGAAAGATGGGGGTTTATGCACCGTTTGTGTGCGCAGAGCAGAGCTATGTGGGCGGTTTTGGGCGGTTCGGGGCTCATAGGCAGCCAAAAAGATGGCTGCTATTTCTGTCTGCCTGGAGATTTGCGCGGCCCCCCCCACGACGCCCGCTACAGATGATGCTATGAAGCTACTAGGTACTCTGCTGCACGCAGCTATCTAGACTCTTCTTTTGACCTTCTTCAAAATATACATCTTTCAATACCTATTCCAAACACCTGTGCCTGGCTATCGACTCACCATGGCTGCGCCTTCAGAGCAAAGAATTAATGTTCCCATCGACGACCCCAATGCCGACACCGAATGGCAAGCTGCCCCGCGATCTTGTTGATGCGCAACTCTGACCCCTCCATAGGAATGACATTCTGCGCAAGCATGGCGTTATCCCCGAGAAACCTCCCAGCCCTACTCCCATGATTGAGGAAGCCATCCTGGAGGCGAGAAGGCTTGCACATGAGAATCGACTTGAGGGAAAGGAGCTGGACGAGCTTGACGAGCTGGAAGACGACGAAGACGACGACTTTCTAGAACAGTACCGCCAGAAGCGCATGGCCGAGCTAAGCAATCTGCAACAAAAGTCCATCCATGGCTCTGTATACCCCATATCGAAGCCCGATTATCAGCGCGAAATCACAGAAGCGTCCAACAACGGCCCCGTCTTCGTGAACCTCACATCAGCCTCAGGGGCTACGAATGTAGAGTCAAGAGTTCTAACAGACTTGTGGAGACAAGCTGCAAAGGAGTATGGCGATATCAAGTTCTGCGAAATCAGGGCCAATCAGGCCATTGAAAACTACCCGGACCGAAACTGCCCTACAATCTTGGTGTACAACAAGGGAGATATTGTAAAGCAGGTTGTGACCCTCTTGACCTTGGGAGGCGTTCGGACCAACATGAGACACATCGACGACATACTTGTCGAAGTTGGCGCCGTGCCCAGTTCCGATATGCGAGTAGTCAAGAGGAGGAGAGCTGCGGAAGAGGCCGAGGAGGAGCGATTAGCCGGCGGCAAGACTATAAAGACAAGTAACATTGGGCGAGCACAGGTTGACTCAGATGATGATGACTGGGACTGAGAAGGTTCAATCTTCATCTCATCTCGACACCCCTCCGTAACCAAAAGCTGCGGAGGGCTCTTTTAAAGCTATTAAAAACACTTTGCATGCGAAGCAAGGTTTATTACGAATGCGAAAGTGAGCTCAACGGAGAGCTGTAGACTTCCTTCGCAAAACTTATTTACACACTGCCTCTTAAACCGTATACTCTGTCCTTGACTCTATTCTCGTTCTCAGCCTTGCGGACAGCAACCATCATTGCAGCTCTGTTTCTCTCAGTATTCAACTCTCCTCCTAGGACAAGCTACCATCCCCGCGAAACGTTACAGGGTGCTTCTATACTTCACAATATTCAGCTTAGCCACCTTGACATCTATGGACATGCTGCTACCCCTGACGCCGATGGCACTAGCACTGCATGTCGCCTGAAAAAATGCGGGGGCCAGGGTCCAGCTAGTCGTCGAGCTGCCACTTCCAACTCTTTTTGTCCAGCGCGAAAGCTAAAATGGAAGTTACGAGAGACAAGGTAACACAGGAAACAAGAAAAGGTTGATAGATAAAGGAGACATAAACAAAACAGAGCTGTTCGGGCAATTACAAGAAAGAAAGCTTTCCCAACTGCTAGTGGAGTCGCTCCTTCTTCAAGTGGCTCTTGTTGTTCAGAGCGAAAGCTAAAATGGAAGTTTATGGGCGAATACACCAGAATATACAAAAAGCAATCGCAATACAAAAGATGCTGTGCAGAAGAGGAAATATAAATAAACCAAGCTGTCCGGCTTCAAACAAAACCCCATATCTTTCAAGTTCATTTTTTACCAGCATATTTGCTGAAGGATCCTCTTTATATCGGCATGCTTTTCTATCCAAAAAGCCATCAATAGCACACGCGACAAGACTGTGGAGTTGACCGGCGTGGGGCCTTTCTTGCTAAGCGCTGCATGTTATTTACTTACACGCGTTGACCGCGTCTACCGCTGCTATACGATGTTAGGTTCTTCCCTTTTCAAATATCCCGTTCAAGTTCGCGTCAACCGTGGGTACTACATCAAAATCCAAATGTCTGACGAGCCGTCGTTGCCTCCGCTTCCCGCCGTATCCTGGGACCAGCAATCTCAGAACTTCTCTTACATCTCCCGCAAGCGTGGCCGTAATAACCATCAAGCTGGGAATTCCTCGCCGCTGCTATTCAATTCCAGCGACCCTGCAGTCTTCTCTAGTGATGACGACCCGGGATTGGACAATTATGTAGAGGGGCGGCCGAAGAAACGCTACGTTGGCACCTGGTTCCAGCAGCGCCCTGCGACAGACGATGCACCCAACACACTGTTGCAGCAGACAAAACGCACACTTACAAGGGACTATGACAGTGGCGTTTTTCTGGGCAGTGATGGCACCACGGATACGGATTGCGGCGATCACTTGAACTGCCTGAAGCTTCCGGCTCGGCCAAGGCCGCACCCGATCCGTATGTCGCAGGCTGAGATGGCGGCCAGGCAGAAGATAGAGGATTGCCTTGACAAGGGCCATGAATCGGTTGACCTGTGGTCCATGGGGCTAGAAGAGCTCTCCGATGGCACGATTGAACGTCTGGGCCAAATTGTCAACATACCATATGTGACCAAGGATGTGGCCTTTGTGCCAAGGGAGCCCGAGCTGAAGGTGTTCCTGTCGCTAAACAGGCTATCACGACTGCCTGGCAGCATTTTTGATCTCACACACCTTGTCGTTCTCAGTCTTCGTGGAAACCAACTTAAGGAACTGCCCCCCGCGATTTGCAAGCTGCGCAACCTGAAGCAGCTCAATTTGTCTCACAACCTTTTCTCGCACCTGCCTGCCGAGCTTCTTGATTTATTGCAATTGGGAGGAAAGCTCTCCGACTTGACCCTGTATGCCAATCCGTTCATCCAACCACAGGGCTGCACAGAGTCTTTGGAGCCCGAAGTTGATGGCAATGCCGAGACTTTTTCATGCCCTGGTCCCGAAGTAACGCACAGATATGAACGACCAATGGAGGAGTCTGAGGTTCCGCGATACCTGACCCGGTGGCTTGGCCGAAGCCCGGTGCAATTTTGTGATTCCATGGGCCAGGTTCTTTCAGATTTCCATACTGCATTAGATTCGGAAATATCAGTGCTTCCTGTGGAGGTATCCAGTAACAAGATCGGCCTCGCAGCCACATATTCCCCACAGGCTTGGACGAGCTTGCGAGGGCAAGAGACGAAGCCGAGTGCCGTACCCAGCTTACTCGAGATGGCTCTGCGGAGCTGCTACCGCAGCAGCCAGCTGCCTGACCTCGAGTTTTACATCCCAGAAGCACCTGATCATCTTCAAGAGTTGCTACGACGAGCCTCTTTGCAGAAACACATGGGTGGCCTGATTTGCTCAAACTGCCGAAAGACGCTGATTGTGCCCCCCATGCAATGGATCGAATGGCGAGAGCTGAGGACCAGCCGCTTCATGAGCAACGCGAGAGAAGAGTTCGCGATTATCTACACGAGTCCGTATACCAATGATGCGAGCGAGATAGCGGTGCCTTTTCTTTATCGGGCGTGTTCGTGGAATTGCGGGCCAAAGGATTTGGACAAGGATAAGGGGTGGAATATGCCAGAGGGAGGAAAGACCTTCAGGACAATTCATCCTGGATATTTTTAGGTGAGGATGACTTGCTTATTCCTATAATGGACGGGATTGGATGAGCGTGTTTGTTTCTGCGCAAGGCATTGCCTTTTTACAACATTGCTTGTAGTTATATGCATTGCATGGCGTTGTATGGGATATTATACAGCTTTAGAATGTATTTTGGTTGTTTCTGGGTATATAAGTATTGATATGATTGCATGGGCAGCGTCGGTTAGGGCGGGAATATAGCTACTTTACAGCGTTTCTACTTTGGCGTGTTCTTCAAGCTTGTGCTGCCCATTCTTTGATGCATGCGCTTGGCTATTCCAGCACGTACCTCTTCAAGATGGCTGAAGGTGCCATATTTGCCAGAAGATGATTTGCCGTTTAGTATACGCTTTATTTTGAAAATGAATGATCGGTTGAAAAAGAAAAACCAGAGAACTGTTTCTCGTAAGAATGTTTGAATGGTCATTTCACCAAGTAAAAGGGTAGAAGGGTCTAGATGGGTACGTGTAGCTTAGCCGGGAGAATCTCGGCGTAACTCTTCCCCACGCCCAATTTGAGGCGAGGTGGCATTTTACCAGAGAGAACTGCTGGCCACTACTCCAGGCACAGCGAAAGCTTTCCCACTTATTTTGCTCGCCAATCCTGTTGCGACACCTGAATCCCTTCCCTTCTCTTCTCTCTCTCTTGCTTTTCTCCAACTGCACGCGACTTCCTTTGCCAATTGCATTGATCCTTCAACTCGCGCCTTTTACTCCCACATTATTCATCACAATGGCCGATCAAGTCGAGGAGATTCTCGATGTTCCCCGCGAGTTCTTCAAGGACGGCGTGCAGTTCATCAACCGCTGCCAGAAGCGTACGAGATGCCACTCTTTCCACGTGTTCCCATTCGTTTTGACTAACGCGCCTTGTTTTTGTTTAGCCGACCAGAAGGAGTTTCTTAAGCTGTGCCAGGCTGTTGGCATTGGCTTCGGCGTCATGGGCGCAGTCGGATTCGTCGTCAAGCTGAGTGCGTTTCTTGCTCCTCCCCTCTGTATCCATTCTGTGTTTAGAAAGCTAACTTGTCGATTGTTTGCAGTACACATTCCTCTCAACGGCCTCCTCGTCGGCTCAGCATAAAGAAATGTCTACTCCTTATCGACGGCGTTTTTGAATTTGGGAAAGGGAATATCCGGGGCTGTGGAAATGAAATGAAACTGGATCGAGAAGAAGGGGAAGGGTTGAAAGCGATGTGGTGAAGAATCGATATCGCTGTGTACATTTTTCGCTTTTTTTCCTTCTTATTTTCACGGATATGAGTGGGATACAATAGCATGTTTAATTGATTGGCTTTGGGATATCATGAGCATTGAAAAGCGTGTGGCTGTGGGGAGTGCTGTTCTTGTGCTGGGTTGAGCTGTCGATACGTGATGTGTGCGATGTATGTTTGCGTTTTCGAGGCAATTTGATAGAGACTGCAATCGAAACGAGAGTTATGCCTGTCAAAGGATGCGTGCATCTTGATGATGGCTTGCTGTGATGATGAGAGAGGTGGAAGCTCAGACCAGCGGGCGTCCAGCACAGACGATAGAATGAATCTTACTTGGAGCATTTCTATAGAAGATATTTGAAGAGACTGTACCCTCTTGGTATATTCTGTTTGTTATTTATCTGCATCTTATTGGCTGCGAAGCGCAACCACCGGGAAGTTATATGAAGTCATGATCAAGAAAGGTCTGCCTCTACAACATGCCTCACTCAGACAATTCGACCAAACAAACCCAGTAAATCCAATAAATCAATGACCTAGAAAACTAAAGCTCTGTTGCTCCTGGGATGACATGAATCGCTTGCCAGCGAACGTCTATGCAAGGGCGTTTAAGCAAGGGAGTTACCCTGCACAACTTTGATTGGTGGCTGTAATGTAGAATCCACGAGGCTGTCTAAGACATCGATGAGGAGTCAAAGACATCTGGAATTGAAAGATATGATATAAATAAGGGAGGAGTGTCAACGTTGCCGAATGCTCTCCCTCTACTTCCTTGTTTCGGTTGTCTTGATAGTACACGATTGGTGTTGTCACATTAGTGCGCAACAGCGACAAGCAGACCTTGTTAAGTCAAATCGAGCGAAACTTAGACGACAATACTCATACAAAAATAATGGAGAAAAATATTTCCATTTCTGTCCGACCAGGCCCTGACGTTATCGAGCCTTTGGCTGAGCACAACGCAACCATCATCTTCATCCACGGCCTGGGCGACAAGCCAGAAACACTGCATGAGCCCATCGACCAGTGGAGGAGCAATGGGCATCTTGATAACATTAAATTTGTGTTGCCTCATGCGCCCATAATTCCGTTTACAGCGGTATGATTGCACTTTATAGACTGATTTGAGGTTTAATGTGGGCTAATAGGAGTGCAGAAAGCGAGCGCTTATATGCCGGCATGGTTTGATATTGTAGGCTATCCGCTCCCGATTAGACTGACGGTGCTAACCAGTGCTGTAGAAAGTTTACGATGGCTCGCCAGATGCGCTTCAGACGGATGAAGACGTGGATGGTATTTTCGCCAGTAGGGATTACATCCACAGCCTTATCGAAGAAGAAATCAGCGCCGGGATCCTGTCCGAGCGCATCATGCTCGCCGGGTTTTCCCAAGGCGGAGTGATAGCCGTGGCTGCTGGCTTGACCTATTCGCAGCCTCTTGCTGGCATCGTTTTGCTTTCGGCATGGCTGCCATTAGCCCAGAAATTCATGGAATACGTCCCTGAAGAAAATCCAAACAAAGAAACCCCCATTTTCCAGGGCCATGGTGTAGATGACCGCTTGGTGCCGGTGGGATTTGCCAAGAAGAGCCGGGAGGCACTGACGGCGATGGGATTTTCAGTTTCATGGAATGTGTACGGGTGAGTTCTTTTGATCCTTTAGCTTCTTGTCAACTTTAAGACATCAAATCTCGAAACTACTATAGTCGGTCATACTAACTAGTGCTGGTGGGCAGCCGACTGGGTCATGAGACTTGCGAGGACGAGCTGGACGATGTAGAGGCGTTTATTGAAGAAAAGCTGCTGTAGCTGGGGGTTTGGAAATGGCTTGACTTGGTGATGGAGCTTGATGGGTAGGTTTACAATTTACAGATGTAAGGTTTGATGTTGGAAATCCACGTTTGTTTGTATTGCTAAACGCCAAGCAAGATGCGGGCGGTTTCAAGATGCCACAGGTTGTGGAGTTGAACCCAAAGAGTGGAAACTGAGGGACGTGTTCAAGCGGCGCTTAGGCCGGGCCAAATGCAAGAAACCAAGGGCCATTGCGCCACTATAACTAGTGCTATGGGGATGATCCGCTGGCAGACAGATTGATCACCAACATTGTAAGCCATGCAGACAATCAATGCTTCCAGACTCCATTTCATGGCTTTTCGATGCTGGTCAGTTTGTTGAATGCTTAGCTGGAAGAAGCTGTAAATCTTCAACTACTGCTATAGGTGCCTGTAGCTAAACAGAAAAGACTCTAGTTCGTGTTCGTGGCCTTGCATATGCCCCTAAAACCACGTCACCCCCCCAACAAGGCTGCCTGCATCGGCTGCTCTACCCGCATCACAAGGGAGAAACATCGCTGAAGAGGATGAAGGAGAAAAGAGGGAGAAAAGGACCAGATAAGGCGACAAACCCTTCTGCATTGACGTCAGGTGTCATGCGTGGCGGCTTATGGATGGCCACGGCGGGCCACGGCGGGCATTGCGCCAACGGATCACGCTGCAGGATGAGACGCTGCAAGGCTTGGGACGCTGTGGCCCGTTGAGCTGTGGGGGAAGAGGCCAATAACTGCCCGAATCATCAACCAGTAGGGGCCTAACCAGCAGTAAGTAATACAGCGGAGAGTAATACAGCACAGCACAGTTTCTGCCTGGCATAACATAACTCCGTCCCCATGGGATATCTGAGAAGGGCACCAATTATTAGATGGCATGACTCTCGACTTCTGCCTCTCTGCTCTGCCATGTGCTCTCTAGTTGGTCGTGCGCCTGTTCTCCTGTCGAAAATCTGCAGCAAGCCGTGCGCTTGATCTGAAGCTTGTTGTGTAGCGTGGGCTGTGCTGTGTGGCTGGCCATTGTTTTTTATCTTTTATCTTTTATCTCCTCCCGCCTTGCCTCTTATCAATCTGCAACACCAGACTTTCCAAGACAGAGCCGAGCCGGCGACTGGAAACAGCCCAACCAGAAGAGAGAGATTTCTCATCGCTGCCATCGGCGAAAGCATTCTCTTTTCTTTTGTTAATTCTCAAAAATCGATTCTTCTACTCTCCCGCAAAGCATGGCGACTCCCACCACTTCTCGTCCCTCCAGTCCCGCGACCTCCCAGCTGCCACCCATGCCAGACTCTCCCGTCTACTCACTCGCTTCAACCGCCCTCCCCCTCTCTCAGTACAACCTGCCTCTACCGCCTCCACCTCGCCCACTGCACTCTGTCATAACAAAGGCAGATCTCGAGCGGTCGCAGGAGGCCTATGCCGATCTCCTGACCTCGGCCAAGGCGTACCGGGTTGCTCTCGCTGCTCTCTCGACGGCCGCCTCAACCTTTGGCTCTGCGCTGGAAGCATGTGCGAGACTCAAGGAGGCTCGCTCCGAGCCCATTGGCCCTGCCGGGACTGCCAACATGACGGCTAGCTTCACGACAAAGGGCCAATGTACCGCCGACACCCTCATGTCTGCGTCGGGCGTGCACCATCTGATTGCCAACCACCAGCAGATCCTCTCCGAGACCGTCTACCGCTCCTTCGAAGTGCCGCTGCTACACGAGCTCGATAAATGGCAAACCGTCATTGGCGACGAGGAGGAGACGTATCAGCACAACATCAAGGCTCAGAGCAGAGAGGTTAAGCGCCTGGAGAAGGAGGGCCTGAAGCTACATAAGCAGAGACGCAGGGATGTGGCACGGTTCAGGGCCCATCTTGTGGAGTTGACCTACAAGCTCGATGGGCTGACAAGTCTGCATTCAGACCATGCGAGGACGCTGCTGCGAGAGAGCCAAGAGACGAGCGGCCGGATCGTCGACGCGAGCTGTAGCCTTGTGCGAGCCGAGGTGGACATATTCGAGAGCTTGGCCCGGAAGGGCTGGAGTGGTGGCGGCTTGGACGACGTCTTGGAAAAGGGCCAGGACCTATTCGCCATTGAGGACGACCCTTTCCATGGTGCCGGCACGAGCGGCGGCGAAGGGGTTAAGCTCTTCTCTATCCTGCCGCCAAAGAGCATCTTGGCCGACACGGCGTCCGAGCCGAGAAGCGAGAGCTTGCTGACCGACGGGGAACGATATCAGTCGCTTGCCGCCACGGCCGCAGATGCTAAAACACAGAGTGCTGATTCCGAGAGCGTCTTCTCGGTAGACTTTAACAAGCCGCGGAATGCTCGCCCCTTTTCGCCACAGCCGATCCGGCGGGCGCCTACAGATGTGACGTTTGACTTGTTGGATAATCTTGTAGCCTCTCCGTCTCTCAGTCTGCAAGACGGCATGTTTCCACCGTTGAGCGAGAGAATCGGCGAAGAAGACGAAGAGGAAGATGAAGAAGAAGAGGAGCACGAATGGAGACCAAACGCAGAAGAAGAGCATCGTGACTACGACCATGTTGACCACGAGCGTAACGAGAACGGCCATAACGAGGACAATCATAGCAATGGAGAACAGTCTTCCGAGGAAGCGAGGGAACAGACGCTCTCCGATGATGATAGTGGGGATCTCACCGAACGTGAAATCACACATGAACACGAGGAAGAAGATGATGATAGCGGAGAAGATGGTCATAGTGAGCAAGAAGGAGAGAATAGGCTGAATTCGTTGAACCATGACTTCTGATGAGATTCAACTCCCGCAACAAACAGCATAGGAGAGGCGCCTTTGAGATGTATAGAGCTCCTTTTTTCTTCTCTTTTTCTTTCTTCCTCTTTTCTCATCCTCTCTTTTTCCTTGCGTCAGAGGCATTGTTTGGTGTTCGGTTCTATATGATTGAATGGCTTTACGAAATGATTTACCAGATTGACTTTTTTTTTTTTCCACATTGTTTGAAGAGCATGCATCATCTTTTTATGGGCGGACAAATTAGGGTTTTTTTCCTATCTCTTATACCTTTTTGGCATAAATAGATGTCTCAAAGCAAAAACAACAATATTCAAAAAGAGTTGGGGCGTCTCACAGATGGAAACTGGTATAAACAAACTGTAGACAAAATTTCCCAAGGATTCATTCCCATTTACAGGAGAAGAAAAGAAGAAACATCTTTCGTCTTTGCAAACATTATCCCCCCTGCCCCCCTTTCTCCTTTTTCGTGTTACAACCAAGCGGAACGCCCTACAAAAGAGTCCATGATTTATACCTATGTACCCCTATTAAAATGCTCATGATGTGAAAATCTCCCTCGATCCAGAATGATGCAGCTGTATTGCTCTCTTCTTCGCATCAAACATATGCGCTGCTGCTTCGCCATCAACGAAAATCGCTGTTTGGATGTCTCTTTTTGCTTTCGTCTATCTTTCCCATCCATTCGTATCATAAAAACATTCCATCCTAGCTTCGAGCTCCAAAAAAGAATGAAAAGCAAACCCTAAAACGCAGATATAACACCATGAACCAGTATATCTCCCCTCAGTCATCCTTGTCAACGCTATACACATCGCCTCTGAATAGACTAAACGTGGCATCAAGCCACCAGATAATCTTCCAGTAGAGACTCGCGCGGCCCCAGTCAAACTCGCCAGTTTCGGTTCGCGGCACCTCGTTGCCAATCATGCTGCCCGAGAACCACTTGATGATGGGGAGTGCGTTGAGAACGCGCTGCACGACGGACTGCTGCGGTAAGAGGGCTTGTTCGGCAGGGAGGAGACGGGCTTTGCGCGCGGTAGGGATGCGTCGGCAGAAGATGCTGTCCTCCTGGCCGATTTCCATGGGCTCGATGCTTGTTGTCAAGCCGAGAGGTAGGGGTTCGGTAATGGTGGCGCTTGAGCCGTGAGAGAAGCTAGTCAGGGTGGCGCTGTTCATGGTTTGGCTGGATTCCCTCGATTCGGCGGGTGACAGGTCGAGAAGACGGCTGTTAAACGTCGTGGGAAGACCTGACACCGATTTCCTCTTGGGCTGTCCAAAACTCGGTGGTGCAAAGCTCGGTACGCTCTTTGATCGCTCCTCCTCCAGCTGTTCAATGTCCGGGCACGCCTCGTCTTTGGCCGGTGCCAGGCCCCGGTAGGGCTCAGCATAGACGAGATGTCCCAGTATCCTCTGCGGGCTGGAATAGATGGCAGCATTGCCAGCCTCTGCGCTCGCAAACGTGACCTTGACCCAGTGCTCGCCGCCATCGGCGCGGTTGACCAGGGCGCGCTCCTCGGTCGAAAGGTTGCGGCGGCGCGTAAAGGCGGGATCGCGCAGCTCTGACTTGTACCGTCGCTGGGAAGAGGGCGGCTCTCGGGGGTAGTCTTCGAGGATGAGGCCGGCGAGGGATTCGTAGTGGGCGATGGCGGCGTACTGCTGCGTCGCCGAGCGGTATCCGCGCAGGATGAGCTCGACGGGCGAGGACTTGACGGCGGCGCGCTGGGGCACGGCGTCTTCCTGGGCCCCTGAGGCGGCGCCGGCGGTGGTCTTGCGCTGATTGGAGGGCGGGTTGGCGCTGGACTGGTTCGTGACCCAGTCGTAGAAGAGCTTGTCGGCGGCGGCCAGCGTGGGATTCTCTCGGCCGCGGGCGGGCGTGCCTGTTTTGGAGCGAGACCGTCTTGTTGACTTGCCAAAGGAGCCCGTTTCTGCGATGCTGCGCCGTGTTCTGGTTGTGCCTTCGTGTCTGGCGAGTAGAGGCAATGGTTAGTTGATGCTTTGAGTGATGTAGGAGTTAGAGAAGCCATACGGATAGATCATGGCATATGGCCGCTTGATGCCGTCTTCGCCGACATAGCATTCCTCGTCGGGGACGTTGTGCAGGATGAGAGGCGCCATGGCGGGCGAGGAGAAAACGACAAAATCGATTAATTAATTGCAGAGACGCGCGCGATGCAGGATGAGGAGGGCGTTTGGTCAAGCTGTCGACGGCGGCCCAATGATGTCGCGACTTGCGACGCAGTCAGTGAGGTGGATGGTGAGATGCAACGCAGAGGCCCGAGATTTTGATGCCGAAATTCTGGAAGGCGAGCTTTGGAGAAAAAAACACTAGGCCTAGCATAACATTGAACGGCAGCGATTCACTAGCCACAGGCCTGGTTCTGCGGGGCGCCACAGTTCCGTTTGTAGCTCCAAGCCTCAGATTCGCTGATGACTAGCGATATAACTTGGGTTGAGGGTGACATGTACATGAACTGCATTGAGCTTTGCATTGAAGAAATTTATTTAGAAATGTTATTATGTTCCTTGTTCTTCTTCTCCTTTCTATAGATGTTGAGGTTGTGATATTGCTTCTGTTGACGAAATTGTTCGTTCCCAAGTGAGCCACGCATTCATGTGGATCCCAGGCCACTCTTGAACAACGTATAAGTAGACAAGACTTTACCTTGAAGAAAGTGTTTCAGCCACAATAATATTGACCCCAGAACTGTTTTCATGCTAATGGTCGCATCCTATGACCTCCGAGGACGAGAAACGATAAATCTGGGCTTTAATAAGTCTTGAAACGGGCAGTTGGTTTGTGCTGCGCTGTTGCGGGTAGCTTGATCTTTGTTATACGGAGAACTCTCCAATATGCGATGCTGCATTAGGACTCTCCATGTTTATTAAACATCGTATATTGATATGGACATTTATCAATGAATAGCCAGTAAGTCATATAGAGCTACTTCGTTCTGTTAATCATGGTAAATTGGGGACCTAGTTCCACTAGTTGAGGTGACTATTCAGAGGCAATATTTATCAGGCGTGGTTTAGTATAGCAAATATATTCCTTAGACAGATTATCGAATATCTATAAGTCTCTTAGCCGCGATTTGTTAGATGAGTTAGTATATAGTACTGTTTTAGCTTGAAGTAGAGGTTCTCGCCATGCTACTGTACCTCTTGCAATATGAAAGTGCTCCTTCCAGGAAATGCAGATATCAAGGCTGTGAGTTGGGAATTTTATGAGAGTGAAGATATTGGATACATGGCCTGACTACACTCGGTGTCGACATCTGAATGCAAAGTGGCATGTGAGTAAAAGAGCTGCTCAGTAGCTCGGACACTTTGCTGTAACTAGAATCAGGCCAATCAACCAGCCACAGTATATCTTGGGCCGATCAGAGTCAAGCATATGAGATAAGCCTATTATGTGAATATAAAAAGATATGGAACGAATAATTACGTAGCTTCTTAGCAGCTTTGGAACCTTTGTTGTGCACACTTCATCGGAGACGGCGTGTATTGGGGCTTTGAAGTCGATGACTCCTTAGTGTTGGTTCTGAGTACATGTAGTTACGAAAACTACGCGGAGTATCAAGCATTTTGAGAGTTGAAGAATGAACTAGTAGACTGCAATTGGATTGTTACATGCATTGAGAGTCTCGGACACTGATACCAAAAAGGCAATTTGTATTGGCATTGCGAGCCGAAGTCGTGTAGTTGTTTCGTGGTTTCGAATTGTAGACGCTCTAGGGAGATTCTTCATACAAGCACCTCGCAGACTCGACTTACCTGCTCATCTAAAGACGCAAAAAAAGAAGTGCTTGACGAGAGTGGGACTCGAACCCACGCGGATTGCTCCACCAGGAATTGCTGTTAAGGTAGCCTTAACCTGACGCCATAACCAACTCGGCCATCTCGCCAGATGCCGCAAGATGTTGGATGTTAGTGATTCAAAATGACCATGGCTTCTCATTGGTCAGTTTGCCGCATCGTGACTGTATTGGAAACGTGAGAGATGGCTTTTTGGCTGTTGCAATAGATCTGTCGCTGTCATTTGGATATTTGATCGCTGCAATCCAAGATTGGCTGCTGGTGATGGTAAATAAGGACTCGAAAAGCAAGTCGATCCTGACGCCCTTTGTTAGTAATATCCGGTCCAGTGATGACGCACGTCGTATGAGAAATGTTTAGAGGTCATAGATGAAATCTTTTGCTGAGGGTTATTTTGTTGGTTAATTTATCAAGATGGAGTTATAGCATGTTTTTTATGGTTTTCATTGGTTGAGTGAGCATAAGCCAGGTATTGAGCTGGTTTTAGCATCACCCTGTGAACGCAGCATTAATATTAGGTAATTTGAGTAACTATATTGGATAAAAAGAACGTTGCGACCGTTGTTGCACGCCAAATTCTCGAGCCAACTTCTATAAACAGATACTAAACGTAGATGCTGTAACGTTTGAGATAAAAGCCAAATTAAGCACAATGTGGTTTCGCTCAAAGCTTCTACAGGCCTCTGGAATGTGATGCTTGACGCTGAGCTAAAGGTTAATCCATATATACTTTATGCGTTATCAATAAATCGAAGAGCATGACGAGCCGTCCGCCTTAGACTTAGTAGAACTTGATTGAGATGTATTAATGTTTCTAAAGGCTGTTATTATCGAGACGGCTAGCTATGTACCAAGCGTTGTGTCTTTACAAGCCAGAAACATATTCATTCTCATCATATACATTTGCAGAGAACGAATGATAGGCGAGCAGAAGCTGTGAGCCCTCCACATCAAATGTCACATCAAGGCACATTTAACAAAAGCCTTGATTTAGGACAATGGCATAAAAAGGCAAATCGTGAGATCATATTTTAACTTTAGCTTGAAACATGATCAACTGCGACTTCGGAGTCTCCAGGCACGCCTGTTTTGCTACATCACAGACCAGCAGTGATCTTCAGAAACAATGACGTATTGATCAAATCACACCGCTATGGCTTTACTTTTCGCCTAATTGCTCCTTGCGTCTCTAGCAGCTCGCTCTAGTTCGGCTAGCATAGACCTGAGTTTGACAGCTACAATATCGCTTCACTTACTCCACCAGACTCTAGACTCTCGGCTAACAAGCTCAATGCCTGAGGTCAATGCACGCGCTCTAACTTTAAACAGGTCAAACAGCCTCGAAAACATGAGACGAACGTGTTGATGCGAAAACGAGTTTTAAAAAACACCGCCTCTTTTGAACTTCAAACGCAAACAAGGGCGGTCCCTACGCGATCCATCTTCAGCCCTACTTCAATCACGGCAAAGTCCGTCCACTAACAAGACATCAATACATGTATACTCACACCGCCTCACGTCTCATTCCTCTGCCTTACATCTCTTGCATGGAGTTCTCTGCATCCCTGCCTACATATCTTTCAGTAATCCTGCGCATTCAAGTAATCTGTTCTCTTCTCATTCCAACGCGTCTCACTCAATTCACAAACCCCGTTTTTAAACTCTGATATTACTTAACGGGGGTCTGTCTTGTTACCATCCCACTGGAATCCCTCTCCTCTCACACCACGTGGAGCTGACAGGGGTCAACAGCAGCACATCACCCCTGCTGCTCTTCAGGGTCCTGGGTCTCACATCATGCTCACCGACCTTTTTAGGATAGATTTTTCGAGATTGGAGCAAACAAGTGGAAAACAAAAGAAAAGAGAAAAAATAGCGGCGGTACCGGCAGATTGGGCTGAGCCTCTCCAATCTTCGTCAATGCGCTCGGATTGGCCAGACTAAAATCTGTTGGTAGGAGCAGAAATTTTAATTCAAGCTTTTGGATAGCTCGGGGCCTAGCTAACATCCAGACTACGGGGCGTCCAAGCTACTAGAAAATTTTGTCAAGCGTTTTCTTTGCTTTTACTGCCTTTTTACCCTTCTAGACCGAAAAGTCTAATTAATATGACTGCTAGTGCCCATGCACTATCTCGGAACTATCTTTAGATCTCCAATTGTCAAAAGAACCGAAAAAAATATTGAAAAGAGATCTAGATCCATCTCAAGCAGGGTTGACGCAAAGTCGTACTCGGGCATCCCCAACATGCACACCTCAGCTCACAACAATGTAACCCCAACGTGTCATTCCCAATTCCACGGCTCCCCTGAACAAAAAGAAAGGAGAATTGTTCCTGAAAATTACCGGATGCCGGCATATTTCTCTTGCTGGCTGCAATAAGCTTCCAATCTCACCAAAGGTCAATTACTCGTGCCATACCACTGGATGCGGAAAGTTTTCGGTCCCTCAGCCTTATCTTTAAAGCCACGGGGGATTTGGAGAGCTGTCACGCTCCATAAAAAATGGATGGGCTATCTCAAAGTTTCTCCGTAGAAGACACTCAGACGCCATCGTTGATGCTAAATACCACAGGTTGCAAACTTACATAACACTCATTCACCATTCACCGTTGTGTATTAGACAAACCTAAAAGGCTATTTGGAATATACGAGCACTTACACATAACTCTACTTGCACACAAAAAACCCAATCATCACATCCATCAAAAACGTAATATGAAAAACAAAAGCAGTTGACAAAACAAAAAACAATCCCGCTGATAAGCATCCTTTCAAACTACACTAATACGCTTCCCATTCGTATCTCGTATCCCAATTCTCACAATTCCCATACCCCCCCTTGTTATTAATAGCACCGCCGCCCTTCTTAGCCGGGGGGCCACACATACTAACTCTTCTTCCGGCCTGGTCCCCCTTCAAACATGGGGCGGTGTTGCCGAGCCTCGCCCAGTCCAGGTCACGATGTGGGAAAGGGAAAAAAAAAAAAGTCTTGGCTGGGGAAAAAAAAATTCAGTGCTGTAAGCTAGCCAGGGGCATGTCGCGTGGCCCGGCAACTCGTACCTTTTTTTTGTGGTTTTACGCACAGCGCTGCACACTGACTCTATTGCCGGCATGTGCCGGTATGCCGTTTGCCCAGAGCTGGGGTGGAGAGTCAATGACGACGGTATACCCTGTCCAGCTGGAAAGGCCAAGCCTCATGTGCGTGTCCGGCGGCAGCCAAACCGAGTGCCAAGCTAAGAACGAGAAGAGGCGAAAGCGAGAAAATTTTTTAAGTCACAATGGAAGCGGGCATCAATGACGTTGTGGTTTATGCTCTTATATTGATATAGTCTTGGAGCAATGATGTTTCAGGGACTATTGCCCTTTGAGTATGTATGTAGCTAAGCTATGAGAAAGTAGACAAAAAGAAAAATGATGAACATTATAAAAAAAAATTCAAATGATAGACGTATTGTTGCAGTTGGTAGTAGTCGTGGTGTTTAGGGTCCACCCCCCTCGGGTATCCAATGCCAGTCAAGTCCCTTCCCGGCCGTCGCCTCGTTCCCAAAGTCCCAAATATCAGACGTTGATGTGAAAATGCAGTGATGCAAACGTTGATTCTCTTTAGTGTAGCCATATCCGAGGCCGTTTCCAATATCCCAGAATTCCTTCCCATAAACAAAATAAATAAAACAAGATGAGATATTGTAGACTCCGAGGTCTTTGTGTGCATAGTGTGCTCAAAGTGCAGACGCTGAATTTTCGAGTTAAAACGCTTATGTTGGAAAAAAATATATGCCACGAAGTGAAGATGTATACTGGTAGGAGAAGGTGGTTGTGCTGTTGTAGTGTGGTAGTGTTGTTATGCCGATGCATTATCGGGCTTCAAAGGTGTCCATGTCTTCGCGATTGAAGACGATGCCTCTTCGCTTCCAGCCCCCGCGTCGGACGTAGTCCTCAAAGCTGTCGACAGGCTTATATGTTGGCCTCTTGGGAACGGGCGCGGCTGAGGTTACAGAGCCAGGGGTAGATGCGCCAGCAGCTTCGGCCTCTTCAGCATCGGCAATAGCGGCTGAAGTGGGCTCAGACATGCTTGACACGGGAGTGAGGTCATCCAGTGAGGCGATGGTTGATGCAATAGTAGAGTCAGACCAGCGAGACTGGTTGACTGGCTTCGGTCTACTTGTGATGTGCATGAAGAAATAATCATGTGGCTCCTCTGAAGCATCATAGTCGTGGTTGCTGACAGGGCTTGCATGAGGTAGCTCCATGGTGAATTGTGTCTGGTCCTCATCCTCACCATCAAAGTCTCGCTCAGAGGCTTCCAGATCGCTGCTCTCGGCATCTTCGCTGTCGTAAAATGCTGGCGCCGACTCATAGTGTTGCCGATCAGACATGATGAATGGCCGGTCATGCAGCCGCTTAGGAGGGTAACTTGAGTGAATAGAGAGTCCGTCGAAGCTGGAGGCAGTGCCGGTGCTGGTTGCCAGGCGAGGCGTATGCGCGCGGAGAGTGGATGATGATGAATCTGAAGAGAATGACTCGGAGAGCGAGCAGCCAGAGAATGAAATCTTTCGAATGTGCAGTTCGCGGGGCTTGGACCCCCGTCGCTGGCCAAGGCCGCTGAAGATGGGCATGATGGCGATGGTTGTTGTATAGATGGTTTGGTAAGTCGATGTGGGTGTGAGTGAGTTGCGTGGGTGAGTGTGAGCGGGTGAGTGGGTTGGTGTAAGTCGATTGGGGTATAGTAGTAGAGGCAAAACAAATGGCGATGGTGTTGATAATATATGTGCTGGTCAAATGGCAAACTCAATCGGGTATGCAGCTAAGGCGGAACGATCGGGCCAATAAAGTGTAAAAGCAGGTGAGGAGGTGCTGTGTATGATGTAGTCGTGCGTATGATGGGCGTGTCCGGGCACACACGAATGCAGGAGGTGGCGAAACAGTCGATCAGAAGCGGTTGATTCGTCTGGAGGATCTATCAATCCAAAACGCTGCCGATCGTGTCTTTAAAGCCTCTACGAGCCCGAGTTCGAGGGTTAGCAATGCGATGCACAAGACGATCCGGAGTGCCGAGAGGAGAGGGCTGGTACATATATGTGTGAATCAATCATGATGCGGAGGCGTGGGCGTCGGAGCCCGTGGGCGTGTGGGCGTGTAGACTGTGGCGGGCGTGTGAATTGCCGGGGTCTGATAAAGTCCATGTGCCTCGCATGGGCATCGGATGGAGCCAGGATGGAGCCTGGACCGGGCGGTGGCTTTGGCCGGCTCTCGTCCCTCGTCTTCGTACGAGTACCTACCTGCGAGGCCTGGAGGTATCTTTCTGTGGCTGCTGAGCAAAGCTGCGATGGGCGTCGACTAGGCATTACAGCAGCCTTGGCTTCTCCACACTGGCACTCCGAGTGCGAGACTAGCCGTGGTGATGACTCCAACTGAGACCCGCGTTGTCCGTGAACCTTGGAGCCGATGGCTGGCTGTGCCGATAACTTTGTTCGCGAGTTGGGACCGCCAAGACGTGGATTTTTAGTGAGAGTGGCTGTCCAGTCCGGCAGGTAACATGGCATGATGAGTTGTGTTGTGTCGTGTTGTGTCGTGGGCCAGAAGCGTCTTCCAACAGCTTTCTGGGGCTTCCCAGCTGTCCGGTGAGGCACCAAAAAAAGCAAAGAAGCAACAGTGGTCATGTCGAGATGTGTGTGCATTGACGTCTGCTTCAGCCGCAGCATCACGCTGATTGGGGCGATCCAAAACAAACGAAACAAGCTGCCCTGCATCTGCATCCTGCGTCTCCAACTGAACCAGCTTTGGGGTCCAGGCCAAGCCAACCACGGTCACCACCTCGTAATCGTGGGCTGATGACCCTGGTCGCAGCTCTGCCAGGGATCCCCCGTCCATGTCAAAACCTTCCGCCGGGCTCTTGCACAGCACTTTGTCGCTGTGCAGCATGGTAGACGTCATGCCGACCGTCGGGTTGACAGGACGAGTCTAGTACAGTAGTTGTGCCCTTGAGCCCGTGGTTGACGACGCCCGCCGTGTGACTTGCCTCTGCCCTGGGACTAATACTTTGCAACAGCATCAATAAGTACTTGTAGGTGCCGCATCCTCGCCGTCAGCACGCAAGGAGCCGCATCCAGACTCGAGCTAGCACCCGGTAGTCCTGCAGTTACCTGGCAGGCAGTAATTTCAGCGGCCTGGAGGCAATCCGCGCGCGCGATTCTCAGCGAAGCTCTCGATGAGCGATGCGATGCGACGCTGTTGGCAGCTGTGCAAATGGCGACGCAAGGGATGCCTTGGCTCCGGACGGCTCAGGCACGAGCAGCTGCGACGAATGCTGGTAGCGGCATCGTCAAACTCAAAACCTGCTAGTGCCCCTCCTCTGTGCCGTGCCCTGGAGCCATCGCTCAGGCACCGGCGTGGATCTGGCAGCCATCTGTGACGAGAATTGCTTTTTCTGCTGGCCAGCGGTGACATGGCGGTCAGCTGCACGATTAAGTGCAGACGGCGGGACACGGCACGGTAGCAGTGCAATGGGCTTTACAGAGGAATGGAGCTGGTGCGAGGGCGAATGCCATTGGCCGCCACCGGTCATGATGGCGATTGAGAGTCCATCGTGGCGGGATTGCGCGGGTGCTTGGTGTTTTAGCGAGGTGCTTTTGATGTTGTTTTTTAGTCATATCGCGCAATCTGTTTCCGTCTCTGAGCAATAGTACTGCTACTAAGCACTCATACTGCTCTACTATCATCTACTATAATCTGCTAAATCATATCGTGTACCTTGGCGAGCATCGTCGGTTCCTGGCCTATTACCTTATCAACTGGGACCATTTCGAACTCTTGCCGCAACTGCCTCCCGCTAGCGCAAAGTAGTGCCTTGTACCCGTTTATCATCTGGATACGCTAATGCACATAGTTGCAAACTGTTTTTGCTGAGTTGGCAATGGCAAGATACGTGCAAGTACGGAAATGTCTCGGGTTGGATGTAAGTGCTTCAGCAAGGTGCGAGCATGCAATGGACAGATGCCTGCGTCCAGCTTGTTTGATGCCTGTCTGCTGAATCCAGGAGATTGGAACCAGGAAATAGGATTTCTTCAAAGCAACCCACGCCCGATCATGCACATATACAATCGATGGCGCAAAAACATACCGAATCGATCACTCAGCTCATGTATCGGATACTGCATGCGCAAGGCTCCCGCACTATTGGGACAGGGCAGCTCAGCTCTCGACGGTGTTTCCGTTGCAATCGTGGCCCAGCTGCCGATCGGGCTACCCTGAGGCTGAGACTCCAGACCGATCGATGCAGCGGACGGGCGAGGGGAAGATCTGTCCCTTCACGCAGCTTCATGCAGCCTCATACAGCCGCGGGCCAATCAACTGCTCTCCATCATCCAGGTGGCCTCATTTGCGTCCCATTTACGCCCTCTGCCCTTTACTTCTCCTCACCTCCCCTCATTGCCCCCTCAACGGCAATGCTATTCTCATCAAGCGAGCTCCCCCGAGACTGCTGTGATATAAGGGCATTATGGCCTAGGCGGATCGCTTAGACGATGGCGTCCAGCAGTACAGGGGTATTGTGGCTTTGTGGCTTGGCTTGGCCGATCGCTCATTCGCTGTCATCGACTTCCCCTCAACGCCTCTCAGGAACCATGGCTGCGCTGCCAAAAGTCAAAATGTGTTAGTTGGCGAAACGGAGTAATGAGCGGGAAAATTGTCGTACGAGCCATTTGCGAATGAAATCCGACGCCTTCTGGTTAGTGCTATTGCCATGTTCTCAAGCAATTTTGGGATCTCACGGCCCCACGTTTTTGCCTTTGCCCAAGGGCTTCGGGATGCAACCAGTCATCTTGTCAAGATGGCTAATCTACGAAACAAGCTCTCAAAGGGAGCTCCGATTGGAAGCAGGCTGCGATGGCAGGCTCTCCAGTGGCCTCCCGCAGGCACTTTACCCTTTGCTGCTTCTCCTGCAGCCAGCTGCAGCCTGGGCAGATCAGCCGCACAGGCACCTTGCAGCCGCAATCTCAGTAAATTGGATTTGCGCCGGGGTGCCATAGCCATAGAACCATAGCACACTTACCTGTCAAGCGGTGGGCGCGATGTTGGTTGCTGGCGAGGCACACCGCATAGCAGAGAAACTGTAGTACTATCACAAATCGCTTCATGTCTGATCATCGCCGAACACTGGAGCCCGAATTTGTGACTGGCAGCCAGATATGTGCAGGCCGAGACATGGCTCACAGTTGGTCTGCATCAGTAGCATATTTTAAGTTGCCGTCCGCGTCGGGCCTTTCCACTACAAAGTGCGACAACCCTATACGCCGTTTACGACAGTAGTAGTACTAACGTAGCATTGATGTCTCTACTCGATATGTGGCAGAGGCCTTGAGAATACCTAAGGTAGTGTTGCTCAGGCCGCGACGGCCAATATGGAAAACGTCGTGATGCCCGATAGCCTGGCTCACACCCCCATCTACCCCATCCACCAGCTGGAATCTCAGCTGTAGCAGATTCATGCATCCAACGCTTCACCGCGCACCAGGCGGTCGGGCTCTAGGTAGGGAGCCAACAGCCTGGAGTATCAATCTTTTACATACAACAGGCTCAGATTGCGCCCCCAACTCGATGCTCTGAGATTGCGTTTCAATTTCCCCTCAGCCCCCCGCCAACCTGCCCGATATAGCCCATGCAGGATGCTGTACTCTATCTGGGGGTGTGCCGTAGAGTCTGCATGAATGATCACAAGGACAGTTGGCTGCAGGTACGGCGCAAGCTAGAGCTGCACGCAAGAAACATGCATGCATGAGGTACTATAGCAGCTGCAAGTCTTGGTGTGGTTGCGTCGCATGATGACAAAGCCGTGTCTTGTGCTCGACTGGACCCAGGCTCCGGGCTCTCCCACGACGACAGGTCTTGCAGCTCCCTGCGCACGCATCGCCATTATCATCGTGCAGCACTCTGTGCTAGGGAAATGGCCATATCGCCGATGTTTGTCGCCGTCCTGGCGTAAGGGAGCACCTCGGGAAGCCCGCTGCAAGGATCGCTGCCAGAGATGCAGAGGCCATCGCCGCCTGTGCTACTTGGCCCAAGCCCTCGGCGACATCACCAACGCCCATCGGCCGCTGTGTGGTGTTCACAGCTCCTCACATGCTTTGCTTTCCCTGCCTCCCCCAGGTATCTAGAGTACCGTCGCAGCAAAATCCGACGACCTGGTCGCAAGTCTGCCGACGCCCTCAGTCCCAAGCGCACGGGACGTGTAAATGCCACCCTCGTCGGTACCACGTTTCTAGACCCTCGTCGCCCTCCGTCACTTGGACATTTGGTCATTTGGACTTCCGCTATGGCTTGCCCTGTGCTCTACACCCCGGCGGCTGGTCTTTGCAACCCTTGCATACTCATCAAAAATCCACCACTCGATGCCGGTAGCCAGACTGTTGGGTAGTCCCAACTCCACGGCCTCGTTGTCATACACCGTGCAATACTCGAAATGGTCTGCTATAACAGCCACTACTAGTAATCAACGCCAGATTCCACTGCTCTGGATACACTAGCTCTCGCATGCTCTTACCGTGCCCATTGCATCTTTCCGTCGCTTCCACGGCCGTGGTAAGCAATCTCATATTTGTCAGACCTGGGTCCGCTTCACGTTGCTAGTGCAGCAGACCAACACATGCCGAACGAGTTACATACTAATCCAGCCCTGGCTCTCTGCCGCTGCTGCTCAGTACTGCTTATGGATTTCATTAGAGATCCTTCTTGTGCGGGGAGCCTCATCTGAGGGCCACAAGGCTCAAACAACTCCGCCATGGAGTGATGATCCTCCATAAGCACTGGAGCAAATGGGCGCCTCCCTGAGTCGCTGCCCAACGGCGCGCAACTCTCATTCCACCCGGCTGTCGCTGCTCCACAGGCCCCGAGGCTCTCTGTCCTAGTTCTCCCGAAGCCGAGCGTGATGGACCACAAGGCGTGCCGCCTTCGTCCCGAGGGAAGCTAGTGGTAGTAGCACGCACTTATCTTGCTGTACGTGTACAAGTACACTAGTTGAGATGTGGTGATTAGAAAACGTTCGGACACATGAATCAGTCAAAAGTCACTCCGCCTTAAACCCGAGCAAGACGTATCTCGGAGCTTATTATAGCTACCGCTTTGATTGAACTACTTAGTGGTAGACGACACAAAGGTGGAGAAATAGCTATGCGGCAATAGACAGTATCTTGATGGAGGAATCACTTTCATAGCAGCAACTCCTTCATGCCACTCTCCCGTATTACTCTCTCCATTACCGATACGTCCATGTACGTACATGACATTCTTACAAATCCACCCCAACAGACATTCTCGGGACTAATGAAAAATCTGGCAGATATTGCCGTTGCAGTTTTCTCAAAGCATCCGTTTTCCGAATGTTTACAGGCTTCTTCGCGCCACCAAGCAAGATTTGGTGTCTGCTCCTTACTACCTACGACAAGTAGTTAGAATGCTAGCAGGGATATCATATGATGTCTTTTGGGGTAAATCCCAGCAACCGTAAAGAGAAAAACTTCTCGTATCGTCCAAATGCCCCTCAGAAGCTGCTTGACAGAGCACAGATGCAATGATGGCTACTCCCTGCTCTCTACCCTGGAGGTTCTCCAAGTTTTGGCAGCTTTGCGCAATATTACTGGTAACTGCCATCTCAGCAGTACTTGCTAGTACGTGTAATTCCAAATTTCAGATTACTACTACTTGATTGACCAGATATAATCAGGGCTCAAAGGGGTGCCGAGCGAGGCTAATCCATGCAGCCCTACTACTCTGCCCCTGGACTAGGCCTCCGTTTCAAGGATCAAGAGAATACTCATGTCAACCTGATTATACATAGATAGATACACTAACACTAACACTAACACTACAGTAAGAGATTCCAACTGACAGGGACGATCAAACGTCTAGCAAGCCATGCCAGATACGTCTTGATTTGACGCCCGTCAACTCACTGGAAAGCCCGGCTTCCAGACAGATTGTACATACACTACAGCAAGCTGCCAAGGAGTTTTAACAACCTGCAGGTACAGCTAGCCAGATGACAGCACCCATCAGCAGCTCAAGTCTGTGGGCTCAGCCCCCCGAATCGGACAAATCACAGCCCGTACCACCTAAGCGGAAGCACACTTCACGCAACACCAGGCACAGAAGGATTTTATTGACACATTTCCGAAGAGGCGTTCCTTTTTGTACGAGTGGTCGATTTCAAACATTTGAAAAGGACCCGACGGCTTGGATTTGCGCAACCCATCTATTTCCGGTATGCTTTTTCCTAGTCGTCTACTTTGTGCGAGCTCTTCTTGTATACTCGTGCTGTCGTGTACATGTACGTTGTGTCACATATCAGTCGAACAAAGAGGAAGGGAATATTCTCGGAAGCATCGTGTCCGAAGAGCTAGCATTTCCATCGCATCCGGCGTCAAACCGAGAGCTTGGATGACAGCCCGCTACAATCTCTTGTGCACCCCCTACGAGATGGAAGATGGAATATGGAAGAGAAAAAAGGGCTGATCGTCCCTCTCTTCCCGAGTAATTTTTGGTCTAACAAGTGCTGCTAGAATAACGCTACCGAGCACTCCCGCACCCCTGGCGGCACGGCACGCTTCCCTGCTCGCTGGTCAGCACTCCATAATTCCTCTCATAGCCTCAAGAACCCTGGCTAGGCCTTTTTCTCTCTCTTTTACAAGTATTTTGCCAATCCAACGCCCGCAGACTAGTGCTGTCCATCCTGTCCGTCACTTACGTGTCACGCTAATAGGGATATAAAAAGGAACGGCACGGAGGCGATTGGGGTTTCGGGTGGGTAGTACGGATGACTAGTGATGCTATAACTGTACACGGCTTTCTCTTTTTCTTGTCTAGTTTCCCCTGGTTAAGATCGGATTTTCAAGAGCTACGATACTATCCTACACCCCCCTCTCCATCCCTTCTCTTGTTATATGAGAACTCAGCCCAGTGGATGTTGAAAAACGAAAAGATAACTTGCATGGCCCAGGCCCTCCGGGGTATAGATAAGTGCCCGGGTCTTTTGGCCCGGGGTACAGATGAAATTCCCCATCAAACTGTAGGTAGAGAGCGCCCTGATAGGCTTACCTCCCATGGCATTTTGCTTCCCCTCAGTCATTTTGGCAGGATCCGACGCAGTGTCTATCATCCTTCTGTCATTTACGTAGGGCGGACAAAACAGTCACATCGGCTATCCCACGCTGCAGGGGCAGAGGCCCATGAGATGATGATACCGACACCATGGTCCATGTGATTGCCATCCCGGCAGTAGTGACAAACGTTGGAGGCTTTTTGTTTCTCTTCTGATTCGAATCCCAGCCCTGCTGATGATCCATATGAGTCAACGTTGGGGTTTCGAGGCTTCACTCAGTCCTTTGTCCTGCCATGATCCATGTTCAACAGAGACTAGCAGTAATAGTTGGGCACCGGTTTTCTGAGCCCAAGATGGTCCTTGCATACCCGGGACAGATACGGTCCCAAAAGGATTTTTGCTTCTTTTGGATTGGTGGTTGGCCGACTTTTAGTAAAAGTAATAGTGGTAGAGCTTGATTGAAAGTGGCGTTTGTGAAAAACAGATATTGAGTAGGGCTGAGCGCTGAGGCGACCTGAAAAAAGAAAAAAGAAACCAAAAAGAAAAATGGAAGCTGTTAAAAATAAGCCTGGTTAAGAAATGTAAATAAAGGAGACTGCCAAGAAAAAAAAGGCTTGAGCTGAGAGCTTTGTCTTCTCTCTCTACCAGACTCTCGGTAGCCAATCGATTCGATTTTGAGGCTTTTTGCTTGGATAGCCCCCATGGCATGGCTCATCGGTGGCGTATGTATTCCCCTTTTTTTGCGATCTGATCTCTCTTTTCCTTCTTGATTCGTTCATGGATGATGATGGTAATTTCGCTTTTTTTCGTGCTTGCGGTAGGGCAATAACTTGCAGTCGTGTTTTTCTTTTTTTCGTTCACACTGCTTGAGCTTGAGCAACACCATTGCATGCATGTATGTCTCTGCCTGATAACAAATCGCGCAATCGTTTCCTCGAGAGCGTCACAGGCACAGGCACAGACACACACAAGCGTGAAATGTTGAGCCGTGTCTCAGCTTGCTTTTTTTTTTTTTCCCTTTACAGGATGCCGTCGTTTTCTCCTGGCAGTCTCTTGACTCTCTGTTGCTCCCAGTTGTCCAGGTCTCTTCCAGCAAGCCTCTGTTGTCACTATGCATTAGCCTGAAGCCTCTTAATTTCGCGTGTTTTGTCTTTCTCTTCTCTCTTCTTCGTACACCGTTCTTTGTCTCTCCCTGCATATCCGTATTTTCTCCGCCCCTCTCCATAATGTCTTTCCCTCTGTCTCTCCCTTGCATGAATAGACAGATAGATAGACAAGACCGTTATGCAGGGCGAGACAAAATCTGGAGACGCCACCACAAGAGAAAGCGAAAAGATCGAATACTCACATAGTACTCCTCCTTCATATCCACCTTGCGCGCCCCCCGCCGCACATTCAGCTCCTCCTCCTTGGTCATCTGGCGCACCCTCCGATCGTGCTTCTCGTACCGAATGGCCGTCGCTGGCGTCAGCACAAACGAGCCCGCCACGATGACGGCCATGAACGGCAGGCCAAAGGCCAGGAACGGGTGCTTGGCCATGAGAGCGCGGTACTTCATGCCGATTCTGCCTGCGTCGGCCGACGAGCGGAATGTCTTGTTTTGAAACGTGCCCATGATGTGTCTCTGTCTCTTGTGGTTGTTCGGTGGTTCTCGTCCTCCCTCAGTCGTTTATGCGAGCGCCTCCGTTTTGCTTGTAACTATCTTGGTCTCGATTGTGCGGGATGCAAGAGCTGGCTGGCCTTGTTTGTATCTTGTTGGATTGGTAGTTTCCTATGTTGCATTGGCCGGATATTTATCAGAATCAAGTTTTCGATTGCATCACCACAAATCGCATGATGTTTCGCGCCGTGGCTGATCGGACCAATGCTTTTTCCCCAGAGCGTCGGCTTTTGGTGGGGCTGGCTACCCGCTCTTTTGCGGATATTCGATGCAAGTCGCCGCAAAGTTGACTCGTCTCTAATAGGGTAGTTGATAACAGCCGCAAATGTCTAGACTGTCAACTCTCACAAAAGCTACGATGCAAAGTTGGTCTCCTGCAGAGTAAACAAAGGCGGTATTATTCGACTAAGGTATAAGTAAATTGTAAAGGAAGAGTATCTCGCATCCACCCCGTCACATCCCCCGCTTTAAAAAACTAAGCAATAACCCATCATTCATCTAATCATAATTCATATACTACTCTCCTCATACCATCAGAGAGACCGGTTCGACAATAGAATTTGTTATTATGCCCCCCATTTAACCGCATACTATGCAACCGATATATGGTAAAGAAGAAGAAGAAGAAGAAAACTCCATATGCCGCTTTGGCCGAGAACTCTGGTCCCCCTCTCTCCTCATTCCTCCTTCGGTTCCGCTGTCCTTCGTTCTTATCCGCTGCGGGCCGGTACAAATCTCCAAAAAAAAAAAAAAGGTATGCGTTCATTACAGCATGTTTGCTGCGTAACAAGAGAAGAAAAAAAGGAAAAGAAAAGAAGTCTTCACGTTGAAGAAATGTAAACTGTATGACAAAGAAACAACAAGGAGAGTTGAAAGAGAATGAAAGTGTGTCGTTGGTACAATAGTGGTAAGCCTAGCCTAGTATACTTATAAGAAGATGAAAAAATAGAATAAAAAAAAGGTCCAGTTCTTTTGAGTGTGCTATTCATGATTGCCTCCATTTTCTCGTGATCATCTGATAATGATGAAGTACTGATGTCGTGTGTGTGTGTGTGTGTGCTATGCTGTGCAGCAAAAAGACACCCATCGCGGAATACCGCAAAGAAGGCTTGCGTGCAAATGAGAAAAAAATCACTGTAATAAAAGCCTGTGGGGAACTTGACATTTATCGTTCAACAGTTTGAGGGGAGGATGGCTGCCATCCGTTAATGTATGCCATCAATCCCATGCCAATTAGCACCACACCAATCATGGAGGCGTAGGGAATACCAGCTCGCAAATGCTGGTTCTGAAGAGGGCCTCTGGGCGAGGTTTGAGGCGTAATAGTATTGGCCCTCGACAAATTTGGCATGTCTGCCGAATCTTGACTAGAATTTGTCAAAGATCTCTCTTGTTTTACCTCCGGCTGGGCAGCTTCAGCAGTAGAAGAAGCAGCACCCTTCTGTGCTGCCCCATTTTGCTCACGACGAAGTGATCTTGAGCGCGACCTCCGTCGTTCTTCGGCCGCGACTCGCTTGGCCTCCGCTTCACGTAGTTGGATGACCATTTCTTCGAGAGTTTTCCGGCCGGAATCGCGTTCTGCCTCGGCACTTTCACATCGACTCCGCCACTGCTCCATCTGCATTCTCAGCTCCCGCATCTGCTCATCCATAGTGTCGATGCGAGATTGTAGCGCTACCGCAGTCTCCTGGGCAATTTTATCCGCTGGGGAGACTTCTTCTAGCTCTGGTAACACTGTCTTTGAGTCGTCTGCAATATCCCCTTCTTGGAGTGATTCCTGAGCTTTTTCAAGCTCTTCATGAGACTCAACGCCGTTGACCTGACTAATGGCAGACTCTTCAAGACGCCTGGCCAATTCCTCTGCAAGCTCACGTGCCTCTCGTTCCTTTTGCAGCATCATTTCTAGCTCACGCATACGCGCCGTCTGGGTATCAATATCTCGCTTCGCCATATTAAGGGCCTCGGTGAGCTGTATGATCTGGTTCAGGTTTTCTTGGCGAATCGGCGATGAGTTTGCCGAGTCTAACCTTGGCCTTTCCAACGAACCTCTCTTAAGGGACGGGACATCTGGCTTTTCGGGAAGAGGTTGCTGAGGCGGTGGTGCAGGGGGGTCGGAGAAACGAGCCTTGGGATCTGCTCGGAAGGAGAGGTTATTGCCGTTAACCATGGTCTGGGGTTGTTTGGTTGGCTCTGGCGCATCTGATTTCTCGAGATCTTTCAGGTCTTCTTTTGACAAAAGGGTGTTGATGAACTGATTCGTACGGCTCAAATCTTGGGCCTGGAGTTTGGCACTTCTCATTTCATTCTGGAATTCGCGTTAGGTGACAAGTAACAGAGCAGATAAAAGAAGTGGTGTGGCACTCACTGAAAGACGCTTCAGAATCTGATCCGTAGCAATAGGCGTCAGGAAGAAAGAGCGCTGTTGCGCCATGCCATTCATATGGCCGTTTACAGTACCACCATTAACCATCATGCGGCCGTTGCCACCCATGGATACATTACTTCCAGCGCGTCCCCGCATTTGCATTGCGCCAGCAGGAATCATCATCGCGTTGTTGGCAGGATCTAGATCTCCAAAGTTCATATCCAAAACGTTGTTTGATGTATTCAAAAATCCGGCATGTTCGACCTTTGCGGCAACCTTGTGGTGAACGACGGTTTTTTGGTCTTCGCTAACGATATCAATACCGAGTTCCAAATGGTCGGCCGTCTGAAGCTCGTGTGGTTCTGATTCACGATTCTCCTGGGATAATCGAGTACCGTTGACAAAGGTGCCGTTGGAGGATTTAACGTCTCGGATGTAGATTTTACCGTTTCGTTCGGCAAAGATCTCGGCATGCTGCCGTGATAGCACTTTACTATCAAAGAAGCCATTCGTAGCAGTCGGTACCGTCTTTTGGTTCGTCTGCCGGCCGATTCGTATAGATTCGGGGGCGAAAGGCACGGCGATGGTCTTGCGCTCAAATGTGCCGTTTAGAGAAAGCAGATACAGCATAGGCTGGCCGGGAGGGAACGGCTGCTCGCTGGGCCCCATGGGTCGCATCATGCCCTGAGGTCCCATTTGCGGCTGTCCCTGCCCGGCTTGCTGCATGGCGCCGTGGGACGGCCCCATGCCGTTGGGCCGTCCTTGGGGAAGTCTCGAAAAGTCTGGTTCTTTGCCGGCTGGCCAGGGGTTCTTGGGTTGGGGTCTCTTGCGATTCGCGCTGCCATTCGACCACTGGCTCAAATCTGAAGCGGATGACAGCGATGTGGCATTGGAGTGTGAGCCGTTCGTCGCAACGGTGGTATTTGAGGCGTTGGAGGAAATAGACGAGGATGAGTTGCTTCGCGACAGACTCTTGCGGGTCATGAACATTCCTCGCACATCCTCTGTATTCACCTGATTGTTGCCATTAATAGTGCCCCATGGCGGCCGGGAGATTTGCGGAAAGGTAGGAGGATTTGCGACGGCAGTCATGAGTAAGGCTTAATGGTGGTCGCTCTGCTCGATGGGAAGGCACGGCGTATATATTATTATCCTTTTGGTTTTTTTTTTCTGATAAGATTTATCGCCTGCTCGCTGCGTAGTTTAACACGCCGTTGGACTTGTTGCGTGTGTGTCGTCGCCAGTCGCCTCCTGTTGCTGGGGAGAGAAAAAAGAAAACACCCAGGGCCACGCGTGACGTAGTGAAACGGAAAAAAAAAGTATCACTTGCTACGGCTCACAACGAAGCAGACTCTATCGCTTGCGGTCGGCGGGAGAAACGACGTCTGGGAAGGAAAAATCAGACTCGACGCTCGTTGGCAACGGTGCTGTCACAAAAAAATCGTCAGCATGTTGTTGAGGTGGCTCCTTTGGCCAGCACGCCAATTGGGGGTTGGCATGGCACGACCAAGCGAGGCTGGGGGGTGCAGCCCCTGGCCCTGGGCCGGCCCTGTGCGCGCTGCGGCAGATGTGAAACATACTGTGAAATGATCGAAGCTCGCAATCCTGGGCGATTCCACACGACGCTGGCGAGCCGTGGAGGTTGAAGCTCGGGCTGATGGTGCTTTGGGGATCTTGTCTGGCCGTCCTAGCCCGCTAAGCGCTGGGCTAGGCGTGTCGAAACGCTGGGGGGCCAAATGATACAGTGCACGGCGGTGTCTCAGAGGCTGCTCGCCCAGCTCCCACAACGCGGCCTCGAGGCAGGCTTGGGCATTTGTCGACGAGCGTTTTTGCAGACTCGCATCAGGCAGTCCCAGGCGATTCCTGGCCATCGCAAAAGGCCATATGGGGCCCTGAATCGACTCATGACCTGGCTTCACGTGATGAGTCGACACAGTTCTGCACTGGCTGGGGCTCGGAGTCTCCGCACTGTGGGGGGCGCTAGCAGTGATGAGCATGCGCCGTATCAACATTTCGCCGCTCCCGCGATTGTCGGCGTGTGGCCAATCAGTGAGCAGTTTCGGCTGGGGCCTCGTCGTGGATAGACCGGGGCAGCGTCAACTGGCACTTACATCGTGGAGGAGCAGCGATTGACGACAAAAAGCTACCATCCCGATTCTCACGCCTCTACGCACTCCCGTTGCGACCAGCTTTTCACCACACAATGCCTCCTGTTGCCCCAATCCAGCATGGCGGCGCCCAGGCCCCGTCCACTTTTGACAAACGTACGGCATCGAACGATTGCGAGGGGTTGTAATTTCGCTAACAGTTTTAATAGTCAAGATGGGCGCAATGATGGGCGGATGTAAGCACCTTTATTCAAGCCCTGTTTCGGACCTGGCTTTTGCATTGAGATCGAAGCTAAGATCAATTTATAGCTGTTGGTGTTATTATGGGCTTCATTTTCGGTAAGGGATAATTGCCTGGAGCTCCAAATCCCGTATGATTCGTGGGCTGACACCTTGATAGGCACTGTTAATATTTTCCGATATGGCGCTGGGTCCCAAGGCATCATGCGGACTCTCGGCCAGTACATGGGCGCATCTGGTGCTACATTCGGGTATGTCTGCGGTTATTGCCAACATGCTTGGTTGTGATGCTAACATAGGCGGCGTAGATTTTTCATGGGCGTGGGCAGCGTGATCCGATCAGATGCCGACCCTAAGCTACAAGAACTGTACATGCAAGCGCAGCGACGGCCGATAGTATTACGAGCAAACTCGGCTTGGAGGAGGGACGAATAAATACCCATACATCGAGAACGAATGGACGAACTACGCCGAGAGGTCAATTGTTGGCTGCAAACTGCGTATCCTGGTAGCCTAATCGGCTGCCCTGTAAGATAACAATAAATCAAACGACATTTACGATCAAATCCGACGCAAATCATGTCATGTATGTCTAAACTGTGTGAAGGGGCTCGGGACACTAGGAGCTTTGTATACAACAACGGAAATCTTCATTAGCTGGCGGGAAGCTATGAGGGAAAGCATCGGGAGCTTTATCTGCTTTGGCATGGACGAAACAACTTTTCTCTTTCTTATTTTACCAGTGGTGTCTTGTATGTGACCGTACCTCCCGTTACTGCCTCATCATGCGGCGCCTTTTATTGTAAAGCTTTAGCTACTGTCTTAATACTTACATTCTGCATTCGCCTTAACTGGCAGTATTCTCTCTGGCTCGTCAATGCCATCATGCGTCATACTCGGAAGAAAACTGGAACTATTAGTCCTGGTTGCTCATTGCCTCTGCGGCCTCTGCGGCATATTTACTAAGATGATTAGGTGCAGGACATCCAGCCGCACGGGGAAATATCTCCAGCCGCTCCCCTGTACGACGAATGACAGCATACAAGAGCGTGCCTTAGTCTCGAGGGCCCCGTTCGATATAAGAGATTTATCAAATAGTATATCTTTCTTCGGGAAGAGCGATGCTACCCTTCAGCTGTGTTAGCCTAATGGACTGCGGCCCGTCATTCTCCACATATGCAAAGAGTCATATCACTCGTATGCTGTCATCTTTTTGACATGCCCGGTACCCGAGATGGAGCACATGAGGGCCTGATCGAAAATTCTCGGCTCGGATATCCGCTACGGCCCGATGACCTGATTCCGATGCTTGGATATGCCGGCTGAAACAAGCTGATGATGTGGAAGTTTTCGGGGGCTATTTTCAGCCATGTATTTGTTTCCCAGGAAACAAAACGATACCATGTGTAACCACACATGTACGACCTTATTTATCAAATATTTTATGCTATGCCAGGTCTAGGAACGTGGGGCTTTCCGCCTACTTCTATAATTATACATGCTAATCATGACGATAGACTATATTGATCCTACCCCCTGCTCAATATCAGTTTATCAAATCAGCGAGGTGGATGTGGCGATAACCCGGCTCTGCATTCTAGCCCCATCGAAGGAACAGACCTCGTGGACTCTTCACGGAATCAACTTCCGAAGCTCAACATGTTTTGTTCCGTTTCAACCACTCAATCCTTCATTGTTATCCCCACGCGGGATATATTACCCCTTGTCTTGGAAAAGACCGAACAACAAGTTGATTGGCGGTTCTACTCCCAACCAACCTTCCTTCGTCTGTCCTCGTGTTGAGTGTAACACTCTTTTGTCATTTATTGTGTTTTCCAGTTTCAGCTGTTAGTATTTCCAATTTCAGTCTTGCTGACTCGGAAGGCAGACTCGCGTCGGTGTCCTAAAAAGTTCCGATAGCTATGAAGCCTGCCAAGAGAATGGCCTGAGACATTGAACAACGATCAAAGGTAACACTACCGTGGGTCTTGTACTCTTTGGGTTGAGTCAGAGAATGCTGTATAACCAACGGCAGCTTTCTCTTGTATACATGGACGGCACTAGATAGGCAGCTTGTTGCTTAACCGGTATTTATCAGCCCTTGACAATAGTCGCGTTTCGCCAGATAAGATGAGATGGCATCATTATGCAGCTAGCAAGTGCTAGGACTAGAGTCAATGTAAAGTTTGACCGAATATTATGAAATTTCGAAGGTCATGAATACCCAGCGATAGTGGTCATACGGTCAATACAGCCTCACCTGAGATCTATGCATATGCACATGCATGCACATGGCTTGGCTTCTATATAAAGTTATTACCATTTTAGACACCTTGCCTTGCTTATACGAGGAGCTAAGATCCTGCGCCCTGAAAATCCTTCTACGCGGAAGCTGACCTACTCCAAGCCAATAGTTTTATACGGGATGGAGGCTAGGGAAGTTTGTTTTTTCACTAAATGCGACCAGGGGGAATAATGTGATCCGGCAACTGGCTTGCCTCAGTTTCTTGGCTCGTCGAAAGAAATTTCCCCGAACGGACTTCTCGTTGGGGGGGCGAGGTGGTAAACAATGAGTTTACTTGTAAGCCGGAGCTGTTTTGTGAAGCTGTTTTGTGAATATATATAGAGGTGATTCTGTCCACTTGGACAGTAGATTATCGACCATCTGAGTATCATCTCTTCCAGTGATATATCTAGCTAGCCTTGGTCATAATGGGGGCTTCTTATAGCTCTAGAAGAGTGAAGAGAGATGGCTCCGTGGCCAAAAGTAGTCTCTCACAGAAGCAAACAAACGCGTACGCATGTCCCCTTTCCACGCTTGTTCATCTCAATATCTGAAGAATTATACATACTCACATCTTCCTAGCCTATCTGTGTTAGGAACACTGCTTGCTCCGTTGCTCCCTTCTTTTCTTACCAATAATCCAACTCCCAATGGATTCCCATGGAGCACTCTCAACATCAACACCAACTACTATGACACGAGCCCTAACACGGGCGTCATCAGACGTTATGATTTTACCATTAGCCGCGGTGTTATTGCACCAGACGGATATCAGAGAGATGTCCTCCTCGTCAATGGTGCTTATCCTGGCCCCTTGATCGAGGCCAACTGGGGTGACATGATTCAAGTCACCATGCATAACAACATCTCCGCACCGGAAGAGGGCACAGCACTGCATTGGCACGGCTTTCTCCAGAAGGGGACACCCTGGGAAGACGGCGTGCCTTCTGTGACGCAGTGTCCCGTGCCGCCGGGGAGCAGCTTCACGTATCAGTTTAAGGCCACTCTATACGGCACCACTTGGTACCACTCGCACTTTTCTTCCCAATATGCGGGTGGTCTTACGGGTCCGATTGTGATTCATGGGCCAAAGTCACAGAAGTATGATGTTGATATTGGTCCTGTCATGTTGTCTGACTGGTATCATGACGACTACTATGACTTGGTGAAGAAAACAATGAGCAACGTGACGGGGGAGAACATATTTTTTTCAGACAACAACTTGATCAACGGCAAGATGTTCTTTGACTGCTCCAAGGTCACGGACGGCACTCCATGCACCAACGACGCTGGCATTGCGAAATTCCGGTTCCAGCGCGGCAAGACTCATCTCCTTCGTCTCATTAACACCGGAGCTGAAGGCCTCCAGCGCTTCTCCATTGACGGCCACAAGATGACAGTCATTGCAAACGACTTTGTCGACGTCAAGCCCTACGTGACCGATGTGGTCACGCTGGGGATTGGCCAACGCACCAATGTCCTCGTCAAGGCGAATGGCACTCTTGACGCTTACTGGATGCGTAGCAATATTAGCACTATATGCTCCCTCACCAATCAGCCAAATGCTCTCGCGGCCATCTATTACGATGATGCGGATACTAACAAGGCGCCTCAGTCTACTCCCTGGGATGCTCCTGATCCGGGAACATGCTCAAATGATGATTTGTCATTGACGGAGCCTGTCATGAAACTCCGTGTCCCTAAGCCGGATGTGACGAATGAGATTGAACTGAATTTGTTTGTCAATGCGACAAACCATACTCTATGGACGCTAGACGGTGATTCTTTCAGAGGCAATTTCAACAGCCCGACGCTGCTGTTGAGCAACCTGGGCAATTTGACGTTCCAGTCGCAGTGGAGCGTAAGAAACGTCGGCAATGCAAAGAGTGTGAGGGTCAACCTCATGAACCAATCTCCCGTTGCGTAAGTTTGCCCCATCTATCCCTGGTTTCTATCTTGTGTTATGTTATATGAAAAAGGTACTGATCAATCTCTTACAGCCATCCAATGCATCTCCACGGCTTCAACATGTACATCCTCCACCAAGGCGCCGGCGAATGGGACGGCAAGACAATTGTCCGGTCATCAAACCCCCAGCGCCGAGACGTCTTCTTGCTCCCCCCGAACAACCACGTGGTGATGCAGTTCGATGCCGCGAGCAATCCCGGCGTGTGGCCGTTCCACTGTCACATTGCGTGGCATACCTCGGCGGGATTGTTTACGCAGTTTCTGACGATTCCAGACAAAGTGCGGGCTTTGAAGATTCCGAATGTGGTGGCGGAGACTTGTAGGCAGTGGGGGAGGTGGACGAATACGAATATCCCGGATCAGATTGATAGTGGTTTGTGAGAGGAGGGGAAGTATATATAAGTGATGTTGAGATTTAGGATGACTTGTTACGATTTGGAGGATTATTACTTTCTGGACCCTGTATTACTTACATTTATTACTGAGCGAACGAGAAACTGGACTGTGATACGCTGATGCTTACATGTTGACACAAATGTAGCGAGTCACGACATCTTTAAGATGGACATATTACGTGCCGTTGACAGGAATGCTTCAATAAAAAGAAGTCTCTTCTCAAAAATTTTATCCAATAAGACAGTCTCTTGTGTTGCAATATATTCCTATGAATATACTTGAAGCGATATATAATCTAGTAAGAGTATGAAACTCATTTAACCCAGAAAATGCATGTAGCACAGGACCGTCTGTTGCGCGTCCAACGAACATAGTACATGAAAAAATATCATGGAATCTATCAGGTCATAACATAGATCCTTTCAGTCATTCTTGTAGCGGCTTTTCTTCGCTCTCCTCCTTTTTGGACTCTTCAACTTCTTTGCTCTCTGTTTCTTTTGTAGCTTCGGACTCTTCGTTCTTAGCATTGGCTGCGTCTGTTGGTTTTGCTTCCTCCGTCTTAAGAGGTGCTTCAGGCTCATCTTTCTTCTCTTCTTCTGCGTCGACAGCGTCTTTTGTGTCCGAGACTTCTTTCGATGTCTCAGCACTATTTGACGCCTTCTCATCTTCTACCTTTTTGTTCTCTTCTACATCGTCTTTTTCATCTTCGTCTTCCTCCTTTTCTGCATCGAGTTTGAGAACAGTCTCAATCTCGCCAGTCAACTTCTGTAGCTCATCTTCAATCTCTTCATCGCGATCAGTTTGACTACGCAGCTGTCTCTCAGCCTCCTCATTTCCGATAATATTTCGCCACAGATCCTCCAGCTCATCTGTCCACCCCAGCAGCTCAGCCAGTTTTCGGATGCCATTGTCGCATGACCCCAGCTCCAGCACATCGTCAGGTCGCGACCCTAATGAGCCAACCTTTTCCATGTTGAAAAGCACACGCGGCGCCTTCTGTCTCGCCATGTCTGGGAGGCTAGCAAAGGGGTAAACGGTCAAACTTGTACCAATGATCAGAACAAGGTCTGCCATGACCGTGTTGTGCGACTTCTCGGAGAATGCCCTCGGAAGCGCTTCGCCGAAAAATGTAATGTCTGGCTTGACCAGGCCCTTGCATTCCTCGCAGCGAGGAACATCGCCGCGGAGCACATGCTTCTTCATTTTGTCATCGGGAAACTCGACCTTGCACTCAATGCAGCGTTGAGTCGCAAAGCTGCCGTGCGCCTCCACGATCTTGTCCGAAGGAACGCCAGCCGCACGCTCCAAACAGTCGATGTTCTGCGTAAAGAGCATTTGAAGGAGTCCCTTCTGGGCAAGGAGCGCAATGAAGGCATGTGAGACTGTCGGATGAAACTTTCCGGGGTATAGTTCTTGCGCGAGGACATAGAATGGCTCGGGACGGTTGCGGAAATAGGCAATATCGAACACGGCCTCGGCATATGGCAGTTTTAAACGGGCCAAGTTGCTGTACAGGCCCGTCTTTGGCGATCGAAAGTCCGGAACTAAGCGACAATCAGACGTCAATATGGATCGAGTAAGTAGGATAAGGTATGATCGACTTACTTCCAGCTGCGGTAGAGATTCCCGCGCCCGTCAAGACCACAATGCGCCGCGCATCGCCGCTCTTGATGTATTCTGCGACGGCTTCTAAACTTCTCTCTTGGAGAGTCTCTGGAGGCCCGTGGGCATCGGCCAGAGTAGATTCTTCTTGGCCCATTTTGCGAGCGAGCCAGCGAGGGACGCGGGGTCCTGAAGGCTTGTGGCGTTGGCGATGTTTTCGACCTATGGTGACGGATTTTCAGATCTTTTCTGTAAAGATTGAGATGCAGTTTTTTATAGTTGAATGAGGTGATGAGATCGATGATACCTGGTAGGCATCAATCAATTCTAGGTAGTGGCAACAGACCACTGGTGGGGCTGTAACATGTGAGAAGCAGCCTAATGTTACATCACTGAAGCCCCCTTGTTATCGATAAGCCCCAACGCGTGGACTGAGACGAAGGGCCAGCATCAGGAGTCGAGGATATCAAGCAGAATGATCGGTTCAGTGGCTATGCGAGCGTAATCATAATATTGTATTGTAGCATGAAGAAAAAAGCAAGTGAAACGAATCCCTCTCCCAAAAGGCCCCCAAGCAGGGTCTGACCTGTCGACCGACCCTCGTAAACCTGTTTATATAAACGCCTAGCAATGCCCACCTGACGCCCTCCTGACTGAATATCAACGTAACAAACCCCATCATGTGTGGCGCTCCCTAGCTGCTGCAAACTGTTCTTCTTGCAAACGAGCGAGCTCTTCCATGGACATGCCACTGTTAGCGAATTTGTCCGCTTTCTTCTCTCGTCCCTGTGGGGGTGTTAGCGTAGCTGTACCTGGAAGTGAATCTGTAGATGTGGGAGACATGCGCGAACCTTTTGAACTTCCTTATGTTCAGCTGCGGCTTCTAGAACGGCTGGTACGTAGTCGGAGAATCCCAGCCGCTCCAGAGCCTTTGTGATGTGATCGCAGGCGATGGTCTTCTTTGCCTCCTTCTCGGATATCTCATTGGCTTCGGACGAGATGAGAGTTATGAACTCGACACAGCATTCTATGAGTAAATCGCGAGCCTCCTTTGCGAACGAAACACCTGTTTGAGGTGGCAATATCTCGCTCACAATCTTCTGAACCGTGGCTAGTACATGGTTAGCTTTGGTAGATATTCAATGTGCGGCAGATGTGTGTCGTACCTTTAGGGAGCGACAAGTCATCGTTGCTTCCTGTAGAAAAAGTTAGTGATCTCTCTCGTTGTGCACAGATTCGCGATTGGGTACTGGTGCTTGAGGGCGAGCTGCCCATGTAGTAGTCATAGTCATATCCTGACATGTTGTGTATGGTGATACGGAATGCTCTGGGAGGGAGACTGTGTATAGAAGCAGAATGAGATGAGAGGCTGGGGGAGAAGGCGAGGAAGCATGCAGATCGAAGATAGAAGGTGCAAATACAATTCAAGGGGTTGAAAAGGCTTGAACCAGGTCTTGTAAAGGAAAAGGCGGCCTTGATCCGCTGTTTGTATGGTTTCATGCACACAAACAATGAAATCCAAGGATCGGTGTTATTGGCCCAGCACAGCGAAAGGTGAGATAATAAGCAGTGACGCACGGCCGATGGACGTGGTGGTTCACGGCTGTGATTGTTTTTGGTACAGAGGGCAATGCACGAGAAGGAGAAAGAAAGCGCCCGCATTGTAATGGACAAGCCGAGCTTACCTCCAAACTCATGATCCGACATGTTGAAGAAAAAGGGCGAGGTCAGGTCTCCGGCTTAGACGCGATAGTGCCTGAAAGCGAAGTGAAAGGCGGCTTTGGCGGAGAGTTACAAGTGATAAAAATGGATGCAAGGGAATGCTTCTAAGATGGAGAAGGGAGATTAAAAGAGGCGGATCATGTATGATTGCGACTGCCAAATAAATGCACGTCAAGCGTGAATAGGCTTTCTGTCTGACGATGATATTCGGCGCAGCCAGATGGATGATGAATTGAATGGTTTCCAGCCAGGTGGTTTGTTAGTGGGGCGACCGCTGCTGTTATAAGGGAAACTGGGAGCGGTACGGGGTACTTATATCGCCCATAGATCCTGTACTTGGGCGCGGCCAGGGCCTCCTAGGCGTCTCGCTTCTGCTGGCCCTCAGCGCGGCGCGTGCCAGAGACCGACCCAGCCCACTGAAGCTGCGTCGCTGACTGGCTTGGAAGGGGGGCTCAATTCACGTGCTGCAGCATTTCACCAGGTATGGAGTACAAGTGGGACTTGCCTAGCGCGGGCCATTTTTATAGAAAAAAAAAAAAAAAAAAGTTTATTAGCTCGAGCTTCTTGCTTTCCAAACCCTTTCCTTCTTTCAACCCTTTTCTCTCTGGCAGCGAAGACAGCAAGAAGAGCTCTGCGCAAGCTCGGATTGAGCTTCACGCGCATCTCTGGTCTTCAGCACTGCGCGTGCTGCTGCCGCTGCCCGTTTGTACAGGTAAGGAGCATCTCTTTGACACGCGGCAGCCCCAATTGCTTTCCTGATGAAATATGTTGTCGCCCCAGTCTGAGAAGGTCCGACAAGCCTTCCATGCTGACAGACACGTCTTAGCCAAATAGACATTTCTGATCTACACTTTGTGCTTCGTTTTCTGCTTTATCGCGGGCTATTCGTTGAGCTTCAGCGGCTAACAAGTACTTCCCAGGCAGTGCAGCAAAACTTTTCAGGCTTCAAAATGTAAGAACGCCTCCGCCCTTGTTCGACACCCATGGCACATCGTGATGTACCAAGTAAAGTATTATCAAATTCCGAGAATACATACTGCGGACACACTCTCCTGAACCAACAAGTGCCCAACTTTGGTTTCAAGCTACGCCACGAGCAGTCTGTACTTGAGACTAACAGTTGGCAAGTTCTAAGAATGAGCATTGGCATGGCGTTAAAGAGCCAACGTGGGGTCAATAAATCACAAGGTAGGCGCATTTTTTTATTGCTTTTTTTTTTTTACTCGGTTCAAGCACCGTGATTTGTGTGATGAAAAAACTTATATTCCATGCTAATACTGAATCTTCATGTGGAGATCATTAAGAGCTTTTCATCTTTCGACTGACTACAAATCTATCCCTTCACATTGTTATTTACATCTATATTGCGTTGACCATCGGCTAATGCGAACAAGTTTTAGGAAATCACTCCTGGTAAGCTGCCAGCTCAGGTGAGTTCCAGCTACATACTGTCAGCAATTGGCATCGTAATACTGGACGGTGCACCTACTTGATATACTGTCCGCTCAGCTGATGCAGAGGGTTGGCCACAAATTTGGCAATGACATTGCCTGGCTGCTCAGGCCTGAGCAGCTCACCTTGCTCGAGGGCATCGACAAAGTTTTGGTGCTGCGCCTTTGCCATGGTGTCTTTGCCCTTTTCTCTGATGACCGCCTGCATGTCAGTGTTGACTCGGCCTGGCCCGAAGCTGACGCTGGTGACGTCGGTCTCTTCCACCGCAAGGTGAGCGGCCATAGAGTTGACTGCCGCCTTGGCAGAGCCATAGGTGCTCCACGCTTGGTAGGCCTTGAGAGCCGCGCCTGAGGATACCCAGACAATGCAGCCTTTGGTCTTTTTGACTTCTTTCAGACTAGCTCTGGCCTATGGCATGTTATGTCAGCAGCCACCCGATGCTAGATACTGTTTGATGTCTTACCATGGCAATGTAGCTAAACAAGTTGACATCGTAGAAGGCCTTGGTGTCTTGTATCGACTCGTCTGCAAACTTCTTGGGCTCCAAAACTCCATGGTTGATGACCACACCGTCGAGTTTACCAAATGAGTTGACGGCAAGTGCTGTTAACCTCTCAGCAATCTGGAAGACTTGTTAGACGTCTGATGCAAAAAAACTATATATATAAAAAAGGCAGAAAAAAGAAAATAGAAAAAAAAAAAGAGAAAAATCTATAACTTGCATCTTCACTTGTGATATCTCCTGCGACATATTCTACGTGGGTAGGATGCGCCTCTTTGAGTTTCTGCAGCGGGCTTTCGGACCGTGCCGTGACGACGACCTTGTGTGATTGCGCCAAAAGGTGCTGGACGATGGCTGCGCCAAGGCCTTTGCTGGCGCCGGTCACAATGAATACTTTAGAAGTCATGACTGCGGAGAATTGGGGGTAATAGGGTGCAGTAGTTCAGTATTAAGAAGAAGAAAAAAGAGACGGTTCCTGAGTTGATTATTTTTTTTTCTCGCCAAGGAAGGATGATTTTTCAGCCGATGGCGGCATTGTCTGTGGAGAGAAAGGAGGGGCTATTATTGGAGATCTATAGCCGTTGACGAGAGTTGGAAAGCTGCACGGCTTGAGCCGGCTCGAGTTATAAGACGGCCGGTGCCGGAGGTCGAGACGGCCAATTGCTTCTGCAAGCTGATTGTAAATGTTATGAGATCAAGACGACTCATGGCGATGATTTGAAGTTTATATCCTTGTTAATACAATAAGCAAAAAGACACAATGGCCCACACAGTCATCCTCGGCAGTGGTGTCATTGGCCTCTCGACGGCCTTCTACCTCCGCCAGCATCAACCAGGCACCACAATTCATCTCGTCGACTCTGCGCAGGAGCTCTTCTCATCTGCTTCTGGCTATGCCGGAGGATTCCTGGCCAAAGACTGGTTTCGTCCCAACCTGGTCCCATTGGCCGAGCTGAGCTTTGAAGAGCATAAAAAGCTGGCCGAGGATGAGAATGGCAGAGAGAGATGGGCGTATGCGAAGAGCGTGACGGTGAGCTATGAGCCGAATGGGCCGTTGTTAGGTGGCAAACGAGGAGAGGACTGGTTGTTGGAAGGGACGAGTAGAGCTGGACTTGTGGAGGCGAGGAGGGAGCATAGAGATGGCGAAGTGCCGGATTGGTTGAGAAGAGTGGAAGGTGATTCTGTGAATGTGATTGATGATGGGAGTGGGACGGCGGTTGTGTAAGGATTTGCATCTTATTTGGACTTGTTTTTGTGGGAAGACTCTATCGCTAACATGATGACTGGAATCAGGGATCCATTGCTGTTCTGCAAGTTTTTGCTGGAAAAAGTCAAGGCTGCAGGAGTTCGCATTCACAATCCTGCTGCGGCATTGCGCCTGGAAACTGACATCAATGGCAAACTCTCTGGAGTCGTCATCAAAAACACAGAGACATCGGAAGAGACCTTGATACCGGCTATCAAGGTTCTTTTGGCAGCGGGAAGTTGGACACCCCAAGTCTTCAACACGTTGTTCAAGGATCGCTTCTCCATCGATATTCCCATCGGAGGCTTAGGCGGACACTCCCTCGTTTTGAAGGCTCCCAGCAAAGTAACGACCTGTCACTCCGTCTATACGACGATGGATGCGCACTCGCCAGAGATATACTCCCGACCCAACGGAGAAATTTACGTTGCTGGAGTGAATAGCCCTGGACTTGCAGTGCCTGAGCCTGCTCTCAAGGCGGCTACTATGAGCCAACCTTTAGAAAAGCTGAAAGACATTGCGCGGCGCCTGATTGTGACTCCGAGCGGAGAGGATTTGGAGATTGTGCGAGAGGGGTTGTGTTTTAGGCCGGTTACTGTCAGGGGAACACCGTATATTGCGAGATTGACGGACGAAAAGCTTGCAGAGGATACTAGTTTAAAGGAGGGAGAGGAAGGGGGTGTTTTCATTGCGGCTGGACATGGGCCGTGGGGTATTAGTTTGAGCTTGGGGACTGGAAAGGTAGTTGCTGAGATGTTGTCTGGGAAGCCACTGAGCGTTGACATCTCGAGTCTGGGATTCTGAGACGGGCATTTGCGGTAATACTATAGCTAAAGGATATCACCTATGATATTATTAATGATTCTACCTTCAAGCATTGATACAGCCATGAAGTCTCTTAATATCACTCGGGCTGGCCCTGCAGCAACCTCCTACAATGATCTGGGACCACTTCCCTCTCTCTTCTGTAGCCCGCACAGCTTCTGTAAGCTGTTTCTCCCACGGAATCCTATCTTCTCGCTCGGCGCCTTCGGGTAATTCCCATTGCTTAGTTGTTGTGTTATATACCTCGCCATTTGTCCCATCGGGATAGAGCACCAATGAAGGCCAGTCTGTTATGACTCCTTCTTGGAGCAGATTCCTAATGGCAGCTTCATAGCGGCGTAGCAAAGAGTCGAGCTTCCATACTTTTGTGCAGTTGATTCCTACGCCCCATGGCACCGCTTTTGCGAGAGAAGGGTCTAGCATGGCGCGGATGACATCTTCCGGGGAGCTCCCGTCCGGTATGTTTTCATCTTCGTTGGGGAATAGGCTTGAGATCCAGAATGGCAAGCCGGGGTAGAGGCCCGGAACTGCACTCAAAGCGCGGCGCATAGAGATGACTTCGTCGAGGCGAGGAATTGTCTCGAGGGCGATGTACTGGACACGCTGCTTAATGTCCTCTATCAGAGCAAATACTTCTAAGCGCTCACGGTGCCATGCAAGCAGAGAGTCTGCGGAATCGTGAGCGGCGTCATATTCGCCGCTGTACTCCTGACTTGGGACCATACATGCACCGTAAGGTCCAATGCTCAATGCGATAGCACATGCTGGCTGTTTCGCTTCTTCTGCAATTTTCACAGCGGTTTCGAGGAATTGAGGCACTTGTGAAGTATCAATGCCCTTTGGGAAGTCGGCGGTTTTGGTGTTTGCGAAGCCATGAAGCGAGGCTTGATATGTTGCTGTGAGGATGACATCTACTGGCACATCTCCAAAGCCCTTTTGGCACTGCAGTAGAGTTGAGGGATTAGAAACGAGGAGATGGGAGGACCAAAGAGGGGTGTCGGAGCCAAAAATGACGCTGTGATTTTGCTCAAGAGAGGTGCCGAGACCGCCGTCTAGGATTTTTATTTTTGGCATGATTTATAATAGATGTAATGGATTATAGTAGATGAATAGTCTGATTTATAGGATGAGGAAGCAACATTCATATTCGAGTTTTCAGCCAAGTCTCCGAGCTAAAGTGCTTACACCATCTCACTACATGTATCGAATTGCGGGGTCCGTTTCGCCCACCTTGAACTTGACACAAACACATTAACCAGCTTCAGTCACCTTTCAATTTATCAATTCTTTCTTTATCGTTTATTTCTGTTCTACCCTACATCAACCGTATCAAACGCCCTCGCCTGCATTGATCTTAAGCCAAGCAATGGCTCGGCGAGGATATATGCCCTCGCCGTGGCGTAGATGAGAGCGATCCGAGAGGATACTCCAAAACTCCCAAACGAGAGGAAGCTGTTTTGGGGCCCACGGGTCTTCATCTTCTTCTACATCGCGCTGTTGCAGAAGCTGCTGTCGAGGCTCTAATGTAGACGGTTCGCCTTTCGATGGCGTGGCTCGCGACTCGACTAATGCATCCTCAACTACTGTTACTGTTACGTCTGACTTTTTGTCCTCCTTTCTCAACACTTCGGTCCAAAGTTTTCGATTGCTGCCATATCGCTGCAAAATAGCACCCGCTTCGAGGACCCAGAAGAGAGCTGTCGTACCGACCAATATCAAGCTCGATACCCGCCAGAGGATCTGCTCGACTTGAGATAGGAACTTGAAGTTCCACCCGGTGAGATGCACGAATGCATAGACCATAGTGGCCAGGCACAAGTAGAGACTCTCTGGAGTTTCCAGCTAGGGCAATCTGCTGTCCTGGCATGGCCATCCATAAGATCTTACGACGTTGGATATGAAGTGAGCTTTCGTTTCTAGCAGGTAGGTTGAGGCAGAGGATGGTAAAGGTACAGAGAAAAGTGGTGAAAATGCAAGTCCAAAGTATGACCATAGTTCCTCGGCCATCTGGGGACATTTTCCAGCCGTTGACTCTGATATCTGTACTGGAACCCATGTTTGCTTAAGACAGCGAGCTGTTTCTGAACTCGACGCCATAGAAGAGACCATTTTGGGACACAGTACACAAGGAGCGTGTATTGCATATAATCCTACAATTCTCATAACTGCGCCGGCTTACATTGAGGCCCACGGAAGCTCCCAAGCAAATCGGCCTGAATACTGACCCTAGGTCCGAAGTCTTCTCATCGCCTATTCTCCCGCTATGGGCTCTAAGCTTAGGTTAACATATTTCTGAGTACCGATACTACATGCCGAGCATAGGTTATGATGCCAAGATAGGCTATAGGACTCGGAGCTATCCTTGTCATTGAGGCTCTCAACTATTTTTAGCCCATTCAACTCTGGAAGGGCCGAAGGCTCTGCTAATAACACAAGTTGAAGTTGTGAGAATAGGCATAATCATAAGACAGGAAGGCGTAAAATCGCCCAAATGCAGTCAAGTGTGGGTTGTTTAACCAATAAGAGCCTTATCCGAATAACTAGTATCTTACCACCCGCCATTGCTGTCATTTTTGTTTATCCGTGGACCCCAGTCGGATATCGTCAAAACATCTCAAAATACGTGTATAAGAACTTGTCGAGCCAATGATGTCTATTGCCGTCTATTAATAACTGAGTCCCACTGGATCCTTGCCAGGGTTGAGCCTTCATAAAGCTATGCAACTGCAACTTTCTCCAGTTTTGTTTCCACCCCTCTCACACGTGTGCTGATCGTTAGCCTTACATGATAACCACGTTTTCTTGTACTATATCCTCTCCTGCCCCTCGGCTATCGCTGTCTCTTCTCTCTGTGGTTTCTCTTTCTTTCTTGTTACTAGATCTTTTCGCACAGCATCTATATGGCTCTGTATAGACGCCTATCTCCGATCGGCGTCGGTGGTATAGACTCCGATGCTGACAGCGACAACCAGAATAGCCATCAGCAAGTGCCCAAGACTACGCGGCGCCTTTTGACCTCCGCGGAAGTTCCGCCCTGGTATGGCCACAACAGCTTTATCCATACCGGTTATCGCCCCATCATCGGTTCTGTTAAGCTATGCTTTGAGAGTTTGGGCTATGTTCACAATGAGACTGCCAACATCTACACTCACTTGGTGCCGGCGGTGATTGCTATTGTAGGCAACTATGGCCTACAAGCATACTTCAGCTCTCACTACCCTAATGCGTCATGGAGAGATCAGTTGGTCTTTCACATATACTTATCAACCTGTATCCTATGTTTTGGAATCTCGTCCATGTATCACATGCTGTTGTGTCATTCTGAGGCATACGCAAGCTTATGGGCACGGTTCGACTATGGTACTATTGTTGTCCAGATCTTGGGATCATTCATCTCTGGCATTTACATAGGCTTCTACTGCGAACCTCACTTACAGAAACTCTACTGGGCGATGGTATGCCGCAGCTTGCCCGTGCTTGAGATAATTCTTGATGCTAACTACTACGCCATCAGATCGGTTCACTGGGACTACTCACTGGTATCGTGGTTGTGAATTCCAGATTTCAGAGTCACAAGTGGCGGACGTTACGAGTCTGTACCTTTATTGCTACTGGCCTTTCTGCTTTTGCGCCCATCATACATGCTGCTACTATCTTTCCATATGCCCAGCTTGATAAGCAGGCTGGTCTTCGCTACTACTATCTTGAAGGTGTTGCAATGTTGACAGGGGTTTTCTTTTACGTTGTAAGCATCTCTGCTTTTAAACGTCCTGCTGAAGTTCGTTGCTAAGCGTAACTAGACTCACTATCCAGAGTCTCGAAAACCCGAGAAGTACGACATTTGGGGCGCCTCTCATCAGATATTCCACAGTTTCGTGGTGCTCGGAGCTGTCGTACATTTCTACGGCATTTTTAACGCGTTTGATTGGAACTATAATAACCGCCGATGCGTCTGAGCATTGTTGCGGGCAGAAACTCACTCGATCAGTAAGTAAGCAGAAAGGTATGGCTGACTACATTTTGTTTCTATACTGGCATGTTGTAAAATAGCCCCAGCTAAGCATTACTCTAAGAAGAAGCGACTACTTCGCCGTCTAATTCAGGCTGGGTGGAAAGGCAGTTGAGTCACATATATATATTCCCACGTGCAAACTTTGTTTAAAGTTAATTTCTCGAAACACTTGCATTTGTTCCTGGGTTGACAGGCTTGGAGACCCAGCTGACTTTAGGCGATTCGCCTTCATGTCTGAGGAGCTGTATGGCGGGCGCAGCATTCTCAGTGGCATCCCTATGAAGCTTGTTCTTGTTGAATGGCAGAAGCCAGTAACCTCAAGCGTCTCATGGACTGGAGAAGTCAAAGACGAACAGAAATGCTCTATGATTTGGCTGTAGGATTTGGGGTGTATAACTAAAGAAATGGCAATCAGGCACAAGAAGGAGACCTTCAGGGCAAAATTCACTGCGACAAGTCTCCAGCAACAACATGAGATAATATTTGATTCACCCGCCACCACTAATTCTAACACGGTTGCTCCCATCTTTAGGTATTACTATTACCATTGGTATGAGCTTGGGTAGTAGTATGATCTAGTATATATTCTAAATCGCTTTCCATCGCAGTACCAGCAGCAACATGTCCGGCTGAGGAAGTATTGAGGCTAAGGGGCGTCCACGACGCCTCTTTATCAGACTCTGATAACCAATGCTTCATCTGAGGGCTGATTGAAGCTTGGGCGCGCACTTCATTTTCGGCTGATGTGTGCATTAGCATAAGTACATCTTTCAAGGTCCTAGTACTATTTACACTCATCGTGCTTTTTGTTCGCGTCCGAAGCTTCAGCCATCTTTAGGTTCGAGGAGCTTTGGGCGTTGAACCGATAGAAGTGATAGACGAATTTCTTCAAGAAGAATGATGGGACATGAAATATTTTTATTGGAAGAGGAGTATTCCAATACAGTTCTCCCGAGATGAGTAGAGAATGAAGAACAGAACCTAGACAGCTAAAAGTACGGTGTGGGTATGCCTTTATATAAATAGCAACTGTGGCTGTCGCAGAGATTCCCAATCCCTCAGGCCCATATTGCTTCCAGCGTCGTATCCATATGACCATTTACTGATATGAAGGCCTATTTTCTTGATTGGAGGCTTGAGCCCGCAAGGCGTAGCGTGCGACTTAATAGACTACTTGTATGCGTGCATGACTGCCCGACAATCGAATGACAGTTAAACTTAATAGGCCTACAGGAGCCGACCTGAGCGAAAGGTCTTACATTACCGAAAATTTACTCGGGAGAGGAGAGGGGAGAAGGCTGTTCTGAGCGCCTTTGGGGAAATTCGCTGCCACTGCGGTTAGTTGCAATCGACGGCTATACCGAGTAATTTTGTTCGGAAAAAGTATGCATATAAGGGTCCCGAAATGGTTGCTCTCATGTACTCCCGATTTTGTGATTTCCTGATTATTTGATAGGTTGACACCTTCTACCGCTTTTCTTTCTTCTTACTCCTGCTCTTGTTTTTTCTCCTTGTTCTTGTTAATTTTCTAGTTTTATTTCAACTTTCCGTCTGCCAACCTCTTTCAAGCTGTGTCGACTGAGTTGCGTCTTTGTATGCGCCGACTTCATACTCTCAAGAATCTGGTCGTATCGGTGCACAGAGATAGGATGTAGTAGTCACACTTGGCCTTCGCTCTACATGTGATCATGTTGGATTCATTTTAAGCTTAAGTAGAATCGGCTGCGTAGAGTAACAGTAGAAAAGAGGAATATTAGAAATACTACTGATTTGTAGAAATTATTGATCTGGTACGTGCACTTATCTGTGAAAAAGAGAATGATTCTAAAGAGCTGCTGCTTGTCGCAAAATCCGTAAATGGTGAGTTTTTTAAGTCTTAGATTCAATTTTCAGCCGTTATTGAAGCGATGGGCCCGAAGTGATAGGAACACCAAGAAGACGCGCCTTCGCAGGTAATGGCAGTATGAATAGATGCAACTTCGCCAATTAAAAAAATCGGCCTTTGTCGCTTAGTCAATTAGTCACGTAGTGTATGTACATACTGCATGTGCACATCGAGAGGCATGCGGCACCCCTAACATTGTCTGCCTGTTTGGCATGATGAACCAGCAACATCAATAGGAGGCGTGGCAGTAATTGTGAAAGTGGCAGCAGTGGCAACAGTGGGATCCTTTCCCTTCCCCCTTTCAGTTAGTATTGCTGTTCGTGGGCTAGAGACCGTTTTCTTCTGTTGTGAGTCTGAAGCTGAGCCACTGAGCACTATCTAGGAAGTACCTAGATACTGACAACTCAGAGCCAGATCCAGACCCAGTGTTGCTCGTGGTTGCCGAAGAGCTTTATCAATGCGTTCGCGGGAGATGATTGTGAGTGGAAAAGAGAGAAGCAGCCTCAGCCTGATTGCGGGGTTCCACCCCCCCCAAAGACATACGTGCTTACATGACTTCATTGCCATCAGTCCCCAACCACAATTGTGTTCAAGCACTCCGTATAAGCAGGCGCGGCAAAACAGGCCTTGCATTAGTTCCCAGTTCCATCCTTGCTCCATCCGTCTAGCCAGTAGGGGGTGATTGGTAGGGGTGATTGGTGAGCGTGAAGCGACTGGAGATTCCCAGACCTCTGCCGTGGACCATACACCCCTGAGTAAATGAACCTCCCCGGCCGCGCTGCCATCCTCGCACGCGGGAAGGGAGACCTGGTCAAAGGCTGCAATGCAATATTTGCCAAACACCTATATAAAGTATTGACTGTGGTTAGTCGGCGAAGGCAGATGTAGCCACACATTTGCTAAACGCAACGTACGATAACTAGATTCGGAAGAACTAATGGATCTCTCTCTCTACAAGGCGCGAGGGCAAGAAAATCGTAGTTGCTGAAAAGCTTCCGTGAAATTGAATATATAACATTAATACCTACCTGGGTAGATAGCAATATTTGGATACACTTCTCTGCCTTTGTTGCCACTCCTAGGGAGGGTCGCGTTTTAGTCTACTAGAATCAAAAATGCATGTACCGAGTACGAACGAGGTTAAAATGGATGCTAACATCGCTGAGTGTCATGATGTGGCTGAGACGGCTGAAGGAGCACGGGACAGATGCGAGTTTTTTTCGTACACTCCGGGCGGCTGGAGATTTCAGTGCTCCATTTGCCGTGTAACAAAAGACGTGAGATTCTCAGTGAGATGCTGCTTAACTTGGTCGCAAACTATAATTAGTAAATAGTGCGTAGTTGATGTCTGAATCAACATGAAAAGTTTTGTTTCAAAACCACAAGCATTTCCTTGCAATCAAGATACAGAGTAAACAATGTTCTGAATCCTACAAGTATCCAAGTTCTAGGAAGCAGTACCTGCCCAGTACCTATTGACCGAAGAGCACGAGGGCCATGACGTGGATGTACGTGTCGTGCATCCAGACACTACATTGATCTCCGATTATGCATCTACGATGTGGTAAATCTGGTTTCGATATATTGATATGTTTATTGGCGTGGGATGCGAATGGGGATAGTGTAAGAGCTGTGTAGCATCGTGACTGTACCAGCGCTGGCGTCAAATCGAACAAATCACGAATGGTACCCACTGTCAAATTTTAGATGTATTTGATGTATTTATTAGGATGTTTTTCCCTTTTTCTCCCTTTTTCTACCCTTTTTTATTGCCTTCTCTTATCTTATCATATCGATAAGATAAGTGTCTCAGCTTATCTTATCTTATCTACGCTTAGTTTCTTTTGCATGCCCGGTATTTGATATAGATCAATTATATCAAAATATTCAGCCCAGTGATTTGATTGTATGATTCAAAAAATGATCTTGATTTGATCATTTGATTGATATATCTCATTTAATGGCGGCGCTAGAGTTGTCAAAATGTTATTTGCACGGCATCGGTATCAAGTCCTCAATGTTACTGTAGCAGGCCGAACCCTGCTCTGCAATGGACCTCGGGGGGTCTCTGGGCTCTGCATTTTCTATTTTATCCCTGCCCACCAATAGCGTCCAGCCAGCGTTCACGGATGCAAAGTAATGCGCTTGAGGACCCACATCTCACAACTAAAGGAAAAAAGGAAAGTCAGGTCCACTCGCCTCCCGATGCATGTCAGGCAGGCACCGCGGCGCTCGTAAATGGCCTCGCCCGCGAATTGACAGCGAAGATATTTCGTCAAACATGTACAGGTAAATGAGTAAGGTAGATAGATCCTGTACATCTATAGATCTATAAAGCAGCAATCGCTACTCCGTTTCATTTTCCTATTTTTCAAATTAGGAAAACAATAGCCATCAGATGATGTACATTAAGCTCTAACACGCCCCGCCATTGAATTACTAGCATCTACGCCTACTAGTGCTGTTGATAATGGTAGGACCTCAGCTGCCAGTCGAAGCTGAATGCCCGCCAGACTTCGCCTGGCTGGATGATGCATTGGAAAATTTTATATATGAAGATCTTGCATACGAATATGGGGTTCAGCATGGAAAAGAAATAGAAGAGTCCAAACCTGGGCACAGTTTGTGTGAGCAACCACTCTCGTTTAAATCGCATTGTCAACTGTTGTAAGTACGGATTAGGTACTGATCAAATCCTAGTGGAACTAGCTTGCACTTTACCCAATCCGCTCGCCCTTGAATTCCATCTTCAAGAGGAAACACCCTCGCTATGGACAACTTCTCGAGATACATTAGACTTGAATTCTGCGCTACCATTCTCTCCCGACCAAACCGCCTCCGAATCATACACAACCTACTCCGATGCAGTGAATAATGCCGATTCACCGCACAACCAACGCGGGCGGTATCACTGCCTAGAGTGTAACAGGCCTTTCAAGCTCGAGAAGGACCTTCGACGGCATTTGGAAACAACAAGAGCCCATCGACCGGCGGCTTTCCAATGTTGCTGCACGCATACGTCCGGCCGCAAAGACAATTTTCTCCAACATATCGAACGGAAGAAGCCCTGCAACCCTACTGTACCCTTTATCTGCTCGTGCGGATATCGAATAGAAAGCAACAGCCCAGACGCAATTGCTCTGGTACAAAAACATATTAAGCCTTGTGGACAGCGCAAGCGAGGCCGACCGAAAAAAAATAGCGTGCTTACCACCTAGTGCCCGGTGCCTTGTTAGTGGTGTCCTCGTAAGACAATAATTGATGTTAGTGGCCAGGCCTTCCTCGGCGCTGGTGACACCATCAGGCTAGGATGACAGTGTGAGCTCGGTGAATGTCTGTAGGTAAACGAACAGAATTACGACTGTACATGTGGGAACTGGTCGAGGGACAAGGTGGGGACCCCGGCACAATGAGAGGCCGTATGAGCTATGACACCCGGAGCGCTACTGGAAGCCGAGTGGGAATTATACGCAGCCGAGCCGGAGAAAAAGCGTACCTGTGGTATTTGAGCCGCGCTTGTTTGTTATTTGTTATTTGCAATCGACGTTCACTGCTCTTGTTTTTTTTCATGGCTATGGGAACTTAGATTGGGATGGATAGCAGGAGTTGACCAAAACATCGGCGTCTTTTGTGTACGCGGGAAATTAGTCTTTAGAGATACACTCTCTGGTTACTGGTTACAATAAGACGGGTTTTTAGATGATGTAGTTTGATGTGAAATGACTACAGATATTCTTGATTAAAGGATTCTTAATTTGCTTTCTGCATCATCCGCTTCAACTGAAAAGAGCCGTATAACATGAGGAAGCTTTATAAATGTGGATCCATAGGTAGTCTCTTCAAAATGATGTATCTAATATAAGCCAACGACGATTCCATCACCTGATAAGATTCCTAGAAATAGTGTACAAGCTACTCAAGATGGGAGTGAAGACGCCTACACTTGCAATGCCTCTGCTTGGCCTTTGGGTTCCTTGTGGGATCTGGCGTATAAGTCATCAGTGTATCCGGTTGCGGGCGATGCCACTAGAAAACAAAGCAGATGGAGTCTAGGGGTGGCTGGGTGTGGCTGTCATGTACAGTATCGGCAGCGGCCTCATGTCCGCAGACGCGACAGAGCTCGCAGCCACTAAGTAGCTCCGACGAGTTACCATCGTCACATGGGGCTGCGGTGCGCTTACTACCTTATTTTTGTAGCGGTTTACATGTATAGAGTTCTTCTTATTAAATTGCTACTCTGGCCATGTGATGCTCCATTCAGTCCACACGTTAAAGCGTTGTCGTGCCGCTCTCTACGAAAAATAAAAGGAAAGGCGATTTTGAGTGGCTAACTTCATGGGGAAGCACGCTCGTAACTACCTATCCTATCTTGCCGTAATTATGAAAAGCAGCGGAAATTATGGATGCAAACACTAATCAGAAAAATAAGGCTTTGGTTCTGTTCGTACTTCTTTCCTGTCAAGATAGCAGGATTAAAGGAGAAGGTACCAAGGGGGCAGCGCACAAATACTCTACTCTAATAAAGACTGGAACTCTAAGTTCGAATGATGCATTCCTATTTCAAGGTCTACTATGCACTAGTAACACCTGACTGATATCGAAAATGGTAGGGCCTGTGTCACTTTTGATGATCATCCGCCCATTCGCACCACATTATGCTGATAATCTTGATCCTCTATCGCCCCATGTAGAACATTTCCATCGAAGAAGACGAAGACGAAGCCGAACACTTATTAAATGTCTTGTTGGAAGATGAATCCAGGCCTTATGGGTCTCGAGTCAAAAGTTTGCTGGATGTTGCGTCGGACAACGATGGATATGGCGCGGCTGTTGTAGAATCCAACCCAGAGAGCAATCCACGTGAGTACTCTACCTGTAATCATATCCTTCACTGCACCAAGGCACCTCTCTCAATCTTAAATTGCGGCTTTGGGCTAACTCCAGTGCTCTCAGCTCTCGTTGTTGACGATTCGACTACTCTCGAATCTCCTCCGAACAATGAGACTCAGTCGCCTGGAACAGAGTCTCCGCGACCGATAACTCCTACAACCGCGTCGAGCTTGAGTGCCGCACCGAGTCCAAGCTTAGCGTCACCGTTTATTCAAGACCAACCCACACCCGGTTCACACACAGAGCATGTCGGCGATGTAGTGAGCAGCACTGGGTCTCCTCGCAACCAAGGCACGCCGAACTACTGCGCAGAGTGCGAAGCACTATTCAAGTCTACAGACAGTTATCGGCGGCACATGATTACCTCCAAAGCCCACTTAACCTTGGGATATCAATGTCGCTGCAAGCGACTGTTTGGCCGTAGGAGCGGATTCCGCGATCATATCGAGAACCCCAACAAACGCTGCAATGTTTTCGTGCCTTATGTCTGTTTATGTGGTTACAAAGTTAAGAATAGCCGCCGGGGTTCAATACGCTTGATACTGCAGCATATCAAGACTTGTCGAAGCAAACACCGATAGAAGGAAGGAGATGCTACCCGCAACTGGGACTGTTTATACACTGCATGTAGTCACTGCTCTACAACTGGATCATTATGGAGCTAGCTGGTCTTTCTAATGTGTATCATAATATAGATTGGATAATTGTTATAGACGGGATGGAGAGGCAAAATTGGCAAAGAGAATGGCATTGTTGCATAAGCAAAGCCTACATTTAGAGATGGCTTCTGGTTATTGTTTACTGTTACATCAGATTTGAAATGGTTCAAGCCAAACCCATACGTACTTGCCTGCACTCGCTGAGTTTATTCGCTGAGTTTCCGCAATGAAGGTTCGTCATAGTGCCTTCAATGTTATTGTACCAAAGAAATATGTAAGTAGGCACATATAGAGAATATGTATACAAAATGTAACTACTTATGATATGTATGGCACACGATCTTCTAAACATCCCCCGGCATTGACGAGAGGCTATACAATGAGACAACTCTTGGGGCGTTTACTTGTCTTATGTGAGTTTAGCGAGGCTTGTCTCCTCTCTGATCCCTCTTGTGTCGGAAAAGCCGATCAACCTTCAAATGCATGTTGTTGATACTAGTGCCCAGCTGTCAAAATAGCATACGATATAGCTTCCTCCTTAATACCCAAATGCCCATCAAAGTGGCAGTTCCCTGCGCCATTACCCGTATGATATGGTGCCATCGCCCAATGCAGTAGTATTCATGAATGTTTTTCCTTTCTACGCTGCGGCAACCTCCATATCTAGGACTGATAAAGCTGTTGCTGCTCTATTTCATAAAGATTATATTACATCTCCAAATTTGCCCAACTATACTTTGCCAGAGAGCAGAGTTGTACGGCAATAATGCTTGCGGCTTAGGCCGTGTTACTGGCCGCTCCGTTGCAAGAAGTGCCTCCTTTTCACATCATCAAAGTGTGATCTCATTTCTGGTGGGATATAGATCTATTAAAAATTTCATCAAGTGATGATCTTTCGGCGAAACGTCCCTGCCTGGTTCATCTAAAGTATTTTCCTTCGTAGGGATGGCCAGGTTGAACCCTAGGTCTTTTGACAAGCACTTCATTTCGATCTAGTCGAGAGTGAAATTAATACGGAGATGATCACTGCCGCGTTTACTGGTGAAGTCAACGACGCCTGCTAGAAGGTTAGCCGTGGAGAGCATTGTTCTTTTCTTTTATGCGCATTCTGTTGTCCGCGGGAGGACTACAAACGTTTTCTCTATGTCTATTTTGGACATTGTGTGTATAAAGGGGAAGATATACTGGAAATAATGAAGTTACATGTATATTCTGACACTGTGGTCAGAATGGCGTGTCAGTCTTGATATACCTGCCGTGTGAGAAGCGGCGATCTTTTGTTTGTATTCGCCTAGATTTAGTAGTGTGAGTGTGCCGTCGGCGAATATCTGAAAGCGCGCAACAAATGTATGAACGGCGGAGGGGACGTAGCTTTCCATCTACTAAAGGCAACATCTGAATCTGACGACAATAATAACATATTCAAGGAGATGAAGTTCCTCTCCTTGTAGATCCAGCAATAAGTTACAAGTAATGGCAATAGCAGTAGCCGCAACTCCATAAAACAGAGACCACAGAAAGCTACAAAAAGACATGGTAATGTCATCTTCACAACATCAAAAGTAAGAAAAGATGACGCACTTATTTACGCACATCATCCTCGTCGTACATGTGGCATCAATGCTGCTTCATACACGGGTTATCAGTTCATGTCACAGCTCCTCTCTCTTGTGAAATATACACTAACACTTAAATTTTCATGCTTTATTTGAACTAGAAAAGTTTAACTTCAGAGTTATCCAAGATTATCCTGCTTTCTATCGAGGCAGTTTAAGCTCAGACAGGTTGAAGTTCATTTTGGGGCAGCATTCGAAATTACATGACAAACATCAGGTTGGTATCTACGTCGACATGTTAGATAGATTCAGAATTGTTAGTTACAAGATCAACATACCTAGAGGATGGCTGCAAGACAGCTGTGGCTTTTGAGTATACTTGGTCTCGAGAATCTCTCGGACGCTGTTGAGCAGCTCGACATAGCTCTGTTTAGGGTTCCTTTTCAGAGCAGAAATGAAAGCCCATGACATGGCGCCGGTGGCTTCAGTTCCGACAAAGGCATCGGCGCTGTTAAACTTGAGTCAGTATTTCGACTCTTTAATAAATGAATGCAAATTGCAATAGAGCATAGCACGTACGATGTCTGATCATCTTTGCTGCCGGACCACATGATAACATCCGCTGACGACGTCCGCGTAGCCACCGTCTTCTTGTAAGCTCCATCTCCACCGAAGGCCTGCTTGGCGAAGCCCATGAGGCTGCTGGTCACACCGGCTATATCACCCGAAGCATACGAAGATATGGCGCCCAAGAGGCCCTGGCCGGCTTCCTTGGCCAAGTTGGGCTCTTTGAGAACACCCTTGGTAGAGTACACATAGGGCAGATCCATGACGGTTGCCGAGTGACATGAATCGAAAATGGCTGTAAGGCGAACACCCGCTTGCAAGGGCCTCACAACGCGGAAATGAATTTCATCATCCACGATATGTCCAGCTTGTTGGAAGTCGACAGGGTATATGACTTCGTCGGAACCGTCCTCCTCGTCGCCGTCTTGATCTTCAGTCTGGCCCCCGTGGCCTGGAAACGATAAAAAATCAGTCTACAAACTACATGTAATATCGTCCAGGCTTTACTTACCAGAGTAGTGAAGGAATAGGGAGTCGTTGGGCTGTGCGTCTCTGACAAGCCAGCCCATGGCGTCTTGGATGTTTGCCTTTGTTGGCCGCATTCTGGGCTCGGATTGGTCATCGGTCAGAATGACCATATCCTCGCGCTTATAGTTGTACTTTTCAATCAGGAAAGCTGACACGTTGCGGACGTCGTTGATGCATCCCTTCAGTTCGGCCTTGCTGCCAAAGTAGTTGATTCCAATCAACAATGCTTTTCGCTTTCCCGTACAATTCGAATATTGGAATGTATAGCCAGCCGGCGCGCCATGGCCAAACTGTTGAGGGGCAGAAGGCGGCGGCGGACCAGCTCTCGCGTGCGCAGCGCTCGGAGGGTTGAGAGGATTGCCGTGGGGATCGAAGCCTGGAGGCGGGTGATGCGAGCCGGGATATTGATGGAGCTGGCCGCCGTTGTATCCGCCCTGAGGTGGTCCATATCCTCCCTGAGGCGGTGCGTATCCTCCATGCTGCGGCGGAGGCTGTTGGTAGTTGCCGTAGCCGCCCTGTTGAGGAGGAGGGCCGCCGTAACCGCCCGGAGCAGGCGAGCTGTACTGTTGCTGGGGAGGATAGCCGCCGTGTCCTCCATAGCCGCCCTGAGGAGCGCCGTATCCTTGCTGGGGAGGACCAGAGTTGTATCCTCCCTGGTTGTATCCTCCCTGTCCATCATAGCCGCCGCCGTTATAGCTGGGCTGAGGAGGGTAATTGTTGTTGTTGTTGTTGTCGTATCCGTAGCCACCACCGCCGCCGTGATGGCCCGCGCCGTGGTAGCCTTGCCCAGGGTATCCGGACATGGCCAAGAGGTATCAATCGATCGATTGAGCGGGTAGAAGGTAGGTCGGGATGCTGAGAGAAGAGAAATCGATAGCACTGCTGTTGATAGGGCTTTTATTGAAACAAGAGATAGCTGAGCGAGCTGGACGAGCTGGAGATGGTTGTATTATGAGGTATGGGCTACTCCTACTTCTAACTAACTTAGATCGGCTGCGTGTGTAATCAATTGGAGGCGGTGCCGTCAGCCTCTTCTGCCAATAACACCAGACCATACCAGAGTCCGGCTTGGCGGGCCCCGTAGTCGCCTGAGCTGTCCCTTTTGGTGCTGAAACTATGTACATACTTGCAGCTCATATTCCACCATGGCTGAGACGTTTTGCATGTACCTACGCTTATTTGTCAAAAATCTAGCAATATCTGCTACCCGAGTTTCCAATAGCAACTGGGTTGCTAGATAGGTAATACTGGTGCTGAATTTTTGGCATTCAAGTGTGTGGGTAAGGTAGGTAGTGCTAGCATTGAGTATTAGACATCATGATCAATTCTGTGGCTGTGCAGGGCATCGCATCCACTGGACAGTGTAACGAGGACCTCCAAAGTCCTGTAGGGCGCAGTTCTGCTTGGCCGCAGCCCGATGTCGTCAGAAGTTTGGACAGTTTCCGTTTTCGTCCCATCAAACTGCATGTTGGTTGCTCTGTTTGACGTTTAAAGCATGGACTCCCGTCTGATAGCCGCCAGGGCTATAAGTGTTAGTAGGTACACGCTTTGCCCCTCGTTGTGTATATCCAAGCTCTACTTAGAATCTTCTGCCCCTCCATCCACATAAGCATGTACATCGGCCTGCGGCGAATATTGAAACAAGCCAAACAACTGCGCTTGGCTCTAAAACTCCTTACACAGAGTCTCTTCTGTCCGTTCTCTCTGCACCATTATCTAAAGCCAAGCCTTCCAGTACCACATACACAAGCCATAAGCCAATTAACAAGGCTCATTCACCTTGGCTCTTTGCCAAGCACTCGGCGGTCCCCATAGAGGTACAAAGGGCATCTTCGTCTTCGACCAACAAGCCAGAAAATGGCGCGTTCGGTACGGCCCGTGTGACTGCTCAAGTACTACAGCGAAACAGGTCACATTCCTTTGGTTTTAGAACGCTGTGCTTGTACTAGAACATGCGATGAAGTCGGACCAACAAAACGGGTACTCGTAGATGTCGTTGGTCCGGCGCCTCTTCCGGGTCCCATTCACTGAAGCGCTGCCTGCGCCTCGTGCCGCCCAGCGCAATCATTTCAAGTAGCAGTGCATGCATAGCCGGCCCCCAGTAAACCCTTCTTTGAACATTCTCACTTTGCACTTTGCTTTATTCTCTTTCCACCAGCGGCAACTATATCTGGACACTTTCTTCCGCCCTTTATTCGTTCTTTTCGCTCTGTTGCAACTTCTGTTTCTGTCTACACTGAGATTGCGTATCAGTAGCCGTTCTTGCGCTGTTTCAGCTCGGGTTCCATAATGTCGTACGTTGACAATCTTTCAGGCCAATTCGGCGAACTCGGAATTGGAGGTGGCAGACCGGGCTCTCAGCCCTACCAGCCTCATCTACCCGGTAAGGGCTTCATCGAATTTACATTTGTTGATATAAACGGAACCAACGGAACCTATAGCTGATTTTCGCAATGGGTTCAGACCAGCATGGGGGATATGGCTACCATACTTCCATCGATGAGAGGCCTCCTTCTGGGCCTCCTCCTTCGCAATATCACGCATCTTCTCAATCTTCATCTGACAGGCCGCCTCTTCCTAAGGGATGGGTTACTTACTTCGACCAAGACTCCCAGCGATGGTCTTACAAGAACGAAGAGACTGGAACGGCCCAGTGGGAGTTCCCTCTTTTCGACCCCCCCTTCAACCCCCCTTCTCATCAACCCCCTCTTCCGTCAGGGTGGACTCCTCACTTTGACTACAGATACCAGAAATGGTTCTACACGAACAGAGATATCGGAATAGTCCAGTGGGAGGCCCCTGGATATGATAGCTTTCAGCCTCAGTCAGAGCCATTTCCGAACAGTGCTTCGCGTGACAGTGGCTCTTCGCCGTACCCCCCTGCAGCCGCTTATGGACAAACGTCAGGAAGCTATTCAGCTCCCCCAGGCCCATCTCACTCGGCCTCTTACGGTGGTTCTCCAGCGCCTCCAGCAGGCTATGGCGCGCCTTCAGGATCCGGGCAATATAGCGGTTATGATGGCGAAGATCACGGCAGAGAGGAGAAACAAAAAAGCTCTTCTGGAACATCCGTGTTCCTCGGTGCGGCTGGTGGTGTTGCCGCTGGGCTTGTGGGAGGTGCCCTCTTACACCACGCTTTGGAAGATGACAGCAGCGATGAAGAAAGGGAGCGTCCACCTTACATCCCACCTCAACCTGTAATTGTCGAAGAAGAATATCGCAATGAGTATAGTTATAATGACGATCTTCCTACAAGAGACGAAGAGGGACGCTACGTGTCGGAAAGCGATCGGGAGTCGGTCGAAGAGGCGCGAGAGAGATATGAAGAGGCTCGTCATGATGTTGAAGATTCTAGTAGCCCCAGTAGCAGCGATTATGAAGAGCTAGAGGAAGCTAGAGAAGAGTACGAGGAAGAGTACGAAGAAACGTATGACGACTAATTCGTTGATATGGGCGGAGTTTGAGCCAGGGAAGGGGTGGATTAGCGGATGTAATAGGCCGGTTTGTGACGCCAAATGTAAGTTAATGAGATATTTTCTCTGCTAGATATACTTAGTTATTCGACTTTTGCGCAATCTGCTTTTACTATACATGAGAATGGTGATAGGGAGCCTTAACGTGACGTCTTCCAACTGCTGATGGAATGCCTTGCCGTTCGCGTAAGATGGCAGCATACTTCAATAAATCTACAAGTTTCATTAAACTTGGTTCTTTCTTTGAACAGGTGCTTTGGCATCTTAGTTCAAATATAAAAGTCCCGTCTTCATCAGTGTCATGGGATTCACCAATTTCTATTTGCCTAAATTATCTCCTCTATCTAAACTCCCTCCGCGGTCAACAACCTACCTCTTATCAACTGCTCTATCAAACTTTTGGGTCAACATTTACATATTTCCTTCGTCTTATGATATGTGTTCATACGGCGGTCGATTGATTCGATAGCTGCCGTTTCTGCAACTGCAAGCCGCTAGACTGCCTGCGGTGGTAGACCCCTTTGGTTAGAGATCTTGCACTTACATTCTCTGGGTGTTTCCGAATAGAACCATCATGCTTAAAGTGTTCCGCTATACTTATTATTTTCTTGGTGAGGAACTGCCATACCCTGCTACACCTCTTGATTCCATATTCTATACATCTTCAATTTTGCTTTGAGTTCGAACCTTTTGTTTTTAACCAGCCGTAATGTATGCTCATAATAGTCTTTCTCTAATATCTTTTTTGAGGATCTCATGATTCAAAATCTCCCCCTCACTGCACCTTTGCAAACCGACTCTTTGATCGAATCCAGGGACCGAATCGGTAAAACGCATACGGTACCGTCGTAAACACGAGTGAAATAAGTCCCAGCATGGTCAAGGCCCAGTGGATGCCGAGGTTCTTGTACATCGGGATAGATATCTCAATCATGCCTCCCGAAGCAGCATATCGCACCAGTGTAATCATTGTTAAAGCGCTTGCCGCGTAAACTTCGTACATATCGATGAGATACATGTATGTCGACACAAAGACAGAAAGTATGCCGAATCCGAAAAAGACAGAGGCCACAATAGGCGACCAAATGCTTACATGGGGGTATGCGGTCCAGCCCATCCAGAAGAAAGAGATGGGGATGGCTGGTGCGCCGATGAGGGCATACCACAGGAAAAACTCGGGCGGGATGCGAGCATTTCCATCAAGCTTCTCGGTTTGAAGCTTGGTGATCTCCTTCTTTGCCCATCTGTAGAGGAGGGGAGTGAGGATCAGGGCAGCTAGAATCAGTCCAATTCCGATGCCCAAGAAGAGGAGACCAGTAATGCCATCAGAGAGGTTGTAGGTTTGCTGGAAAACAAACGTATAGCCGTCGAGGAAACCAAACAGCATCAGGTAGACAACAGTCAAATATCCGGTCCATAGCATGATTGTGGGTTCCTGGACCGTCATAATAAACGGTCGCTTTACTGCCGTCAACATGCGAGCGCTAAAGGACAAATGTTGTATTTCGCCAGCAGAGACGTAGCGCTTGTCTCCAGTTAGTCGGCGGAGGTGGCTCGCCTTCCACTGCAGTAGAATTGGCTCATAAGTTTCGGGCTGAAAGAGAAGCAGTGATACGAGAAGGGCTCCGGATGCGATGATGGAAACCCATTCCACCCATCGCCATGATACGTCTGACGACTGAGAGATCCAGCCGCCAATTATAGGTCCAGTGATTGGACCCATAAGGCCAGCAGCTGTGATAATTGTTAGTACCATCTCACAGTACATATTTTGTTTTTGTTCAACTTACTTGCAAATATGGGAAATGCAATCAAGCGGTTCAGAGGATCCCACATATCGCTAATAGATCCTCCGACAGTAGACAGTGGCGACTCTCCAAAAAATCCGGCAAAGAATCGACACACCACCTGTGCGCCTAATGATTTTGATAATCCAGCTCCCATAAGGAAGAGCATGTATATCGCCAAAGAGCCAAAGTATACGGGGTTACGGCCGACCGTTTCCGACATTGGACCAGCAACGAGAGCGCCAAATCCAAAACCAACAAGAAACTATTTCAAAAGTCGAATGTTAGATAAGACACATGAATCCAAGTTGGATTTATGGAGTTCCTACTTACCAAACCTGTTGCAAGTGCCTCAGCAACTTGGCTAACTCCAAAATCTTTTGCCGCTCTTGCAATCACTGCTGAGTCTATAGATGCCGCCATACCAACAACAAGCGCAATCATGCCAACATTAAAGGTACAGAATACACGTTTGGTAAGTGACCAATTGCGTGGGTTCAAAGGGTCGTCTGGCCCTTCAAAGCTGACGACGAACACATTCTTATCGTTCGCATCCGGATGCTGTTGTTTGGTTATGCCCGTAAGCGCTGCTGCTAGATTTGTGCCTATCTTGCTAATAGGCCTTTCTAGTTGTGATGCATCGTCTTCGACATCTGTTGAACCCGATGAAGGCGCTTCTAAGTCGACATCGGCGGGCTGCACATCTGTTGTGGATGGAATTGTGTGGTTTGCTGTTCGGGTTCGATGCAATTGAGCTTCTAGGCGTTTGCCTAAAGAGCTGTACTGCCGGAAGGACTGCATGGCAGTTGTTTTGACCCCAACACCAGCACCTAGTGAAATACGGGAGAGGATCGTGTGGGAAAAATTTAAGAGCTCTTATATGAGGCTCGCTACTTGACTGAGTTGCTGTTTGCATCAATTAATTCAGAAGTCTTCAAACTGATATTATATACATTAATAACTGCATAGGAACTGTAAATGCATCTGTCTGAACGAATTTTGCGGCCCGTGAAAAGCGGACATCCGTCGCCGTTGATATGGAATCAAGCTCCACGATGATATGACTTTGGCAGCAATAGTCAATCAGCCATGCCGCAAACCCAAGACAGACGGCCGAGTCCGGATGGCTTACGAGCGGCTCAAGTTGCTAATTGTCTTTAAACACCATTACCAATTGCCTATTGTTCGGCAGTCAACAGCCGGAGTACTATGCTTAGGTTGGTAATAGTCAGCGAATCACCAAAGTTGAGAAACCGCCTAAATATGGAGTAGGTAGCTATATCAGCCGGCGGCCCCGTAAACTAGGCAGTATACGATGTAAAATGTCTACTACGCCGTTAGTAGGAAACAGTCCCCTTGTGCCAATTGCTCCGCTATGAAAAAGACCCTTGATTGCGGCATCCGAAAGAAGATGCTCTTTTCAAGATGTAACCGATCTCCATTCGAACGAATATTACATCACCAGATATAATAATCGGTACCTTTTGCTATCAGATGTAAATTGGTAGATCGATTGCGACGATCCGCAAACCATTAGTCGCTTGATTCAGGTAAAGAGGCACGTACCTTGACGTGTTTAACATTCGATTTGCTTTGTATCACTATATCTATCCCCCAAAGAGAAATCCCTTCAAAACATCAGCGCACATCACATACAAATTGTCGTAGCAGGCCGGCGGTGTTTTCTTTCCGCATGCCTCCGACGAACCATAGGATTTACACGCTCGCAGACATGTAAAGCTGATCTTCCAGAATGGCCGGACTCATCTCGGGTTTAAGTGTGGAGTTTTACGTCATCAGGGTCTCGCTCTTATAGAACTAGCGAGACAACTCTAATCACCCCTTGAACAACTCCAAAGGTTGCAGTAATCTTTAGCCTTACCCCCCATCTGCTCCGCAATCGGTATTGCTCGCCAAGGGCCATCTAGATAGATGGAAAGGCCTAGACGCCATTCTGACTCCAAGTCCCATCGAATAGCTTCACAGCATCGACCATGATATGGAGCAGGGCCCTGTCAAATTTGGAATCATTGCTTGAATATAAGGCAATCGTAAAGATGACACGCAATATACGTACAGATCTTTAATTTCACTCTGAGCTAAGCTCCGGATGGTGTCATAATTTCATGTTATTTAGACTTCATCGAACACCGTCGCGATTGTGAAGAACTTATATGTTTGATATAACTTAATATTCATCATAAACGATTTTCTTTGTTATCCGTCTCGTCAATCATTATATACGTGATTCTCCGCCGCAGCTTGAACTGCGGAATCCAAGAAGCACGGCCAGAGACATCTATATGCGTTGGGTGATGTCAAATCAAGTATTTCTAATTTACATTAATAGATAGTGATATATAATTGATGAGGGCTTAATACACAGCGACTCTAAACGAAATGATGGATTAACCTGTTACAAGATGCTACACAACATCTGTAATTCTCTGACAAACTTGGCTCTTCCCGGGCCATTTTTCTCGATTAGCACAGCTAGCTTGGTTTCTGAGGGGTAAGAGTATCGGCTTGCTTTTCTGCCTCACTGGTAGTCTGCTCCTTTGCTTCTTGGGTAGTTTGCTCCTCCTCTCGAGTGGTTTGTTTTGCTTCTCGAGCTGCTCGTATCCCTTCTCGTAGTGCTCGTGCTTCTTCTCGTAGTGCTTGTATTTCCTCCCGTAGTAGTTGTGCTTCTTCCCGTGCTGCTCTTTCTTCTTCCTTTGCGGATGGTGCCTCTTCTGTCTTTGCGGCACTGGCCCGAAGGGCATAGTGATTTTCCCCCAGACGTTCATTTTCATTATCTTTCTTCGGTACCAACACTGTCACTAAATCTTCTTCCTTTTTGGAAATAACGGCGGCTCGTGCCTCTGCTGCAGGAACAGCCTCATCTTTTGCTTCTTGCGCCGACTTCTCAGCCGCATCTCTCTCAGCAGCCTCTTTAAAAGCAACCTGACTGACACCAGGAGCCTCCCACTGAGTTCGTCCAGTCTCTTGGTTTTTGTAGTACCATCGCTGTTGTCTGTAGTCGAAGAGGGGAATCCACCCCGGGGGAATGGGCGGCATATGAGGAGGAGGATTGTAGGCGGGCGTAACTATAGGGGCTTCCCACTGGGCTCGCCCGGTATCTTGGTTGACATAGGCCCATTGCTGGTGACCGTGGTCATAGAGAGGTATCCATCCCTGGTAGATAGGCGGCATGTGGGGAGAGAGTTTGAAGGGGAAGTTAAAAAGAGGCTCCTGCCAATACGTTACATTGGTCTCCGAGTTATAATAGTAAGTTCTGTGAGTTTTTTCTTGGGTGAGTACAACCCATCCTGGAGGAAGAGGCAGGTCCTCAGAAGGCACAGACTTTGACCCAGAGTCTGACCAGCCATCTCCGATTCCGAGTTCACTAAGTTGCCCCTGGAAGTTGCTGGCAAAGCTCATGCGGACACCACCTTTAAGGTTCTCGTACAATGGCAGGGGCTGTCCATATAAATCGAGAAGTGTCTTTATAGCAGAAGTGGTGTCATGAAATTCGACAAAGCATATGGGCCCGGCTTGTGTAGTCTTAAATAACATTTTCTTATAGCCTTGCTGCTTAGAGAACATAGCTTTGAGTCCTTCCTCAGATGCTTCGTTTGGGAAATTGTAGACATAAAGGGTACTGGAACCAGTATTCTGCTCGCTTGTTGGAGCATTATCAGCGATGGTCGTCAATTTACCCTTGCCTTTATCTTTTGATGGTAATCTCTTCTGAGCGTTTTCGCTGTCATCGTCTGCATCAGATACCTCAGAGCCGTTTTCAGAAGCCTCATTCGAGTGAACTCCCATTGGCAGCGCCGAGAGCGAAATCTCTTCGAGATGCTTGGAAAAGTGTCCAGTAACAGCCAACCTTCCGCTACCAGTTACGTGTTTGCAAAAGGGACACTCGAGAGAATCCCAGCTGGGCTCCATCCCATGGTCTAGTGCCAGATGAGAGATCCATTTCTCACGACTTTCAAATGCCGTACTGCTATACGAACATGATACGTCCAGACACGCATATGGTTGAAGGTCAAGATAAATATGACGTCTTGAAAATGATCAGTCTCTCGTACAATCAAGCTCATCATGGTTCAAACACTTACTTCCAATCGGAGTTGTTGGTGATGACAACATTGCTATTGCACGCAATGCAAGAGAAAGGCATGCCATCTTTGGCGCCTTTTGGAAGTGGCGGTACGCGAACGGATTGGACTTTGCGGCTTTGACTTCTTATCGTTTCTGGGTGGATGATTGTCGGCCCTATGGAGGTGCCAACTCCAGAATCATGAAATTTAGAACCCGTGATGATTGTGCTGGCAGGTTCTGGCGCCTCCCGCTCAGTCAAAAGCGCGCCACCTTCATTCTCTATAGCGTCTCTGTTTGCTTGGCATCTCAGATAACGTTCAAAATTAGTGTTTCCAAGACGTGAAGCAAGGGAACGGTTTATAAGAGGGAAGTCTTTGATGATTTTGTCAATATAAAATTTCTGCGGACTCCAAGCGGAGTGAATATCATCTGTAGCAGCATCTTCTTTCTGAAAATCAAATACGGGATACTTAATGAGAGGATCGAGGCTGGACAGAACGTATGTATCGATTCTTAGGTCCTCTGCAACCTCATAGAGGTCATCATCTGAGAAAGTAGATCCGGCATCACTCGAGGAATCATCACCCTGTTTGCATGACTCTTCGTAAATAATGCTATTAGCCTTTTCGATGCTGGACTCAACGCCCGAACACAACTGCTGCAGTTCCGCCGTTGAGATTTCAGCTAAGGGTATTAATCCTGCAGATCACAGGAGGCACATTAGCCATCTAATAGGCAGTTTTTACGGTGCGAGAAGCGATGCATACGTACGTTCGGTGAGTACACGCCCGAGACGTGAAAGGTTCTTCAAGACCGTGTGGCGAAGTTTGCTTGATCTCTGAAAGATATCATTGAGATGGCCCTGAGCGATCCCGTAGCCATCTGACCACAGGATCAAGGCGGTGCAGCTACGTTCGAGGCTGATCCGAACATCGTTTGGGATGGTAGCTTGCTCCCGTAGTAACAGAATAGCCTCTTTGAAAAGCGACAATAAACCTGCGGAGAGGCGAGGGATTTCAATATGTTCGAGAACCTTGTCTACATAGTCTGTAGATTGAAGGTTCTGCTGCTGGGATTGCCATTTCCTGATATCATTGACCAGATCGTCGTTTCCATGCTGAGATTGTGAAGGTTGTGCCATCCTGGCTCTGTATCACTTTTTCTGGCGCATCAGCCTCGAAGTATGTATTTTGATTCGTGAGATTCGTAAATCGATGAAAAGGTCATCGATGATTGCCGGCATGAGCTACAGAGAAAAATGCTGCTTTGTAGAGGTAAACACCGTAAACGCATATAAAGCGAGCTGGGTTGTTACGCGAATAAACAGGTCGCACAAAAATCCATGTACATAGCCGCCCTGGAAGCGCGAGGTGTTCTGAGAATAGCTGGATTTAGCCAATGGCATTGCTGGAAGCCGACTGGGATATGATGGCTGTGTGGGTTTCGCAGGGCATGCTGAATGCATATATCGCATATAAGCGTATGTAGGACGTGTGTATTCGAGGCTGCCGCTGCGCGCTTCGCCTCAGTTGTCTCTAGAAATCCTGTAAAGTCGCGTACCATTTGTGATTTCAATTCCTACCATAGATCAGCGTGAAACGAAATCATCTCAAAATCCGCCGGCGAGAACCTTCAAATTGAGAGTCAGCACAGCTAACGATACCCGCAAAATGGATCCAGTGTCCATTATGTTTAAGATCTTGCCTCAAGTGGGGAAAACCATTAGCACTTACAAAGAAGTTCGATCCAAATTCAAGATCTTTTGTCATTATTCCGCCGAGATTGAGAGAATTCGAAAACTCTTTGGTGCACAACGAGGCTGTTTTCTTAACGAGGTGGAGTTGCTACTGAGGCTTGTCATTCCAAACAAGACAGAAATCGACGACATGATGAAAAATCCAACGCATGGCCAATGGGGTGGGTATAGACCTGCGGCAGAATTGGAAGATTTGTTCGGGAGAAATTTGCTGCTGTTGAAAGATGTCATCGATGATATAAACGAAAGCATTACGGCGCTACAGAACGCGTTCCAGTGCTTCCTACCACTGGAGGAAGAAAAAGAAAGAGTAAGAAGCTAACACATGAAAATATCATATAGGATCTTATAACTAACATTCCCGTTAAGGATGAGAATCTCAAGTCAAAGCCCTTGAAAGATGCCATGCGAAAACTGAGAAAACGAGTCAAGGTTACTATCGAGATGAAAGATTTTGAAGACAAGATAGCCTGCCTCGAGAAGTCCAACAGCGAATTATTACGACTCCGAAAACAAGTCAACGAACTGCAGGCGCCTTCGTGCTGCGCAATCAAGAGATCATCTGATAGAGCACGAAAGCTGCCCGCAGAATTTGGGGCATACGGATCTATACGACGCGCATCCAAGGCTCTCCACGAAGGCCTCACAGCGACGTGGGCAGAAGCAGAGGTGCCAAGCCTCCGGCATCTTGTCAAATTGTTCATAGATGCCAAGGCAGATACTGAAGTTCAGATGGAGATTGCAATTCTGTGCTATGATGATGTGCCGCAACAACAGCCACTAGTTGAAACAGGCATAACGAGAGTACAAGTCCGATCAAGAACTATGGGCTCTATCGCCTGGTCTGGTGCAAGTTCGTTGCTTCCGCCGCCAAAGATGGATGAATCACAGAGAGGCCAGCGAAAGCGTCAGAAAGTGAGGTTTGCTAGCATCAGCGACAGCTCTGACATTGCGAGCGAAGTCTCACCAGCAGCATCTGCTGTGTCTATAGCTACCTCACAGTCATCAGGCGCTGCGCCAGATGACTTACAGCTTACTGGGCACTTTTGTTCGGAGCTCTCGAATCGCTGTTCAGCCCCAAACATATCAGGTAACGAGGAAAGCCTGGGGCACATCGACAGTGGCGCACAAGAAGCATTTCGGCATTGTTTCTTCCCCTGGCCAAAAGTATCCCATTGTGATAATATGGGAATAGACGACGTGATGCCTATGGATGAAGCACTTGGACAACCTGCACATAACAGACTTGACATTGTCAGCCAGCTACAGTTAGCTCACCGTCTCGTTTCTGCGGTACTCAAGTTCAACTCGACGCCTTGGCTCAAGGAGCTGTGGAATGTCGGAGACCTCGCATTTTTTCGACAAGGAGATGACCTGGCAGAATCTCTTCAAACGTTACACTTCGGAGTAGAGTTGGCTCACAACGCGCCAGGCTCTGAAGATACCGCGATGGAAGTTGAATCGCCCGCCAGTTTAGTACATCTTTCCATCGAAGACGCGCAATACAAACACGGTGTACGCAACGCAACGCTTTACAGTTTGGGAGCTGCTCTCTTGGCTATTGGCAGATGGGAGCGCGTAGATCATAACGACATTGAGGGGATTCGAAGACTTGCGTCACAACGGTCTTACTTGGGGCCGGTCTATCAAGAGCTGACACAAAGGGTTCTTGATTGTGATTTTGGATATGGGAAAGATTTGAAGAAACCGAGACTTCAGGAGGCGATATATGAGATGGTGATTCTAGAGCTGGAGTCGATGATTGCGAGTCTTGATATTTCTCGAGACTAAGGTACTTAGAAGCACCTATACGTAATAAAGTTTAGAAATGTAGAGGCAAGATACGGCTATAGTCTTAATTTAGGCCGTAAGCATAACACTTACTGTAGCTCCATTGTATGCATCGCGGTGCCAACCTAAGCCTTCACTTACATCCGCCTTACCATATCGTAAGTCAACTCACTTTATAATCTTCTGCAACATTCTCGATAAAAATATACTGCTCAACAAGCCCGCCATTTACTACAGCATATTAACGTTTCACCGACTCTTGAGGAAAGCCAATGAGGATGAGTACGTAAAATCGCCAAGCTACACCAACCTTGGAGCAGTGACCAATAACTTCTCTAGCTATCACAGCCTCACTTTGATGGTCTTGCCGTATAGCGCGTATTTGTCGGGTTCTCGCGTTGATCCACAACCAAGCCAAGCAGCCACTTTTAAGCGTTTCTTAGCGCTGAAGCAGCTTAAATTGCGAGTCCGAATGCTGGCAGTCCACGTCGCGCAGGATCGACGCTATGAAACATTTGGGCCTAGTTCAGCAGAGCTGGTTTGCTGGTGACGTTTGCTTAAGCACCGTATTGCTCGTAAATCCAGGAAAGTTGGTAGGGATTTGCTTGGTGTGGAGAGTGGTGTTTGTTAGTGTAAGCCTGGGTGTTGGTGATCTGTTTGACGTAGAAGGCGTAAGGACATGTATTTGGCTATCCCAATAAACTCATCCAAGAGATTGCGTTTATGATCTTTGTCAAAGGTTGCTCAATATATTTAAATGATTATTGCGCTGCAATAACTATGCTTTGGGTCTCCATTGCCAGCTCTCACTCATTTATGAAGTGACCACTCAATCAGTCCAGATCAAGCAGCGAATCCTTTCGTCCTATTTAGGATGTACGTGCCGCTGAAAGGCTCCCGCGCTCCACAGGAGACTTTAGCGGCTGGCTTGACCATTCTGGGCCAAATCTGGCGCTGTTAGCTCGCTGCGGTTGGCTGAGGCGTTCGCTAAATGCCGCCAAGGCCAGGGGATCCTACGGGGCTTTCAAGGCTTATAGACTTCAACGATAGCAACGAGCCGTGCACATGGCGCAGCTCTGGCCAGGCACCGACTTAGCAGCTCCTCTTCGACTCCTTTACATCATCCTCTATCCAGTCACAGGGCTGAACGATCCAACCGAGACTCTAGAAGCACATCAGACCCTGTCAATAATACGCGGATCAATGTCATGCCCGATCCAAGCTTTATCGCCTGCCATCACAGCGGCGGTTGAAGCTGGTTTGGAGGCTAGCGTCGAAGATGGCTTTTCTTGTCTGAGACAACTTGAAGAAGGCGTTGTTTGCTATTAAAAGCCATTGATCCTCTCTCTATTTTGTCTTATAATCCAGCTTGGATTTGGATCATGCTATTCAACCAATTCAAATCTTCTTTCTCTCCTTTGCGATCAACATTCTCTTAGGTAGAGTGCCTTCAAATACTACTCTCCTTCTCACAATAATTCAGCAAACCACTCTAGCATGGAATAAGCCTCAATAATCACACGCCATCATGGTTCTGTTTACTCAAATACGAGCTCTGACGGAGAAGACGCTCAAAATCATCATCACTCGCCACTTTTTGTCAACCTTCTACAGTGCTCTGATCCTTCCCATCGTCCTCTCCGTCTACTTGGGTATTGGGCAAAAATTCACTCAACCCAACGACAAATTCGGCATTGGCTCTCCATCCGACATCATTTCTCTCCAAAGTGCCCTCTCTAAATCAGCCGGCGGTCGAGACACGGTTGTCTTTGTCAACAGCGGCCACACGAGCGCCAATATCGAGCATGTCATCAGTTCTGTTTCTGGTACCATCGAGGGTGCTGGTAAACATGCAATCACCATAAATGACGAAGCCGACCTGGGCTATAACTGTCAGAGCACTATCCGTGGCACGTCCAACTGCTTCGGTGCTGTGGTATTCTACTCTTCTCCAGATGAGGGCCATGGTGGCTTCTGGAACTACACCTTACGTGCTGATGGCGGTCTGGGGAAAAGCTTTCAGACTGATAAAGACGACAATGATGCCCAGATATACGCACTTCCTCTTCAGAGAGCTGTTGACTCTGCCATTGCGGGCTTGGAATCGGGGTCCTCTTTTCCTAAGTCGACGCAGCAATATCCCTATACTGAATTAACTGAAGATGAACGCCAAGCTGAAGTGCGACGAAAGTATCAAAATTCTTTCATCCACTACTTGAGCGTTGCTTTTATCATGGGTCTTATTGGTGTCTGTTACCATATGCCTGGCTTCATTGCCACGGAGAGAGAAAAAGGTCTCTCTCAGCTCATCGACGCCATGATGCCAACCAGCAGAGGATGGCATCGCCAATTTGCCAGATTGATCTCTCACCACAACGCTTTTACCATGGCGTACATGCCAGGCTGGATTGTCGCATCGATTGTGACCAGGATCACCATCTGGACAAACACAAGCTTTGGCATTATGATCATCTTCTTCATCATCAGCGGCGTCGCTATTACTTCAATGTCACTGCTTGGCGCATCTTTCTTCAAGAAGGCCCAGCTATCTGGTGTAGTGACTGCTGTCATCTGGATCGTGCTGGGCATAGTGGCCCAAGTTATTCCACACCCCAACACTGGAACGGTGGCCGTCTTAAGCCTGCTCTTCACGCCGTGCAATTTTGTCTATTTCGTCATTTACATTGCTCGATTCGAGCAAGATGGAAAAGCCACGAATCTGATACACGCACCTTCAAGCGCCACTTCTAGTCTCCCTGGTGTTGTCCACTGGATCTTCTTCTTCATCCAGATGGTTGTGTATCCTTTCATTGCGGCCTTTATTGAACAGACTCTACACGGCGTATCAACAGGAACTCGATCTTCGACATCCCTCAAAGACCCTGCGAGCGGCGTCGTAGAAACTGTTCGCATAGACAACATGACAAAGATTTACAAACCAAGCCTTGTTAGAAAATTCTTTTCTTTCGTCTCACCACCAAGGCCTGAGGTGGTTGCAGTCGATAATTTGACATTAACAGCCAAGAAGGGCGAGATCTTAGCACTACTTGGTGCTAATGGCAGTGGTAAAAGCACCACACTTGACGCCATTGCTGGCATCAGTGATTTTACCAGTGGTAACGTTTCTGTTGATACATCTGGCGGCCTTGGTTTTGCTCCACAACAGAATGTTCTGTGGGATGAACTGACTGTAGAAGAGCATATCCGACTTTTTAGTCGTATTAAAGACCCACGAAGGAAGACCCCGGAAACCGAAATTGCAGCATTGATTGATGCCATTGGGCTCCGTTCAAAAGCAAAAGCTTGGTCAAAAACCTTATCTGGAGGCCAAAAGCGAAAGCTTCAGCTCGGAATGATGTTGATCGGTGGCAGCTCTGTCTGCTGCGTGGATGAAGTCTCGTCCGGAATCGATCCCCTGTCGCGCAGAAAAATCTGGGATATTCTTCTGAAAGAACGTGGCTCGCGAACAATCATCATGACTACACATTTCCTCGATGAAGCAGATCTGCTCGCGGACAATATCGCTATTTTATCCAAGGGCACTCTGAGGGCTGAAGGCTCTTCTGCTCAACTCAAAGATACTTTTGGTTCTGGTTACCGCATCCATCTGTTAGACCCAAGAAGTCTAGACGCTGTGCCTGACTTTGAAGGCGTCGAAAAAATGATTGCTACGAACAATGTTACATATGTGGCATCATCATCTGATCAGGCTGCCAAGGTGATTCGAGCGCTGGAAACTGCAGGGATCCCCTACAGGTCATCTGGCCCAACCATCGAGGATGTTTTCTTGCATTTGGCTGAAGAAGCTCATGGCGACAGCGTACAGCGGAAACCCGATATGGTAGAAAAGGTCACTAAACTTGCAAGTGAAGTTCCCACCGCCGGCGATGATCTACCATTGCTATCAGGACGACAGATTAGCATGATTCAGCAGACTGGTGTACTTATTCGAAAGCGATTTACAGTCTTAAAAACGAACCGGCTTCCTTACGCGGCCGCCTTTTTGGTTCCCATTATCGCTGCTGCAGTTATCCAGATCCTTATCCGTAACGACGACGCAGTAGGCTGCTCGCCTGCACAACGGAGTAGCAATTCATCAAATGATGACTACTTCAAGCTCCTGGACACCGCTCATCTTGTCGGTGGTCCTTCATCTCAATTTGGTGGACCCTCGCTGGAAGACTTATTCAAGCCCATTCTACCTAAGCCAAGCGCTACTAAGAGAGACTCTTCAAGCACTTCTCTCGGCAATGTTACCGTTGATCTAGTCAACTCGCTTTCTTCTTTTGAAGATTTCGTTGGAGACAATCGAAGGACAGTCACTCCTGCAGGTCTATGGCTTGGCGACTCAAACTCATCACCAACACTGGCTTTCAAGGCAGACAACTTTTCCATGTACTCTGCAGTCATTGGTCAAAGCTTCTTGAATACGTTATTGGCCAACACCACCATCGTGACAGAATATAAAGAATTCGATTATCCAGTTGCGCCATCCACCGGCAGAGGACTACAGCTAATCGTCTATTTCTCGGTTGCTTGTTCAATCTTCCCAGGTCTATTTGGCTTATATCCAAACACAGAGAGGCTCAAAAATATTCGCAGCTTACAGTACTCCAGCGGTGTTCGTACACTACCTGTTTGGGCCGCACACTTGCTATTTGACTTTGGCATCATCTTGCTCCCCATGATCTTCGCTGCCATGATATTTGTCGTATCATCAGATTCATGGTACCACGGAGGCTATCTATTCCCCATTTTCATTTTTTACGGCCTTACGACAATCATCATCTCCTATTTTCTTGGTCTCATTGCAGCAAGTCCAATGGCTACTTATGCCTTGACCTCTGTCGTTCAGGGCTTGGGTTTTGCCATTTACTTGATTGCCTATCTATTCATCCTCACCTACTCCCCCGCTGCCAACACTAATCGCGATGTCCTCATCGCCCACTGGGTGATTGCTGCCATCTTCCCCACTGGATCGCTAATTCGGACATTGATGGTCGGTCAGAACATTTTCTCGACAACTTGTGATAACGATCAGCTTCAAGCAAATCCTGCAGCACTTGTCGCCTACGGAGGTCCCCTTTTATATCTCGTTTTACAATCCATATTTTGGTTTTCAATAGTCGTCTGGGTGGAGAGTGGCGCTGGTCGATATACTCCCGAGAAAGCCAAAGCGTCCCCCGAGATTGATGATCCAGAAGTCGCCCAAGAACTTCTTCGGGTAGACGGCGTAGAAGGTCAATCCGATGGCCTCCGCATCGCCCACCTAACTAAAGCATTCGGCAAAAACACCGCCGTCGACAACGTCTCCTTTGGCATCGAGCACGGCGAAGTCTTTGCGCTCCTCGGCCCCAACGGCGCCGGCAAATCCACCACAATCTCTCTAATTCGAGGCGACATCGCTCCAAGTCGCAACGGAGGCGACGTCTTCATTGAAAACGTCTCCATTACCAAACGCCGCGCCGCTGCCAGAGCAAACCTGGGCGTGTGTCCCCAATTCGACGCCATCGACAACATGACTGTGAGCGAGCACCTCTGCCACTACTCCCGTCTCCGCGGCATCTCCAATGTGGACCACCAAGTCCCGGCCGTCATCCGTGCCGTCGGGCTAGAAGCCTACGCAAACGTCATGGCACACACCCTCTCAGGGGGCAACAAACGAAAACTCTCACTCGGCATCGCCCTCACTGGAAACCCTCCCGTCATCCTCCTCGACGAGCCATCTTCCGGTCTCGACGCAGCAGCCAAGCGTATCATGTGGCGCACTCTTGAGACCATCGTTCCAGGGCGCTCCATTCTCCTCACGACGCACAGCATGGAAGAAGCCGACGCTCTCGCCAACCGCGCAGGCATCATGGCCCGCCGCATGCTCGCCCTCGGATCGACAGAAAAGCTTCGCCACCGCTTCGGCGACACACTGCACGTACATCTCGTCAGCAAGACCGCTCCACACTCTTCTGCAGCAGAGATGGAAGCTCTCCGTGTTTGGGTTCTTAATAACTTCTCTGGAGCCACAGTCGAGCAGGAGACATATCACGGTCAGATGCGCTTCACGATGCCTTCTTCTGCGGTCCCAATGCTATTCGGAAGTTCAAATAGCACTGAGAGCGCAAGGGGCAGACTCATGATTATGCTGGAAGAGCAGAAGGATTATCTGGGTGTTGCGCATTATAGCGTCAGTCCTACAACGTTGAATGAAGTGTTTTTGAACATTGTTGGGAAACATGACGTCCAGGAAGAAGGTTATAATAGAGCTGAAGAGAGGGCTGAGACTCAGGGGAGGAGGCCTTGGTGGAGGTCAAAGGCTTTGTGGGGATTCTAGATCTATCCGATACTTTTCTTCTATAGTTGAGCGATCCTCCTCTTTCCTTATTTTTTGTGCGCTCTCTTCTTCACTTACAGAAATGCGCAATATATACCGGTAGAATTTTCAATAGACGTGGATATCATTCTGAATTACATACATTAGTTCGCTCAGTTTTTCTATATACTCATACTATCTTAACTCTCGTCTCAGTGACCCATCTCATAGACTCCCCCTGAAGTAGTTTGTCCGTGCAACTCCTGCACAATATGCGTATCACCAGCCATTTCTGGCGGCGGTGCTCCTGGAGCTTCATGATATGCCTGGTGCATTTGCGGATAGGACTGTACTGGCGCATATTGTTGCTGCTGTCCAGGCACTTGATAGCCATGCATTGGCTGCCCGGTCTGTTGAGGAGGCGGATATCCATATCCAGCTGGAGGCTGCTGCTGTTGCGGCCATGATCCGTTGGACAGCTCCGCCGCGTTGGGGTACACTGGAGGAGTTGGTGTAACAGGGCTTTGATACGGCGGTGATACGCTCGAAACGGTGTGAGGGTGGTTATTAGATAATTCGCTCGGCGTCGTCGTCGTCGACAGCGGTGTAGTCGAAGTAAGTCCGGTAGGCTTGGCAGGATCGGAGTGTACTTGGGCGGTTTCGAGAGCAGCTCCAGAGGGCGGCGCTCCATTTGTTCCATTTACTCCAGCTGCGGCTGTCCCTTCAGCAGTGTTTCCTCCTTTCATCTTGGTCAGACAGAACTTCCAGATGGCTCCGGCTGCGGCGGTGATGCCCGCTACAACGCCGACGACAATGCCGGCAATGGCACCTCCGGAGAGCTTGGTCTTTTTGCTGGGTTTGTTCGAGCCTGAGCCGGAGCCTGAGTTAGATGTAGATCCAGATGATCCCCCTGATGAGCCACTCGGTTTTGGCGAAGATGCGTTCGAAGATGAAGAGCCAGAGCCGGGTGAAGGACTAGGACTGCTATTGTTCTTGTTGGTAGGAGTAGAAGAAGGAACAAGTCCCCCGAGCACACTGAGACATAGCTGCTCGCCCGCTACCTGCGCCTCTATACTATCATCAGCTCCAGCCCTCTGAGGCTTTCCAAGTCCACTTACGAAGAGCGCCTTCAAATCCACAAGCACTTTGAACGCAGGTAGCCGCTCCTTGATTAATGACAGTCGCAAAATTACACTCGCATTGGTAGTCTCCCAGTTTGCAATCCGTCGATTTTGTAACCGCCGAGGCGACACATGAAGTGGCACATGAGGGGATGGTAGGAAGAGCCCGTGCAAACTTCAAGTCGCCTAGGATATCGAGGGACGGAGCAGCAGTGATGGCGGCTGGTGCTGCTGCGTTTGGAAGATCCGCGACCGGCGTGGGAAAGGTATCGAGACGAGGCCTGACATGTAGAGCGGAAGAAGTAGTCGCAAGAAGGAGAGAACAAACCAGTAATGAGAGAGAAGTCGGCAGAGTCTGCATATTCACCATCTTTGATAATTGGGGGCTGGCATATAGAAGCCAGCATATATCTAATGTCTTCCAACGATATATCGACTCTAGCTTAGCACAGCGAGAAAAGAGAAGAATATTCTTCGCATCTGCGATACCCCAGTACTATTATAAACTACAGACTACAGTAGGTATTCAACGATCCCGGCGTGGGGAAAGGGTGTCCCCGATAACACCATGCATCGTGACCTTGAGAGTGGGCCATCTATCGTTTGCAAGGGTCGTGCACTTGTCGCCGCCTTATTCGCGAACGAGAAGCAGACAAGGCATTCTTGTCAAGCAGCACTTTTGGCCTGTGTCCTTTGGCTTCCTTTGATAGGCCTCTTTCGGAAGCTCGTCTCCGGGCGGAACGCAAGAGCGGTGGTATTTCCGTCTGTGGTAGTGTGCTGATTGGATGCTCATCACAACGGGTTTGGCTTTGTTTTCAGCTGCAGTCCGGAGTGGCAGGGGTCCAAATTCAGCCTGCAGATCAAATATTGGATGTTTAGCTCCTCTTACCCGCTGCTACCCGACCTTTTGGCAGCGGGAAGAGGGACGGATGAGGGATAAAAGAGGCTGGATAGCAGCAATATACGCCTGTCCATACGCACTTGCGCTGGGTTATCTGCCATCTTCAGTGAAAGGCGGCAATGAAGACGAGCTAACTGAGCTGTATCTGCTTCACGATCGTAAAGGCATCAAAACATGGTCCAAGCAAACGGCGGTCCACCATCCTGGAGCTGCTAATCGCATCAAGCTTGAAATGGCGCCGTCCTTAATGCGCGGGTCGTACGCCGACGTTGCCGGATTGCCGAGATGAAAGCCACGGAGACGATGCCGTGGCCCTCAGCCTCACGCACAATGATGCACCGGTTCGGGGAGAACAGCAGCCAAGCCGTGCTGTTTTCACTTCAACGGCTGTGCTGACTGACAAATTGCTAACAGGCCTGGGGAGTAGCCCCCATTCCGTAGAGGAGGGCACACTTGTGGCCGTTCTCTGTTTGCTCTTCATGTCGGTTGCGGAGAAATAGGCAAATAGCAACGCACGAGACCACCGCCTTGCATTCTCACGGGCTTGTGTTGCTGCATGCTGGCCGACAATCGGCTGCAGACTCCAGTTGCTGGCTCTTTTTCACGCCAGGCAGGGCGGCCTGGGCTGCCTCTGCAGGCGGTCACAGTTGAGTCTTAGTGCCGTCAGTACATGTATAGTATTGAGATGCCTTTGTAAACGACGACTAGGCTGGGCAAAAAGTAAACGATTTGTTCCTAAACGGTAGATGACAAGCTAAGAAATTGGAATAAGCTCTTTAAATGATGTATGGAGAAGAAAATAAGTCTCTTTCAGTTTCAAAGACGCAGGAAGGGAAACTGAGCTCTCACTAAGCTTTCTCTGTGGAGCTCCTTCCCACTTCCCAGAATCAGGCTTAACAAATAGAGATAAAATGGGCCTTTCCCTTCCAAGCAATGACTTTATTTGAACTTTTCAAAGGGTCCTTGCTTGATCTGATATGTGATACCAGAAGCAGCCAATCAAGACAATGGTGATGCGACAGGAGCCTCGGCAGCAGCCACATTCAATATTGCGGCTAGTGCTGCATCTCTCTGTGGCTGAACTTGACAACTTGGAGGGGAGAGAATAGAGTTGATTGGTTGAGTAGACCCTCACTACTCAGCAGCTTTTTTGAAGTAGCATCCAACAGCTAAGAGGCTATACAGTGGAAATCGAAATAAGTGTCCGGGTTTCGCTATATCGGAAGTCTTTCCGCACGGACCATGTATGTGGCGTAGTATGGCCTGTATGATGTATACGCCGAGACGCTGATTATTTTGTTATCCCTACCAGTAGGTATGTATTAGGCCAAACATTATCCCGGAAATGGATTCTGGGTCCTGTTATTTCACGTCTACGCTTCATATTACATACTAGTAAGAAATAGCCCAGATAGCAGGAGAGTATATGATGATTTATCCAATATCTAAGGCATACGCATATATCCCTTCGCCAGCTACTATAGGCAGCAAAGTAATCGGCCAGTTCACGCCACCAAGAAGAGCCGAAACAGGCTCATTCGACTGATGGGCATATGGCTGTGCAAGTTGCTGCCTTGCAGTATAACTCAATGGTATTTATATATTGTCTTGTGCAGTAAGGGCTTTCTCTTTCTCCACACTTTTTTCAAAACTTGGCGGAAAAGGGTACTTTCGTGTACTTTTCAGTACTTCATTGCAGGCTGAGAAAATAGCCTGTATTTCCTTCTTGAGGTAGACCCAGGTGATGGGAATCTTCCTTGGATTTGATATTGCAATAATTCTTCAAATCCACAGTTTGCGAAGCTAAATTGGCATGTAGACTTTTCTCATTGGTAATGTACGTAGATTTTTTTTTTATTACCCGAAAATAATAATGCTGGCATGCGCTAAATTCTTGAAATTTTAAAAAAGGAGGAAGCTGTTTCTGCACCAAAAAAAAAATAAAAAAATAAAAAAATAACCTTAGTTGATATATGAAGCAGGCACGTAGCTACAGTAACCCTCACCATCCAAAAAATGTAGAAGATTTGATCAAAGTAGCGAACTACATGTGACTATTCCTCTGCTAAAGGCGCCCGCTAAGCGAGTGTATTGGCGATTTGTCAAACTCTACTACTGTGCAACCAGACACATAGCGCAGCATATTCAATTGAAGCTTTCAAGTAAGATAGTAGAAGTCTGGGTGGCGGCATCCAATGTCTTCAATACCGCAAGGGCGAAGTTCCCGAGCGGTATCTGTATGGGTATCCCTCCGCTTCTTTGCATTCTCGTTCTGCAAATCGAAGAACAACACAACAACAGCAAGTCCACCAACCACCATGAAGCCTAAAGCAAAGCCATTTCCGCGGTAATAATACGGAGGGTCACTGTAGACCTGTGTACCAACGATGGAAAATATCTGGCCAATCATACCCATGGTCCCCAGAGCAGCCGCTCTAGATAACGACGTCACTGATTAGTACAGTCGGGGGAACAAACAGAAAATGGAACTTGGTGCGAATTACTCACTTCATAGTAAACCCAGGGGTGTTGATATTTAGCCACGTCTGGCTAATTATTATGCCTGGATATGTACCCAAAGCAATAAAATAGCAGCCAGCAAATGAGAGATTCTTCGACTTACTGACCAGAAGAAGTAGCCATCCCACACCCATCGATACGAAACACGCCATCACAACGTATGCCTTTTGATTCATTCGATCGGATATTACACTCGTGATAACAGCAGATAGCGCGCCGACGACGAAGATTGGGATCGTAAGAGCTTGGGTGCGTAATGGTGAAAAGCCGAACGAATGCAGCATCACAGGCAAAAAGCTGCCGATGCAAGCCAGGCTGATGTTAATACAAGCGTAGATGATGACTAGGAATTGTAAGCTTTTGTTGCGTGATTGACTAGATACAGTATTCACATACTATAAAGATATAGTCGACGATCCTTGAAGATGCTAAGGATCTGTTTCGGCTTGATCTCCGCATCTAGGTCATTGTACCCCTCGATTGCTCTACGCCGTGCAAGGGCTTTCTCGTCTTCGGTAAAGCCCCATCGAACTTGATCAGGCAAAGGCGGCAGCAGTAACAGGATTACTACGCCCCAAGCGACGGATATGACACCTGAAAGTCGCTTTAGTTGAATTGAAACACTCCGAAGTGATCAATAGACGAACCCTCAATCAGGAAGAGCCACCGCCATGGTGCCCAGCCCCTGGCGCCATCGAGGTTCTTGCCGATCCCATAGGCGATGATGCCATTGAAAGCTCCAGCAACTGCGCTCATGCCGAAAAATATAGCACCCCTTGTTGCTAACTGCTCCCGCTTATACCAGTAAGATAGATAGAGAGGGCCAGCTTGGAGGATCGCTTCCCCTACACCGACTCCTACGCGAAGACCAACAACGGTTCCGTAAGATCTTGCGATACAGATCCTAGTGCCCGCAACCATTGTGTGTTAGAAACTAGATTGTGGCTTGTTGAGGTTGACGTTTGGGTCTTACAACGTATTGAAAGTCCCCCAGAACATAAGTGCTATGCCGAGCTGGACCGGGGCCGGCATGACTCTTAGAAAGAAGTAGCCGGGCATTTGGAATGTGACATATCCGACATAGAAGATGGAGATACAGGTGCTAAGTTGGTGTGATGTCAGGTGGAGTTCGTCTGCCATGCCCAGTACAGCGGCGTTTCCCACATCTCCACGATCCTGAGTCTTTCATCAGCAGAATACGTAGGTGAGTGGGTGAAGGATTGCTATCATACCAAAGAAGCCAGGAAATACATGGAGGTGAGGAGCGGTAGTATGATGAAGTCGATCTTACGGACAAATCGCTTCTCCAATCTTGCTTCCTCGGGCGTTCTGGTCGAGTCTGCATGCTTTGCGATCCCGCTGACATACTCATCTTTCATATGAACCAGTGTCGACATTTTGATATCTTCTTTTGCGTCGTTCAAAGCCGTGTTAGCGTCGTGAGACGTGACTTCCTCGGAGGGCATGGCTGTACGATTTATTTGCAGAAGCAATCAATCAATATTCTAGTCGGATAAGTCAAGGATGATGTGAAGTGAGATCCAGGGAACAAAGGTAAGTGAGATTTCTGTTCTATTTAGTGAAGATGGGATTCAATTCCTAAGCGCTGAGAAGCGACATTCTGAACGGTGTGTAATCCAGCCCACATAGAGGCGCCGTTGACTTTTGGGAGTATAACTCTGGTGACTACATGTAGCGTATTTACCCCGTATTTTACCCCATACTCCGCCATACGCTACTCGCAATACCCCGGAAAAGTTCTACTAGTTGGTGGGGAGGTGGCGGTAAAGCCCATGGTTGAGTCGGCAGCAATTGTCGCCCCAGGGCGAATACGCATTAGAATGTTACGAATTGGTGACTTCGAGCTGTCTAATCTCAGCCTCATGCCGAGATTCCTATGCCGAATTTCGGCTTAGGGTGGACCTCAGCTTGTGGCTCCGGAGTTGTCTATGGGTGTGGGATCTCTGCTCTGCATCGGAAAAGGTAAAGTGCGCCGAGTATGTGGACTCGACCTTCATGGCTCGGCTTTCGGTGCCTTTCCGCAACCGCATTGCCCGAAAATCGGCCAGACAATAGCTTTTGACAAACTCCAAACGCCGGCATATACCATTGACGCATCCAGTCAAATGGGACGAGCTCTACGGGAAACAACCTGACAAGTAGCTGTCTTCCCTTGGATCATCTCCAGCTCGCCCCCAGTTTATACCCAGAACAAAGTATTCATATGTCTGGATCAGACGCTCCTTATTCTTGAACATTGTTCCATCTAAATCTTCATCTGGAAGTGTATCCCTGCGAAAGTATAGCGGCAAAGAACTAAACAAGATGGTTTCTGTATCCATCAATAAAGGTCGGTAAGCCAAGTATTTGGCCAGTTGATAGCTCAATGCGATGTGGGAGGCTAACCGGCGGCTCTACAGATGCAGTACCAGCGTCTATTACGCGTGAGCTGGCAAAATTCGTATCTGAAACCACTTGGGATGACATCGAACCCATCCGTGATGTTCTCAAGTGTGGCCTTCTAGACTACGTCAGCCTGGCTTCCTATGCTGTGGGCCATGTAGAGTCGAGCCCAGCCTTTATCGAAGCCATCAACAGCCTGTCTGCCAGCGGTCCGGGCTCTGTCTTGGGTCTATCTCGACGGTATCAAGCGCAGTACAGTGCCCTCCTCAACGGGACTCTGGTGCACTCCATGGACTGGGATGATACAAACAGCACGGCTTCTCTGCATCCCGGCGCTTCTGCCTTCTCGGCTGCATTCGCCCAAGCTGAGCTGGAGATGAGTGTTTCTGGCGGACGCAAGGTGACGGGGCGTGAGTTTTATACGGCCGTGGCTGTCGGATATGAAGTAACGTGCCGGCTTGGACGGTCCATCAGTGACGTGCTTCATAGGGCCGCGTTCCACCCGACGTCCGTGGTAGGAGTCTTCGGTGCAGCAGCCGTTGCAGGCAAGCTCGCTGGATTCGATGCAGACCAGATTGAAAGCTTGTTTGGAGTGGTTGGTAGCATGGCCAGCGGATCGCTGCAGTGCTTCGAGAACGGTGGGTGGAACAAACGATTTCACCCCGGCATCGCCGCCCACAATGCCCTGTTAGGAGTTCAATTTGTCAAGGCTGGCATGATCGGTGCAACTAGGGCCATCGATGGGCCAAAGGGTTTGCTATTCTCATATGCACAGTCTTCAGAACCAGACCAGGATATCGTCAAAGATCTCAAGGCGCTCTGGGTGGCAAGCGACACGGCGATCAAGCCATACCCCTGCTGCCGTCTGAATCACGGCCCGATAGAGGCAGCTTACGAGCTTCGGAAACTCTTTCCAAATCCAGAAGACCTGCCACAAGATTCCATCATCGAAGTCACTGTCGGACGAAAGGCCTTGCTAGCAGTCGGCAGTGGAGCGCCCAACAAGATTCGTCCGACTAACATTGTTGAGGGCCAGTTCAGCCTGAACTTCCAGTTCGCAGTGGCCTGGCTGTACGGCTGCAACGACTGGAGTTCGTATCAACTTCTCGACGACGAAAAGACTCTGGCACTCTGTCGTAGGATTGTCGTCAACGTTGACAACAGCCTCAGGGAGGGCTCTCTAGTCACTGTTGCGAAGATAGGCGACAAGTCTGTTAAAGTAGAATATCCTTTGGGCGAGCCAGAAAACCCAATTGGATTGGTTGAAGTCGAAAACAAGATTCGCCCCCTAACTGAAAAGGTTTATGGGCTCGAGGGATCCAGAGAACTGCTGCGATTGTTCTATGATCTGGAAAACCAGACCGATCTGGGAGTTTTCATTAGCTTATTGAGAGTATAGCCGGGTGCCTCTATTAGTCCGGGAGGAGTAATGAACACGCATGAAAAAGCCACATCTCAGATTGAAAGAGTAAAACCTGTTAGTTATTGATTGTTGTCTAAAATCTATGTTCTCATAGTTCTTTGCCTGTATTTTTTTTTTTTTTTTTTTTTCAAGTTTATTTCGGGCCTCCGTAGCTTTCACCAAATATAATCTAAACGACTACCTAACCCCTTTTTGGGCCACTTACTCAGCCATGGCCATTACCCATTGATGACAAGAAATTGTTACCTGTATTTTACACGTGTCTAGCATTGTCTTATATGAACCCCAACTAGATCACCTCTCAAAGAAACATCTCCAAGTAACCATGCTCTTCATCTATACACTACATGTATATATACCAGTCTTGCCGTCATGCTATCAGCCCATTGCCTTCAGAGTTCTCTTGAGTTCCTCACTTAACGGAAGCTCCATCAGAGGCAAGTACTGCTGAGATCCGTGCACGTCATTTTCCATAAACCCCCCGGAACACCGCAGTTCTCCGTTTCTAGTCCTGGGGAGAGTGAGCTTGAAAGCCAAGGCCTGGTCAAAGAAGCCACACCAGACCACCTCGTCCACCGATCGTCTGAAGAGGTGGGCCACTGCCTCTTGACGTAGTATTCCTGACGACTTTACGACCTCGTAGAGGACTGGGTCATCAAAGATAACGTCAAAGGTAATCTGGAAGGGACCTGCGTTCTTGGACCGGATGACCTTTGCCACGTCTTTCAGTGCTTTGGCGTGGCTGAAGTCCTTGGCAGGAAGGGTTTTCTTGTCCTGGTCAACTAAGCGCTCTTTCTTGGCACTGATGGTGTCCACATTTGACTCTGATCTGGATATCGGTCCAGTTGAATTGGTGTTCCCTGAGACAGAGGCTGGGATTTCCACTCTTTGCCACGGGAATATTCCGTGAACTGTAAGACCTTTCTCAACAATCTTCTTTTCTCCGGTATGTATCGCATGTCCATGTTGCTCTCCATGAATCAAGTTCATTAGATGATAGATAGAAAACTCGCAGCAATCGCCAACATCTAGTTCCGTCTTACCTCCGATGCCGAATGCAAAGTTTCCAGAAGTTGCCATCTGCCCCTTGTAGGCAGCATGAGAGCAATACACTCTTGCGGTGGACGCCAAGCTTCTCGCAAGTGTTGGTGACGCTGCGAGTACCTCCCCTACAACGAAAACTTCTTGTAGGTTCTGAGTCCTGTTGACGGGATTGGCGCTATCGGAACTCTTTTCCGGAGCGCCATAGATATGAAAGTCGAGTTTCCAAGTGCCATCCATACCTACATGCTGTAAGGCGCAACGTGCCTTGACACCCTCGAGATATTCGTGTATTTGGCCGATGAGAATAGGATCTTTAAATGACCCAAAGAAGATGCTTCGGGAACCAATAACGCGAGCGCCTTCTAACTTGACCGTATACGGAGAACCTTGTGCGGTCGATGGTATGAAATCCGCTCCGCGAACCCTCACCGTAATCTCATCTGGCAGTTGTTCATACGTGGTCCGAGTTAGGTCTAAATACCCTCCTGGGCCATGTAAGATATCAGGTCGGGCCTTCTCGTAAAGCGTATGGGCGGCCACGCTAAGAGGAACGCATCTTGCAGCAGGGTCCGGGGTAGAAATGTCAAACGTGCCGTCTTTATAAACTAAAGCGACCGCTCCAGCCGATTTGGGTGTTGCGCAAAGGCCACCACACTCCATGATCTTGCCCATGTGGTAAAATCCCCCCAATAATGTGTTGTTAAGCGACTCCTGAGGCGGGGATGGCCCGGCCTGGCTCATCGCACAAAAAGCCACAAAGATGGCCGGGTCATAAGCCCGTCCCGCAATAAGAATGTCAAAATCAGGGTTACTTAGTATGGCTTCTAGTATAGGCTCGTGGCCCATCTGGGCCAGTATTCGTGGAGTGGAGTTGATTTCTTCGACTGTAAGCTGGGGGACCTCATCTCCACAACCAGTTATGTCCCCAGCCAGAAGCTTCTGCTCAACCACATCCTTGGACACTTCAGAATACAAAGCAAGGACGTTGAGTTTTCTAGGGCTTTACGAATACTCATTAGTCTCATGGTATGGATAGTTGTTGAACCCTAGGATACTAACCAGTTGAGCGATGCGGCAATTTCTTGAACCATTTTCACAAATAGATCAACGTGCTCATTGCTCCCATCTCCACCAACTGAAGATATGAGAACAGGCACCTTGTAGTTAATTACTGCCCGGACTAGTTTTGTCAAATCTCGTCGGTAGGACTCCTCAGGGCAAGTCATAGTGCCTAATGCTAACTTTGATGGACCGGAATCTGTCGAGCCAGAATCCATGATAACGGCCACATTGAAGGATGGTGCTCCTCCGACTAACTCGTCGAGCGTTCTAGTCAGGAGCTGCTCGTCAAAACCATAGCCAAGCATCCCCATTGGCGTGACAATGGCGCAAAGTGGTTCTGGGTTCCCTTCCATTGTTGAAACACCGCCTGCAGGTGCATCAACTGAATGAGTAGCTGACGGGGACATGATTTATGTCGCCTATTTGCAGCTAGTTGAAAGCTCACACAATGTAAGAGATGAATAAAAATAGCTTTGGAAAATGTAATGATAGGATGAACGAGCTTTAAACAGGTTTTGGACCTGTATATCTTGGTCAGCTTTACGACGAAGTTCTTGTCTTTGCAGTGCAGGACTTCTAACTCAAATACAAGAGATCTTTGTAAGGAGCAAGAGTCCCATACAGCCATCAACGATGATGACAGATATGGACTTCGGCAGGTCGTTTGGCCGTAGGGTACATGTAGCCAAGAATCCCGTCCTCGCCGCTTCGGCTCCGGGTCGAACTGGCAGAGTATCGGGGAATGGCTTGATCATTGTGAGTTTCTGACGTCATTCTACTCACTTCAGCAGCCCTGCGTGAAATAACTATCTATTGTACTGTACTGACTCTTTAGTTCCAGATGTCTTCAGCTGGCCAAGTGGAATGTATGATGTTTCATCGGAACGTTGCCCGAAATTCGGGCAACGCTAGGCCACACGCCGATTTTCGCTCGGCCAAGAATCAATGTGGACCCTGTTCCAACATTTCCCTACGCTCCGCTTGCGAAACCCCGATTACACATTCGGCTTGCTGCGTTGAAGGCTGCAGAAGGCTGCAGATTACATCGAAAATGCATCGGGGACATGGTGTAACCTATGCCTCGCGCCAGATAACATATAGACTCGGACTTGGACTTCATCCCGTTTTAGGCTGGCAAGTTCACTTCAGAAACATATTGAAGAATCGCGTTTGAGCATCAAAGAAAAATGACAGACAATAAAGTTCAGGCGAAACTTGTTGATCGTGGTAAGTCTCATCGCTATCTTGACTCTTAAGTCGCATGGCGGGTATGCCCTTTGTTTATACAATCTGACGGCTGGCGACACAGAGTGGCTCGGAAAGGACGCCGAAAATGATCCAGACAGGTGGATTCACCAATTCACTGAGCAAGAGCTAGCCGACATCGACAATGCGCTGCAAACAACTCTAAAGAAACACCAGGGCTGCGATACCATGACAAAGGAAGATTTCCCTTTAGGTTCATCGGTGCAACGCCTGAAGCACGTCCTCGAGAGCCTGGAGAACGACATGGGACTCTACGTTCTGCGTGGCATCCCTGCGAACAAGTACACCAAAAAAGAAATGAGGATCATCTACTGGGGCATTGGGCTTCACATGGGCATAGCCGTATCCCAGAGTGGTAAAGGGGATCTCTTGGGTGATGTCAAGAACTTTGGCGACAACATCCACCCAGGCACGTCCACCGGCCGTGGATACATGTCTCGCATCCACCTCTCATTCCACACTGACAGCGCTGATGTCGTCGGCCTCATGGTATTGCAGGTCGCCAAGAGTGGAGGCCTCAGCATGATTGGCAGCTCTGTGGCTGTGAGGAACGAGATTGCTCGCCGCCGGCCCGACCTGCTCAAGGTTCTATACGAGCCTTTCTACTGGACTTGGAAGGGTAACTCTCCCCCCGGCGCTGGGCCCTACTATAAAATCCCCATCTTCAGCGAGGAGGGCGGGCGGTTTTCATGTCGCTACATCCCGCCTCACATCTGGACAGCGGACGCCGACTTTCCGGACTTGCCGCGTCTGACCGAGCAACAGAGAGAGGCCATCGATCTAGTCGGACAAATCGCCAACGAGGAGAAATTCCACTTCGCCATGATGTTTGAGCCAGGAGACATCCAGTTTCTCAACAACCACATTACGCTGCATGCCCGGACGGAGTTTGAGGACGGCGACACAGAAGAGACCAAGCGGCACTTGCTGCGTGTCTGGCTGTGCCCACCCAACAGCCGCAAACTGAGCTCTGACGTTGTCGACTTCTACAGAGACCAGACACCGGGCAGCGTTCGTGGAGGATTTCATTCCCAAACGGGCAATTATGTGTATGAGACGACTCTGTAAGGGATGATGAGTTTTGCTATGACTAGAAGAGCCTATGTGTGTAGCATCTACTGTAACTACAGAGCCTAAAGAGTAACGCTTTCTAGAACAGCTTGAGATTATTGTCAAGATAATGCCAAGTCCGTCCGTCTAACAAATGCCTGCAATGCTCCAAAACTCGGTTGAAATCGGGGCTAGTGAGGTCTAGGTAGAATAATTAATTAATACCGTGTGGAGCCTCGGCAGCAAACACTTCTCCACACTCAAGATCCCCAGATTCGATGCCGTTTCCTTCCCCACGCTTAAAATCCCCAATTCATTTCCTTCCTCGCCCAATCTGCCATTCCTCCGACATACTCCCTCATCCCAACAATTGCCTGCAGTTGTATCGAGTGAATCGTCCGTGTCTTGCTACACTGTATGGTATTGACCTGCGGAAGTGGACCGATACTAGATCTGAAGCTAGAGTACCGCCCCTCTTTGAGATTGCATCCTCAAGGTCTCTCTGTACTTGGACACATTCTGCAAATACACCAGGCAAACAAAATAGCATAACTTTGCACAAATTAGTGCTTGTTTATCCTGAAGCACTTCTCTGGAGAGTCTCTTCTTTGTATCCTCGCACATCCAAAAACCCAGCTCTATCCTACGTCCACCTTTTTCGACCGCTCTAGCGTGAAGCAGTGCAATGGCCCGCCCGGCTGCATGTATTGCCTGCCGACAGAATAAGGTAATTCAACATTCAAACATTTACCCGCGGAACGAGCTAGACTATATATTCCAAACACCAGACTATATGCCAAAAAATGGGCTTGCATTCTCATGTAAAATGCATACCTAATGGGCTTACATGAATACTAGCTCCGCTGTAATGCGTCTTCCACATTCCCAGCGTCCTGTTCAAGATGTGCCGGACGACACATTGAATGCAAGGTCGATATGAACTATAAGCGAGTTCCCACAAGGAAGTACGCATGCTCCCCTCTTATCCACAGCACACGTACAAACTAACATCCTTATTGCCGAGTCGAGCGACTTACTCAAGAGCTCAAGACTATTAGGGCCAGCCTTCAACTCCAATCCAACAGCGGCGACGCGTGGCCCAGCCATCCCAGTTTGAGTCAGTCTAGCACATCCACTGGCGACTGTTCCTTTTCGACGGCGCCAAGAGCTGAAGCCATCTCCGATTTTCTTGAGATAAGTCCGCATAGAACGCCTACGGGCGGGCATGACACCGTTTTCAAGTTGCAAGATCTCGTTCTGCCAGAGACCGATGTAAATGAACTATTCCAAGAGTGCGTATCCTCGCTCATGTCATATTAAGCACCCTCGCGCGGTATTCTTTGCACTGACATCATGTATCTGCGCAGGTACTATGCCCGATATCATCAACAGCTCCCGGTCTTGGATGAACAAACCGAGCCTACCGCCATCATTGATGCGAGTCCTCTCCTGTTTTGGACCATTTGTTTCACGGCCTCCCGCAATCTCCTGCCCCAACAGCGCTATTTTCCTATTCTATGCAAAAAAATAACTGGCCTCCTAAGCAATCTTATGATAGTCCGCCATGACTCTGTATACACTATGCAGGCGTTGCTTATATTGACCATGTGGCCTCCGCCAGTTCGGCGACAGTCGGATGATATGCGCTGGACATATAGCGGCATGACACTGCAGATGGCATTACATGCTGGCTGCCATCGCGTGGGTTACGAGCATGAGTATCATGCATTTACCTATTCCGAGTCGCCTTCTGACAAGCGAAAACACACGCAAATCTGGCGGTGCTGGTGTTTCGTCAATTCCCTGTACTTTGCCAATCGTCCCCTCTTTGCTAGAGAAAATTTTCGCTTACACTGCTGCAGACTAAGCTGCGAACTCGGACTTCCCTGTCTCGTTCCTTTTGATGCTCTCGTAATCAAACCCAGTGACGAAGCCGCTCTTCCGCCAGACTTTATCTCTAAGCTGCGTATCGCCCTTTACGTCAGTCGAATCAACGACACCTTAGACGACAGCAGCCCCAAAGACGGTAGACACTTGATGGCAATCGCTCGGCTATTGGAAAAAGATCTTAAATCACTCGTATCTGAACTCCGCAAATCATCGGCGCTGTGGAACCCTACCGTGGAATTTGTCTATCTGGGTGTCCTTCTTTACGTGTATTCGTTCTGTCTTCGATGGGCTTCCGCTATACCCCTTAGCGATCCCGACCATGCGATCATTCAAACTTCCGCTGCTCAGTCCGCCTGCCGACTAATCGAGCTATATGCAAGCTCCCTGCTTGGTCCTGCCAATGGGACATCACCAACCCTAACGTCATGTCCCCAGAGATATTACGCCAAATCTTATATCCAATTTAACACCATTGCTCTCATCATATTGCTAAAGATCTCCGCGCTTAACAAAGTCTCCCTGCACCAACTTGGCGAGATAAACGACGCTATCCGAACAGGCCACAGCGCGCTTATGGCCTGTTCCTCCTCGCATGGCGACGAATCGTACCGAGCCGCGGCTGTGGTGGAGGTCCTTTGCAAAAGGGGCATCATTAAACCTGTTGGTGGCGACTCGCCCGTTCAATCACGCTTTGGCGCCTCACTGTGGTTGGAACTCCTCGCTACTGCGATCCGCTGGCGTCGTCAGAATTCCCAGGAGAGGATTAGGCCAAGAGACAGCACCAGTGCCAGAAATGACAATGACTGCAATAATAGTAGCGAAGGTATAGCTATACCATTAACTATTAGTAGAGTTTCTGGGCCTGGGAACGCAGCGGTCGCGACTCCTATAGCAGTTGACCAGGTTGCCGGACCAGCGTCAACCCTAGCCAACCTCCAGGATAATATCAGCGGGTTTCCTTTTAGTGTGGAGGACTGGTCTACCTATTTAGATATTATACAGGCCGATACCGAACTTGGCTACGATCTTGGTGTTTAATCTTCCAGAGAAGATATGGATTTGGGGGACAAGTTCTGTAGGTAGGTAAACGTTATTGCTCCACTTTCAGAAGGAGTTGGAGCTTCAATTCTTCAATAAAGGAAATAGGCCTGCCAGATAAAGTATGATAAGTCTCTTTATTAGCCATAAGATATATATAATTAAATCAATACTGTCCCTCAAGGCAGGCAATTATAATAGGACGCAGGGTCTTCTTAATGCTGTCTTTTACTACTGTGGCAGTTCACGATGACAGACTTCATTGAGAAACCTATCGCCGACCTGGTCGCGAGCCTCAATGGCAGGGAAGTTATGTGCGGATGGCACTTTGTTCATAAATGGACGGAACTCGCAAGACCGCACAAGACAGTACATGATAATAAGAGGAAGTTCGCACTGTACCAGCCTCAGGTCGGCAAAGTGGCCCGTGCGGAGAGAAACCATCAACGCGAAATCAATCTTTAGACTTGAGTCCTCCTCGTAACGTGCCCCTCATGCTTCAGCAAACGGACCAATGGTTTTACAGAATCTTCTCACGGGTCCCGAGAATACCGGGTCCGTCCCGCCTCGAAAAAAATTAGTGGATCTTCTAGTTCTTGAAAATAGAGCATTTACAAAACTTTAGATCTCATAAAGCCAACTCTATCTCTTAACAGAAACCAGTAAAGGACATATCTCACTCAATTATCTTTCTCAATCAATATACTTCAACTCCTTTCTTAACAAAACAAGTTTATCTCGTCTTCGCAATGGCCTTCACAATGCATTCCCACTCGGGGCAGTTCTGCCCCGGCCATGCTGCCGATGAACTTGAGGACATTATCAAGCACGCTATATCTGTTGGGTATAAAACCATTGGCCTTACGGAGCACATGCCACGCTATGATGAGCGTGATTTATATCCTGAGGAGGTGTGTTACACTCATCCTACAGCATAAAACCATATGTCCTGTGTCATTACACTAAGAGTCACAATTTACCCCTCCATCTCACATCTTCACATGTCAAAACCGAATCTCACTTCACTCATCCTCTCTCACTCATCTCCATATACAATCAACTCACATAACAATCTCAGCTCGACGACCCCCAAACCTCCCTCGCCGTCCTGCCTCCCCGCCACAACGCCTACATCCTCGAAGCCCGCCGCCTTCAAAAAGCCTACGCCTCCCAAATCCACATCATCATCGGCTTCGAAGGCGAATTCATCCGCCCTTCCTACGCGCCTCTCGTCCAGAACCTCTTTGCCGAATCTCCCCATGTGGACTACTTCATCGGGTCGCTTCACCATGTGCACAGCATCCCCATCGACTTCGACAAGGCCATGTATGCAGAGGCCATGAAAGTAGCGGGAGGCTCAGAGGAGCGCGTGTATGAGGATTATTACGACTTGCAGTATGAGATGCTCAAGGCGTTGAAGCCGCGGATTGTGGGCCACTTTGATCTCATTCGGTTGATGAGCGAGGAGCCGGGCAGGGATGTACGACAGTGGGAAGGCGTGTGGCAGAGGATTAAGAGGAATCTGGAGTACGCCGCTGAGATTGGGGCCTGGTTGGAGTGCAACACTTCGGCTCTTCGAAAGGGTCTTGCAGAGCCATATCCATGCAGAGTCATTTCAGAGGTGAGTTTACCCCACATCCCTAAGGAATTTCATGGTAGGTCAAGTTTCTTACAAGCAATATGTTACATAGCAATGGCTTCAACTGGGCGGCAAATTTACAATGTCAGACGACAGCCACGGAATCGCCCAAGTAGCAACAAACTATTCACGCGCACTCACGTTTTTGGAAAGCCTCGGAGTTGAACAAGTCTGGACATTCCAACGCCAGGACCAACCCAAAGCCGGAGAAGTCACAAAGGCTGCGCTCAACGACGTGAGCGTCTCTCTTAAAGAATTCCGCCAACATTTCTCATAGAGGTGTTTTCCCTTTCTTTCACCATGCTATATTGCTAGGAAAAATGGAATAGAAACAGAGATATAATAGACTACAGGAATTGTTTAGAGGGAGATAAACAAGTCAAGTTATAGATGGATGAAAATAACATCTATGGAAGTAGGGGGTCAAAAAGATAGAATATATATAGCCTCCGACAAGATTTTCTTTTCTTTGCTTGAGAATGGGTATCATAAATGAGAGAAAACCAGCATTCTAATGCTGGTAGTATGAAAGTTTACATACTGACTAGTAAAACAGTTGGTCTCAAAAAAAAAAAAGGGAGAGAACAGGCTTCAGCAAGCGCTAAACATGCAAAATATAGAGAGGGTGAAAATAGCAAGCAAAGCAAAGCAGTAAACTCCAAGCCATTTCCGTTGTTCCGTACCATTCCAACCCTAAATGACGCAAAGAGAGATTAAAAGAATCCTCATATTGCATACTCGTAGCAACCATCTATTTTTTTGGAGGAGATCTGGGGACTCCCCTGACAGGTCCACTAGGTTTCCTCTGAACCTTGGGCTGTGATGAAGTGGTGGGCTGATTGGCCAACCTGGGTGCAAAAGGAATGCTGCCACTGCCACCATATTGGAACAAAGTGCTATTCTTCTTCTTAAGGGTAGGCGCAGCAGCTGAAGCGCCGGGGGGAAGAGTCGGAGGGAGCCATTTCAGTGGCTCTTGAGAAGCGACAGGAACAGGGGGTGGCCCTCCAGGCTGATACGGCACAAAAGATTCGGATATTTCTTCTGCTGCTTGGCTCGACCGAGGAGAGCTCATATTTGGGACCGGTTGTCTCGCTTCAGGAGAAATTGTCCGTGGTGTAAAGTGTTCCATGTTAGGCGTAGATAAACCACTTTCGGAGGTCAGTGCCGGCATAGTACTATCCGGCGATGTGGCGGAAACTATAGATCTACGGTCGGAAGTGCTGTTGGGAGTCTTGAGGCCGCCAGACTCCACGGATCTGTTGGTGCTAGCCGAAGAAGTTCGTGGTGATTTGGCGACTGCGGCGGCGGCTGCAGCTTGGGCTTGTTCGGCCTCAAGCCGAGCCTTCTCCCGAGCCTCCTTCTGTGACTGAGTGATCAAGTTGATCTTGATCTTCTTGATGCCTTTGGTGATCTTATCCATGTCGTCAATAGTAGCGTCCAGCCTTGACGCCGCAGATTGCGGAGCTCTCTCTGCAGCTGCCTCCCTTCCGGCTTCGAGCATGGGTGATCTGAGAGCCGGTTCCCCGTGCGCAGTAGTCGGCCGTGACCTGCTGACGGTGATTCGTCCAGAAGGTCTGAGGCTCTGGGAGCTACTGTCTGCAATTGAAAGAGGCCTCCCTGAGGCGGGACCTGCTGATGTGGATGGGCGAAGCGGCAATTCTTCGTTGATGGGCAAGGTACGAGAGACGCTGCGCTGCTGTGTAGGCGCGACTGACGATGTAGTGAGACGTCGAGAGCTTTTCTTTGGAACTAGACCAACGAGAGATTGTGGTGTCTGACCACGAGCGGTTGCCTGAATGCAAATTAGCTATTATTAGATCTTTGAGACCAAAAAAAAAGAAAATGCTTACCTTTTCTGCAGCAATTGTCGAAACAGCCGCAGGCTTCCCCCGGTCCTTCATCTGTCGAGTCTCCTCTTGCTCTTGGATAGGATCAATAGCTCTGGGCTTGCGTTCGCGAAGCGACATTCTCGACGTCGGCCGATCAAGCTCTGTCGCGCCAGATAATGCTCTCTCTCGTCGAACCCGACCTGCCTCTGGGTTCAGATCTTCAAATGTGGCACTTTCAGTTTGGCGATCCCGTGGTATGAGGAGCTTCGAAAGCTCCTTGGCAGCAACCGTCCATGACACGTCAGGGGGTGAGGGAGATGGAGACCTGCTGGAGGCTGTCGACCTGTTGATGAGAGACGACATGCTTCGCTGCATTTTGAGAGGGTTCACAGCCCTCGCCGTGGAGGCATGGGTTGGCGAGCAATATGTTGGAGTAGGAGATAGACGCGGCTTCTTTGGTGTGGCATCAAACTGCGCAACTATGGCTTCCAATTTCTCAAGCTGATCAGCCGCCCACCATGAGGGATCGTATGGGTTAATCGAACCCAGAGGTGGTACAACGCGCTCGCCGTCCTCACCGTACGCACCATCCGTAAATGGGAAGCCGCCCTGTCGAGGTAGATTCTGCTTGCCAACAAGGCCGCTAATATGGCTGAAGATGCCCGCGGTCAAGGCTCTGTCGCTATAGCCACCTTCCAAGACACTGACGATGCGGCCGTCAACAGCAAGGCCTTCCTCTGCGGCAAGTCGAACAACATCTTGGGTTAATCGTGCGTAGAACTCGGTGGGTACGTTGACTTTGTGACGCTGCATCCCCGCACCCTCCCATTCGCTGGCATCGAAACCAGCAGAAAGAAAGATGACAGCCCGCGGGCTAAGTCCTGCATCCTGTAGCTTCTCTGCCTGACCTTTGAGATAGCTGCGAGCCTTGTCGAGAAGTATCGTGTACTTGGTCTCATAAAGATCCCAGAAATCCTCCACTGTTTTCCACGGCTGGAGATGGGTATTCCAAATGTTTTGCCCGTGTGCATTCTCGATGCATATACTTGCGTTCTTGATCTTGTCATCATCGCCATTCTCACAAGGATAAGAGTTGATGTCATGCAAGCTGAAGTAGCCTATTGACGTCTTTTTCCAGGCGGCATGGTTCTTGGTAGCAGCCATGGCTCGCGAGTTGTGTGCCCACGCAATGGATTGAGACCCATCTCCGTGGTGTAAGTCAAAGTCGATGATGGCGGCATGCGTCAGGCCGTGGTTGAGGATACCGTGCATGATTCCAACATGAACATTGTTCACCCAGCAGAAACCAGATGGGAGATTGTCAGAGCAGTGATGTCCCGGAGGCCGCACGGCAACAAATGCTCGCCGTGGCCCAGCTGAGAAAACAGCATCTACACCTTCACAAACAGCGCCCAAGGCACCCTCGATAGCATCCAGTGACTCGGGACAGAGATACAAATCGCCCTCGTGAAGCTTCTCTGGGGCGGCATGGTCTGGGCCTCGTGTAATAGTAGGCCTCTGCAGCTCCTTTCCTCCACGAGCCAGCACCTCCTCGGCGGACTCGCACATGGTCTTGAGCTCCTCCATCCATTTTGTCCCATGAACATTTGTGACCGCGGGAGACAACAACGGTAGTCTCCGGTCAGTCTTGTGAATACGAAAGGGGATGCTGGGCAGCAAGTGCACATTTCCCTTTGGCAGAATAGGCATCGCTCCATCAGAGTGGCGCTCACCAAGACGCACATACGCTGTGGACACGCCCAAGACACTGGCCTTGATCCGCTCGGGCCGCTCCACAATGGTGCTTAATGCACTCTTGGGGGTGCGCGGGCGGGAAAACCGGTGGCCGTAGACTGCATCGTTGAGGATCACCACCGTCTCGGTGTGGAGCGTCGATACAGGGCCGTGATGCGCTTCCAGCTCGTCCTTGAAGTGGCCGCTCGCCACCGAGTTTGGCGTCAGGGGCGGCCGCCACTCGGGCTCGAAGCTCGGCATGCCAAACGACGCCCTCAAGCCCGGTGAAACAACCTGCCCAAGGCTGGAGCGCCTGGACAGCGACCGCGAGGGGCCAGCGCCATTTGCCGAGTGCAGGGAGTTCATCGAGGCCTTGCGGACGAGGGTGGGAGTTCCGGCGCGCGATTCTCTGCCCGAGGGACTGAGCGAGGGAGTGGGAGTGCCTCTGGACGAGGGCGAGGCATGGGGAGAAGACGCATTTAAAGGCAGCGGCGTCGACGGGGATGCGGGCAGTCCTGGGGATCGCGGGCCCGGCGTCAGAGACAGCGACAGTGACAGCTGGCTCAGTGACTGTGCGTCGTCGCCGCTGGAGGCTGGCGCTGCACGCCGTGGCGGCGCTGCATTGGGCGGAGACGACATCGAATCGTACAGGTAGAGGCGGGTGGGTTGCAGCGAGGCGACATGCGCCAGGAACACGCCGAACGGGCAGAAGAAGCAGAAGAAGAAGAAGCAGCCCTTGTGCTTGTGCTTGTGCTGCGAGTGTGGGTGGAGCAGCGGCAAGAGTGAAGGGAGAGTGAATTTGCGAATGAGAGGCCTGAGGAGAGAAGAGAAGCCTGAGGTGCGAAGCCGGTGACGCGACAGGCAGACTAGATGCGGTTGATGCTGCGGTGATGCTGCGCTCTGCCGTGGGCTGTAACTGCCGGTGGTGTTTCTGCTTTATTTGGGAATATCTCGGTTTGTTTTTGTCTTGCTTTGCCGGCTGCGTCAGGGTTGCGGTCCAGTTGGCACGCGCCGGCGCCCGAGGCCTTGGGCGTTTAATGACATGCCCGTGGTGTAATTTCAATTGTCGCCATCGTCATAGCCGCCTCGCTTCCCCTAATTCCAGTCGGGTCCAATCCCGTCCAACGTGTCTTACCAGGCCAGTGACCGCAATCACGTGCCTACCGTTGCTAATATAGGGGGCCATTTGATTGAGCCTGTTGTGCGTCCCCTCTGCAATTTTGATTGTCCGCGGTTGGGCACCACAACTTCACGAGTGTGTATCCACGAATTGTGTGGTGTTGCTTTTTTCTGACATCTGGGGCCGTGTTGGATTCGGAAGCGGCAGGTCTAGGTGCTGCTGCTGTGGAGCAATCGTGCGTCTCCTTACGCCTGCTTACAGTCTAGATGCATGCAGGCCAGCAGAGCAGACCACGGCAGATGGGCAGGCCAAACAGGGCCCTGGGATTGTTTCTAGAGCAATACATTATGCTGCAGATGTCATGACATCAATCAACCGCAACCCCTCCAACCACCACTGACGGCCACTGAAAAGGATCCCGAAGCACTAGGACACGGGCTCTGGTAAGAATTGTATCCATCAACCGCACACACCGGGGGCTTGCAGCAGTGGACCTCCAGGCAGGAATACATTTGTACGTGGCCGAACCACAGCAGAGGCATCTGAAGCCTACCGCAGGGCCGCCTGTCAGCGATGCATTCAGTATGAACGAGTACGAGAGACTCAATGGCGGCAGTACCGGCTGTGGCAACAGCAAGCAGTCTTGGCATTGGCATTGGCTTTGTCATTGGTAACGGCATTTCCCAGTTCTACTGCTACTGCTGCTTATAGTCAATACTAATGGATGGGTAGTAGCAGCAGTAGCAGCATAACGTGCATAACCAGGAACCAATGTCTCCGATTAACGGCTGCAAGCGATCATGATGCGGCGCTGGTGCCTCCGCATCGCTCGACCAAGCCTACCGGACGCTCGGCTCGCAGAGCGAGGGTCGGAAAGCCCATATCCGACGAATTGGCAAATGACAATTGAGTTACGGAGCATCCCGGAACTCTCAAAATCCTCGATGATACGAGGATTCAGAATGCTGCCAACTGCTGCGAGCGCTAATATTGTATTACGAAGCAAGCACAAGATGTGCTCCATCTCAATTTGAAAGAATCCATCAACTCATAAGTGAAAATTTCCGGCCATGTTATTACCTGACATGCCAACACGCCGTTGCTAAAAATACGCAGCCCTTGATCGTATGAAAAGGGGGCGACTTGATTAGCGGTCCCGCTCTCATCCGGGGTAAAAACTCGATCCCCAGATGTATAACCAGAACATTGGAAAGCAGTACAATTGTCTTTGAAACAGACTGATAGAACCTTGGACCTTGCAGACGCAGCACGTAGGTTTTCAAATGCAATGAAGGTATTGGTTCATGTCGGCAATCTCAACAAGTGAGTCAACAACAACACACACACACCCACACACCGGCCGGATGCTGCATATGTGACTGCAATATGGAGGGATTTTATAAATTGATGCCGCACCTAAGCCCATACAGCATAAATAACGCTCATTGCTTGCTGCAGTAGGTAGGCCCGAAGACCTGCTTATCGCTCTCTATATGGGCTCATGTTGTCAAGCTGGCGGAAGGTGGTTACCTATCACTAATACCGCTATACAAAGGATATCGAATGGAAGCTCAATAAGGTTGATGGCACTAAAACGCATAGCTGCAGTGCCGCTCAACCGCCATCTTGGGGGCCAGGCAGAAACAAGGCCCACTCGCACATGCTAATCGATTGTATCAACTCAACTTCCACTACCATCAGCATCAGGCATCGCTCTCCCGAAGCATCTCAGGTCAGCTCAAGTCAACAAGCATCAAGCCATAGTCCAGAAACCAGTTCCAATAAGACACCAATCCGTTATCATCTCCTTCGAGCCACCTTTAGTCTTTCCAACTGCTTCTTCCTTCTCGCCACCTGCTGCAAGTCTCAGCCGCTCCAGCCCGCCAAGTCGATAGCGTCTAATGCATGTGCTCACAACACTTCGTGGCACTAGCCATCGACGCCTGATTAGCCCAAGACGCCAAATGCGCCAAATGCAGATGGACCCGTCAAGGTACCGCAGCGTCGCCCGCAACTCAATCGATGCCACCTACGAACATGGCTTCTGTTCCCGTAGACCCTGATTTGAGTCCGGAAAAAGGCGCCTATTCTCCGACTTCAACTGCAACACTTTTTCGTATGAAGCTCTCTTCCTCGATCCCCTCTTGTTTGATTGTATCCCAAGGTATTACAGCTATTTGATCGTACCATCTCCCCTCTCCCACGCCAACAGTCAAATCCTTCCCAACACCACGTCGCGCCGAGCCGCTGCTAGCCAAGCCTTTTTTCTGCCTACTGGCAAGCTACTGGTTCAGCCGCACCGGGGGGAAGCCGCTTGATAATTGGCTCGTGGGCGTAAACAGCAGCAAGGACGAGGAAATCCGCGTCGCTTAGGCTGCATAATGCTCTCATTCTCTGCGCCTCTCCAAGCACCAGGCTGTCTAGACTCGTTCCCGTGATGCGATAGCTTGCGCTAGAAGCTGAGCTGTTGTTGAAAATGCGGTGGCTGCCCAGTATCGTAGGAGCTTGGGGCAAAAAAACAAAATACATGTAGAGACTCACCTCCTCGCTAGATTGTCTTTTGTGTAGTTTTCCAATTCCTTCCCTCATCGCTTTCTGCTGTTTACCATTCACAGAGCCTTTCCCAGCTGTACAAGATGGTTCTCGCTCTGTTGATACCGGTACTGGCAAGCGGCGTAGCTGCGCAACACTTGACTCTGCCATTAGTCAACTACGGTGCCGTTGTAAACGCGGTCAATTCGAATGATCCAGGCTACCAGATCTGTACAGAAGTGGCCGACTTCGTTTCGGGCTGTATTGTTCAAGCTGGAGGCGCCACGGCGCTCTCCACGGCGGATCCCCTTTCTCTCGCCAAATGTGCTTGCTGCGTAGGCACAACTGATGTAGCTCCCGCTTACAGCAGCTGTGCCAATTATCTGGTGTCCGAGGCGCCTCAACTGACTTCGCAAATTTCAGGTGAGTATTAGGTATTAGATAGATGCTATGCTTTTACGGCTTTATATCTCCTTCTCCTGCGTGTATAGCTCTAATAAACTGCCAGCCTATGGTTATTTCTACTCGGCCTGCGGAAATTCTCCACAGATCTGCCTCGGAAACTCTGGTGGAAATTCTGGCGGCAACTCTGATGGAGGCGGATCAGTTACAAAAGAATCAGAGCCATCATCCACCGCCCAATCCTCACAATCCTCGCGTTTCCAGTCTCCTCCACCAGCTTCTTCGACATCTACCCCCTCCCCAGCCTCCTCGCCGAGCAAGATCCCGCAACAAACATCTGCTACACAAGGTGGATCGACCGCTTCGACGAAGACGGGCTCTGCAGCTTCTGCCGTGACAACTTACGCGTCAGCGTGTATTTCAATGGTAGATATCTTTGAACAGTGTACGAAAAATACACCTGGTTTTACGGATTTGGTGTATAGTGAGCAGGCTTACTGCTATTGGTATGACAAGGCCCAACCTCGTCTTCGTGGAAATCGAAACTGACGAAAAATATTAGCTGTCGGAGTGCCCTTGGTGGGGAGGTCACATGGACTGATGAGATCGATACGTTTGCTTCGACCTGTCGAGATTGGGCTGCCACTATTACCACTGGCGATGCTTTGACCGCTTACGATGGTTCGTACTCTCTTTTTACTTTATATCCCGTGAAGATACTACGAAGTCTGCTAACAATAACGAAGTGGCCAAAACCTTTGCCACCTTCTGCGACCATTTCAGCGATGCATGCGCAATCTCGACAAACGGGCCCTCGTCAACGACAAACGATAACCCTTTCCCTCCGCCAGACTCAACGGGAGGTTCAGGCGATTCTTCAGCTGGAGGAGATGGAGGCCAGGTTACCGTGACTGTAACTCAGCCTCGTCCTACCACGACGTCACACAATGCTGCTCCAACTGCTCGTGCGGGTCTTGCTGCTGGTGCACTTGCAATAGCCGGCTTTGCCATAATGATTTGAGAGGAAGCAGTTGGGCGTACGCTATACTGGAATACTTAATGATGAAAGCGGTTTTATGAAAAGTCAGAGATAAAGAGTTGAAATTGTCACTGCGCGAGATACCTATAGCCGAGGAGTCTATCAATTGGACATGTATGTAGCTATTTTGGCCGTATGTACTGCATAAGCAGCACGCTTAAGTCACGGGTAACACGATTAATGAGTCTATTGTATCTAAACCGTCAAGTCAACGTTGACTCTCTTGAGGGCGTCCACAGCCCACTCAGGATACTGTGACTTGTCCTCATAAAGCTGCGCAAAAAATTGTCGAATCAATGCAGGAAATCGATCCTCAATAACCGCCTGTCGGATATCCCGCATGAGCTGCAGCTGATACCACACGTTGTGAATTGTCAACAAATGCGCAGCTACCGTCTCCTTTGAAGCATTGTGGTGAATGAACGCCCTCGTGATGCCCATGCCATCCTCGCCCTCCCTGCAGCACATGCAGCCGCAGCCGGGCTCAATAGGCCCAAAGTCAGAGGCGTACTTTGCGTTTCGGATGTTCAAGACGCCGTGTTTGGTGACGGCGTTTCCGAATCGCGCTGTTCTTGTTGGCCAGACGCAGTCAAACATGTCTGCTCCGAGGGCGACACTGACGATCAAATCTTCGGGGTAGCCGATGCCCATTACATATCGGGGCTTGAGATCGGGCAATAGGGCTGTACAGGTCTCGACAACGCGGCAGTAATCCGCCTTTGCTTCTCCTCCGCTGAGTCCGCCAATAGCAATGCCGGGTGTATCTCTGGCTACCATCTCCTCGCAGCATTCCCGTCGCATCTCTAGATCCAGGCCACCCTGGATGATGCAAAAGAGGTTCTGTCTATCGGGGTTTTTGTGAGCGGCAATGCATCTATCCAGCCATCTTACGCTACGCTCCATAGCCTCTCGCATTCGGGCCTTGTCTGGAGAGGTAGTCACCAAGACATCGTCGAGCTGCATCATGATATCACTGCCTATTGAGTTTTGCAGGGACATGGAGTGTTCTGGAGTGAGTAGCATGGGTGATCCATCATGAGGGCTCAAAAAACGAACGCCTTCCTCCGTGATCGTGGCCAACTTCAACAAGCTGACCATTTGGAAGCTATAGTGAAAGATAAGTAGGGGCCCAGGTTAACTGAGAGGTTTGAAACGTACCCTCCGCTATCAGTGAGAAGATTGTGATTCCATCCTTGCAACTTGTGAGCACCACCAACGGCATCCAGAATTTCTTGTCCAGGCTTGAGTCCCAAGTGATAGGTGTTGTTTAGGCAGAGACGACATCCAGTGTCTTCCAACTGCTCCGGGGTAATGCCCTTCAGAGACGCCTGTGTAGCCACGGGCATAAATATCGGTAACTGAACAGGTCCATGGGGTAATGTGAGAATAGAGGCACGAGCTCTGGTTGTCTGGCTTGAATGTCAACCATGATGAGATAGGTACTTGGACATGGATGTGGAACTGACTGAGCATTTTGCAAGGAGTTCAAAACTCAAAGCCGGGGACGTATAAACATTGGACGCCATTCTTTTGGTCATGAGCATAATTTTCCAGAATGATATCCTCCAAATCTTAGCCCAGCCCCTGCAACGAACCCTTCTTCGTCTCTTGGGAAGTTTTTTTCTTTGTTACTTGCCTTCGATTTCTTACTTCACATGAGCCAAGGTACATACCCTGGAATGCGCCATGAAATTTTGGCGGGGCTTTCACACACGCGCCACATCTGGCCAGCCACAACGAGGGGACTTCAGCCGGCTCAACATCGGCAGACAGGAAAGCTCGTCTGCCAACGAGAATTTGCATCACGACCATCGTATGAGTGGCATTCGATCGCAGGCCATTGAGCTTCCCGACAAGCTCCAACAGCCATAATGGGGGGTCGCGCCGTATCGCCCGGAGGGGCTCTTTTGAGGACATCACGGATGTTCTCAATTCCCAAGCCCCTCCCCGAACCACCCTCAACGAACCTCCATATTGGAGATCACAAGTCTGCGACAATGACGAGACCATACCCGCAGCACCAGTCCATCACATCTCCCCTGGCATCGCGCGAAAAGGGCGACTGGGGACTCAAACGCCCATTTCCTCTAAAATCCACGATGGCCACATCAACGCCCTTCATCCGAGTCAAGCAGCTCGACACCGTTGAGAACGTCACCAACTTTGCTTCCGCTGCCGACCATTCTCTGTCATTAGAAAAGTTCCAGGAGCTGCGAGTGGCCATGTCCGTGCCGCACAATACCGACAAGAAGGCCGATTCATCTTCACGGACGGAGCTGTGGCACAAGTCGGTATTTGAGGAGGATATGGATGTTACAGATTTCAAGGCTGGACTTGGAGACGATCGACGATGGAAGTTTCAGGGCCCTTGGCTTGCTCGAATGACGGAGGGAAAGTTTATCGACTACCTGGACAAGAAAGTTCGCCCCAAGCGGGCACAGTTCCGAGCATTGCTCAAGGGCAAGCTGGCCGACGACATTACTACGAGCCAAAACAGGGCCGCAATCGAAGCTGGAAAGGAAGCCCCCGCCAAGATTGAGGCGAAGGACATATCCGAAGAGCAATTCACAGATTACTTGCGCTCATTGCGCAATGACCGAGTGACATTGTATGCGCTCGTCTCAAAGTTTCTCGACTTGGCGCCCTTGGGACAACCGGTCGGCATCATCCAAACTTTCTGGTCTAACCGCGACAGCCTTGCTTCCGACAGTCCGTATGGCAAATCCGGCCCCCCTCCGAGTCACCCCTCCGCAGGTATCAGCTACCTGCGAACCAGCTCCTTCATGGAAAACCACCCCGTCTATGGTCCCCAGGGCAAGCGTACACCTGCATTGGCTCGAGTCGTCTACCCCAAGGCCGGACCTGTCCCGCCCAAGCTGGGTGTCGGAGGTTTCGTCGCTGATGCTCCTCCCGGCGACAACGAATTCAACTTTAGAACAATGACGCGCGCAAGGATCTCATCCAATAAGACTATGCTGAACGGCATCATGCATCTGGACACGACCACATTCGGTGGTGCCAAGGCTTACGTCGAAGCCACAACTGCCAATGTCGATCCCAGCGGCAAGGTCGTCCTGCAGCTCCGGGAGACAAGTGCTGAGGCGCAGGTCGTCGCCAGGGAGAGCAAAGGCCTTACAGAGATTTATCACGATGGTAAAACTAAGAGCTACACTCCCACCACACCGAAAACTACTGGCCAACAGTCTCCGAGAACCACTAGCCAACAGGCTACGCGTATTTCTGACGAGACTCGTTGGAACCGTGTCGCCGATGAGATTTTGGATGAGCCATCGCGGTCATGAGAAGAGAGAGAGAGTTTGGTGGGGAAAAACAGGTTTAGCAATTACGAGCCTCGCTATAGAAAAAGACGGGCTGCGTTGAAGATTGCTCGACACCTGTATGTTATGAGGTTTTGTCAAATTTTACCCATGTACAATTCATGTAAAGTAAAATAAAGTCGCAGCAATAAGAATTGAGCAGTATATATCTTCACAATTCGACTCATTAGATGGTCTTCAAGGCCTGCCATATCTGAATGGCCTAATTAGGCAAGCGCGCTAGCCAGAAATGGTCAGGTGTTGAAACGAGATGCAAAAATACGTGTCACATGACACTACACGTGCCGAACTTTCGAGCCCTAATCAATTCGCTCCCCACAACCAAGCAGAGCTAACCACCAACTTTTTGAAGGCCGGAATCTCGCAACGCTTCATTCACCAACCACCAGCAACCAGCCAATACCGCCAAAATGGGTCGCGTTCGTACCAAGACTGTCAAGAAGTCCGCCAAGGTCATCATTGAGCGGTACTACCCCCGTCTCACTCTCGACTTCGAGACCAACAAGCGCATCTGCGATGAGATCGCCATCATTGCCTCCAAGCGCCTCCGCAACAAGATTGCCGGCTACACCACCCACTTGATGAAGCGTATTCAGCGTGGACCCGTCCGTGGTATCTCCTTCAAGCTTCAGGAGGAGGAGCGTGAGCGCAAGGATCAGTTTGTTCCTGAGGTCTCTGCTCTGGACTTCTCCGAGGCTGGCCAGCTGGATGTCGACAACGAGACCAAGGACCTGCTCAAGCACCTTGGCGTATGTTTTTACCTTATAAACACCTGCAGATTCGTAATGAAGACTAACATGTTTTTTTCCTTCTTATAGTTCGACTCCATCCCCGTCAACGTCATCCCCGTCTCTCAGGCTCAGGCCCCCGAGCGTGGCCAGCGCCGCTTCGGTGACCGCCCTCGTCGCGACTAAAAAGTTTTTTTTTGTGGGATATTGGGTCTCTGGTTTTGCAACATTTTGCAGGTTGGCGTCTCAGGATGGTAGTGCGTGTATAGATCTCGAAAAAAAGAAAGATCTTTCACCCCACAAGGTGTCGCCGATTTTCTGATTAATTTCGAGATGACGCTTGATTGCCAAAACAAATCCGTCCCTTTCTGTTCACTTTGTGAATGCGGTGACTGGATACCATATCGTTCATGAGCTGGGGGTGTTATTCTGCTATTGTCCTGTTGCACCTTTGCTGGTGTTTATGGAAAATACGGAAGAACGAAACCAAGTCGTGTTACAGATGGGTATCTTAATGTCTAAACCAACGTAAATTTTGTTTTTCCAATACACGCCCAAATAATAGCCTAACGCCCAGAATATGCAAACTTTTGTTAAACTCCACCCGGCCACTTTATATCTCTGGTTCTTGTTTCTCAGGGATTTTAGCTTTGTAGCCATCAACAAGTAGATGATCCTCCGAGTTGCCAGCTTCGGCCGGAGGAAACTCAGAAGGCGCTTTGACGTCCTTTTCTTTCAAAGTAACCTTGACCTTGTTGACTGGAGGGCCAAACTTGTCGTCACCTCTTTCCATTGCTAGAGCAGCGGAGTCTCGGGCAGCCTGTCGTTGATCTTCCAGCTTGAGCTCCCCGAGCTTGCGAGCAGTTCGATCTGCTTCCGTCTCGGCCGAGCGGTCTTCCTCCAAAAGGTCGATCTGAATGTCAGGGATGCCGGCTCGCTCCCAGGCAGCAGTCTCGTTAAGCTGGACCTTGACAAAGAGGGCTCTGCGTGCACACTGCTGGGAGCACCACTTCTCAAGCTCCTTGCGCTTGACAATCTCGCCGCTGCTTGTAATCTTCCACTCTCCGCTCGAGCCTGTCTGGCGTCTAGGCTTCGCACACAGGGTATAGCCACACAGTTCGTTTACGTTGCGTTCCTCAATGAGGTCGTCGTAGTCAGAGGGCTGAAAGAGTCGGACGTTTGCCTTGAAGTCTGCAATGTCGGATGCTGCTGGGCTTGAAGCGTTGAATTGGGCATCTCTGGCGAGGGGATACTCGGATAAGAGGATTAAACTGTCGAGAATCTGGCTTTCGAGCTGCTTCCTATTCTCTAGCAGTGTGGCATGGCGGATGGCGACTTCACGTGCGGTTTCGGGCTTCTCTGGAGCATCACCAATATTTTTCAGGATGCCCTTGAGCGGGCCGCCCTGACCGGTAGCCATGTTATGCCGAATGCTTGCTTTGTTTGTATACAGTTCGAGACAATGAATTGCAGCAGCTATCCGTGCTAGTTGTCGAGATCGCGTTGCTCATTCGTGCATCTGATAGCTGTTTGGTTGTTGTACAGTAGAAAATGCAGATTTATTACTAACCCGCTGCGATATGTGAGATGTGATGCTGCAACCCCACTAAAACAGCCGCTGTGCCTTGCTTCTATGGAACGCTGCCGTGTCTGTTACAGGCATCTAGGCAAGCAGGTACCAGTACCTACATATTACAGGAGAGCTGGAGGGGTCTGCGCTGTGGCGCCTGGCCGGGCGAAACATCCAACCGGTGGCGCAATATGGAGAATAGATGCGCCTAATGATGACCTTGTTGGAGCAGCTTGTGCACGGCAGGCCTGTCAGTTTATACATGCACGTAGCAGGTAATTAAAGCCACGCAAGGGCGCCGTATTCCATGTGCTACAGCGGGATTAGCCTTCTGCGAGCACTCCGCGCAGGCATGCATCTTCTGCATGTGCCACAGCCGCGTGGTTTCTTGGCCGAGGGCTGCGGCATCAGAGAGGCTGTGTCGAGAGCGCTCGCCCCGGAGGTCCGAAGAGCTGCTGGAAGGGCCGGTGTGGAATCTGCAGGCTGTTTTTGTCAAAAGCAATGGGTGGTCGTCAGGTGCTCGCCATTGCAGATGCTGGTCGGGGTCGAAACATTGAAACGAAGCTCCCCGTATAAATATAGATCACCGATGCCTAGCATGTTTCGTCTTTTGCAAGGTAGGTGGAAGCTTAAGTTAGCGACCTGCCCCCCAAATCCCCTAATTCGCGAGCTCTCAGTTACCTGCTTGGAAACTTGCCTCTAGGCAGTAGTGATCGCAACGATTGAGTACTGCGCTGTAGCCGTGACGAGTGCGGCACATCCTCGGTCCCTGACAAGGCCAGTTACGCTTCCACGCCCGCCGGCTCTCCCATCCATTGTTTCTGGCCCCTCCGCCACCATCGCACCGTCGTGGCATCCGGCCAATCCACTGCTAGACTGACAGACGCCGCCCGGTACTGCTACCTGACACTACTTGCACTTGCGACTGCCTGCGCGCTCTAGTTGCCCAGCGGCCGGAGCTCATTGGGGGCGCCTGGTCATCTTCGTCATTGCCTGGTTATGCTGCGCTGACGTCGACACACTCACAGCCCGTGATCCACCGCGTTTCACAGCCCTCTGGTGCATTTCATCCTCTGCAAACCTCGAGATCTCAAACGCCCAGCATATCCTGCCGCCGGCTGCGAGACAGACTCTCTCGAAGCTCTCCACGGTGCTGCAAACCGGGCTGAAACACCCGCTTGGGCACAGCAATTACGCGACGTCCATCCCCCTCACCCATTCCTCCCCACGTTTTAGCCACTCACCGGCTGACCAAGGGACAGACGGCTCTCTAGACTGCCCCACACATACGACGACAACCTCCTCCTAGCTAAAGAGTACAAAGCTTCTGGTCAGGCCAGGCCACGGCAGCCTGTCTCCTATACAACATTGCTCCCGCTGCAGACACCGCCGCCATGGCCGCCCTGTTCCGCGTCAAGGCGCTCTACGATTACTCGTCGCCGCACGAGGACGACCTCAACTTCCCCGCCGGGCAGATCATTGCTGTGACGGACGATGAAGACGCCGACTGGTACGGCGGCGAGTACGTCGACGAGGCCGGCGCCAAGAAGGAGGGCATCTTCCCTCGCAACTTTGTCGAGAAGTTTGAGCCCGTCGCGCCCCCGCGGCCCGTGAGGAAACAAAAGCAAGAGCCAGAGGCCGCCGCCCCTGCTCCCCCTCCCCCGGAGGCTTCTGCCCCCGAGGACACAGCTGGACGATCGACACCTCCGCCAGCGATCCTGGGAGGCGTGGCCTCGCTGCCCTCTCCGAAGAGAGTTGCAGAGCCCGTCAGGCACACGCAGCCCGCCGAGGCTCCCGCTCCTCCTGTCCCTGCGCCCGTTCCTGTCGCGGCTCCTACTCCCCCGCCGGTGGCATCTCCTCCCGCGCCAGCTCCGGCACCGCTGCCGACCTCGCCAAAGCGTACTGAATCTCCCGCCTCGGCAGCTTCGAGTGCGCCCAAGCCCAAGCCCGCGCCTCCGCCGGTTTCCGAGAAGCCCAGCTCCTTTAAAGACCGCATTGCAGCGTTTAACAAATCAGCCGCACCCCCAATTGCGCCCTTTAAGCCCAGCGGCCTCGGCGGCGGCAGTGGATCGGGATTTATAAAGAAGCCTTTCGTGGCACCGCCTCCTAGTCGAAATGCATATATTCCGCCGGTCCGCGAAGCTCCTGCCGCCAAGGTCTACCGCAGAGATGAAGATCCTGAGATCAAAGACCGGGTGGCCGAGACCCAGGGACAAGCCGAGAAGGCGGGGTTGGTCCCTACTGAAACCCAGAAAGAAGGGGATGAAGAAGATCAGCCGAAGCCTACCAGCTTGAAAGAGCGCATTGCGCTTCTCCAGAAACAACAGATGGAACAAGCGCAGCGCCATGCTGACGCGGCGTCTAAGAAAGAGAAGCCAAAGAAGCCGCCGCCACCCAAGAAGCGCCTCGACTCCCAGGTTTCTGTCCCCGAAGCCGAGGAAGCGCCCGCGGTACCCGATCGAAGAAGCATTGATGAGCCTCCTGTTAGGGCCTCAATGGATGGTGCGCCTTCTGAGAATGCTCCTTTAGCGCTGCGACCCCAGCCTGAATTAAATGTGTCTTCGAGACCTGTTTCCAGGGACACTGCTAATGAAGTCAAAGATGACACTGCAGAAGCAGATGTTGACGATCATGCTTCACACCGGCTGTCCAAGATTCCAACCTCATCCACTACCGCTGGCGCCGCTCCCGCTCATGAAATAGAACAGCTGGCAACAGAGCCCCAAGAAGCGGTTGAAGAAGAGGCTGAGCAGGAGGAGCAAGAAACTCAGGAGGAAGAGGAAGAGGAAGTTGATCCTGAGGTCAGGCGCAAAGAGGAACTCCGAGCACGAATGGCCAAGATGAGCGGTGGCATGGGCTTTCATGGCATGTTTGGCCCGCCATTGGGAGGTGGCCTACCGCCAAGGGGACCCAAGCCGCCTGCCAGATCTGCCACTACTCGTGAAGAGGATGTCACTCCGCCACCACACGCTCCTCCTGTTCCAGCCATGATACCAATTCCAGGCATGATGGGTGTTCCAGTTAAGCCCGCCGAAGAACCAGCTCCGGCCGAAGAATCAGAGACTGAACAAGCACAGAAACCTGAAGAAGAGGGAGACACCACTCCCCCTGCGGCCGCCCCCGAGCATGCCGAAGAAGGTGAGTCTAATAGCATTGAACGACGCATATCAAAACGTCTTATTCGATTCGCTAATGCTCTTCTACAGCCCTTCCGGAGCATAGGCCACCACCCCCTGTTCCTCACGAAGAATTTTCGGCGCCCCCTGTTCCTCTAGCCGGTATGTGCCTACCTATATAGTTGTTTTTCAAGTCACGCATATAAACTGACACTGCGAAGCTCGACCGGTGCCCCCTCCCGCTCCTGCAGCAGGTAAATGCGAACATGACACTTGATAGTCCGATTGCCTGTTATAAGCTGACCCATGCATTGAACATAGCGCGCTCTCCTCCGCCTCTGCCCTCAGCTCCTCCACCTGTCAAGTCTGCTACAGAGGGATCAGAATCTGATGACGAGCTGTCAAGCGGAGCACGTGAGAATCATGAGCCAGCTCCCGCAGTTCTGAGATCTCCCCCTCAACCCCCTCACCCAATAGACACATCGTCGCCTCAGTCGCCACGACTGCCTTCACGCGATGCATTCTCGCCAACGTCACCGACTAGCAAACGCGCGAGTAGACCGCCGCCTCCTGTGCCAGGAGCTGCCCCTGCCCTACCTCCGGCGCAATCTCGCCCGCCTCCTCCGCCTCCTCCCGCTGCCCCAAGGCGACAGTCTACTGTAGACATGGGAGTAGCCTCACCTACCAGGCCTGCGCAGGCTGGAGAAGACATTGGAGAGGGTACCGAGTATGAGGGCGATTATGACACCGATATTGCGTCGCTCGCGCCCCATAAAGATGCCTTGTCAGCACATGATCAAGAATCTAGCTTGGAAGAAAACAGCCTCATGTCGCCATTCAACGACGCACCGCCGAATGCTCCTCCGCCCCCGCCTGCTCCGTTTGCTTCAACCCCGAGAGCTGCACCACCATCTGTACCCCAGTCCCCACCTCTTCCGCGAAGATCAACAGACATGTCGCGCTCTGTTCCGTCACTGCCACCCCCGGTCCCTCCGCCCAAGGAAAGCCACGATGCTTTGTTCATCCAAAATCCTCGTAAATCAGAAGATGTTGCGGAATCGCCAGTTTTAGATGAGCCAACACCTCTTGCCTTTGACGCCAGAGCAATTTCCCCCCCTGATCGAAACGTCCCCCCTCCAGTTGGTGCGCGCCCGAGGGCATCAGTAGAGATGTCCAGACCTAGCCTCAGCGCTCCCAGGAGGTCAATTGATCACCACCGCCCTTCTATGGATTCTGGCTTTATCGCAGGAGACATTGACTTGGCTGTGCAGAGTGGTTGGTGGAAGCAGTCGAATCAAGTCCCCCCTGTCCTCCAAGGCAGAAAGGATATCTACTTTGAGTGTGATGAAACGACTACGACAAATCAAGGCGAGCAGACGATGATTACACGTGAAACTTTCATCCTTTTCCAAGATTACTCGCAGACTATACTTACAGCTCGCTATGACCCTTATGACCCTTCAACTGTGGAGTTGGACCAGCGACATGAGGGGCCACCCAAGACCATGCGACAGGATCAGATGGAGGAGGCTTACGACACTTTTGGACGAAAGATTTCTGCAGCTGCTCTCGCCAAGAAGGACCAAGTTGTCGGCGACGGTAGTGCGCCGAGCTTCGTCTTGGAAATGATCCGTCCCTTGGAGGATGCCTTGTGGCCTATTAGCACTCGATCGTATGGCGCCCTCGTTTACGCCAACATGGCCAATGCGTCTACCCAGCAGCATGATGCTATTCGCCCCGGAGATATTATCACCATTCGAAATGCCAAATTCCAGGGCAAACATGGCCCGATGCATGCCAAGTACTCCGCTGAAGTGGGCAAGCCTGATCATGTCGGTATAGTGGCGGAGTGGGATGGCACCAAGAAGAAGGTACGCGCTTGGGAGCAAGGTAGAGATGGCAAGAAGGTGAAGCAGGAAAGTTACAAGCTGGATGATTTGAGGAGCGGCGAGGTCAAGATCTGGCGTGTAGTCTCACGAAGCTGGGTTGGCTGGCAGAAGAAGGCGCTCGCTTAGTGGTACTAGAGCCTCCCCTACCCAATATGTCAGCTACGTTGGTCTTTTTCTTATTTGGAGCTTTTTAAATGAAAGGGAAAAAAGAATAAATAAAGTTAAAGAGAAGAAAAAACAGATGGAGGGAGAGTATTAGGTGATGCCCGAAACACGCCTGGTTTTGTTCGGACTGTGTGTAGTGTGTTATGTGTGCGAAGAGCGCAAATGCATGTTGGCCTTTCCCCCCTTTCTTTTCCCTCTACACACCTTTGTTTTCTTAGTGCTGAATGTGTGCTGCATTTGCTCCTTTTTTCTTTTCTTCCATTTCTCTACATTTACAAATTTGTTTATATATAATTCTTTTTTTTTTTCGCTTTTAGATGCTTTTTGAATTTTGTGTTTTTTATTTGCGCGAAGCGTGAGGTGCGAGGCTTGAAATGCTGTGCTCTCGGTGATTAGAAATGGTGCGCTTTTGTATAGATATGGACAGGTGGATAGTAATTCGCTTTTACGTGGTATGAGAGGTATCTAGATGGTCAGCTTTTTAAGCTCATTTAGCATGTGATAATCGTGTATTTATTAGATATACTTTTACTTCTGGCTGTTGTGCCTTGTAAGTGAAATATAGGGTGCTACAACGTGATAAGCTCGCTTTACTGAGATAAGGCCATCTGTTTCCAACGTAAGATTTAGGTTCTCTGAGTCAGCCGTTTCCTTTTTTTTTTCTCACCCTGCTAGCAAGGGCGAAGGTAGGCGTGATTGATGTCTCGGATCGAGGACATACGAGACTTGTGAATGTCTCGGCCTAAGGAGCTGGAAGGGCGAGAATTTTTTTTGTGAGATGATTAGAAGCACCGTTACGGCTCTTGTTGAGATTAGTGGTACTATTTGAGTGCTCAATGTGTTACTGGAAGCTAATGTTCCGATGTAGTACGTAGGATTAATTTGGTGGGTTTTCTTTGTGTTCTGAGAGCTTGAGGTATCCTTATCAATAGTTGCAGTGGTTCAACTATGCGGTGTAGGTGTGTTACATTTACTGCTATGGATTGGTTGATGTGAGACAGTTTTGACTGAGTAATATTTTCGAGGTACCAGTTGATATCTTGTTATTATTATTATTTGGTTCTTTATTACAGAGTTACATTCGTGTCTTATTAAGTGGATGAGAGCAGGTTCGGTGAGAATGCGCGATTAGGCATTGAGCTTTACGTGGACTTACACGAACTTGCACTGCTCCAGGCAGATACGTCTATGTGGAAGAAGAAACGTAGTCCCTTATAGTGGACACGTTCCCTCATCCCCACCGCCCATCTGCGGCATGGGGAAAGCTAACCGGCTCATTAACCGATGGGATTGGCCCCTGCTTAGAGAAAAGAAGGAAGCGTAGCTCAGTGTAGGGGGTTACTTCTGCCGTCCTCCCTTGCTAGTTGTGTGTAGCCACCTACAGCACAAGGCAGCTTTAGTCAGTCGTCACAACGGGATTGACTAAGACTTCTGGACCAATGCAGGAGGTATACCTGATTTGAGGTTGGTTAACTGCAGTTATTGAGAGGCTGGGCCATGAGACATGGAGAGGGACAGGATCTTTTCTGAAATCTGTTTCGAGACCACCCACGATTTATTCTTCGATTCCCTTTCTTCTTCTCTCTCTCCTCTTTTTTGATCTTCTTTCTCTCTAAAAAAGCCCTCGTTACTCTAGTTGGCTTTAATATCAACTCATCTTCTACGAAATTCCTGACCAAGAACTCAAAAATGGGTGCCAAGTCACACAAACCCAGCAAGGCTCAGGCAGAGCTCGTCCCTAATCAGCTGAAAGATCTTCCAATAGCCCTTACAGCCGAAGAATGCAGAGGCAAGACTTATATCGTCACGGGTGCCAACGGAGGCCTTGGCTATGAAGCCACCAAGCACCTCGTCCGTCTTGAAGCTGCCAAAGTCATCATCGGCGTGCGCAATGCGGAAGCTGGCAAGGCCGCAAAATCAACAATCGAGGCAGAGACGAACCGCAAAGATAAAATCGAAGTGTGGGATCTTGACTTGGCCTCGTATGGCTCTGTCAAGGCCTTTGCCAAGAAGGTTGAAAGCCTGGAGCGGATTGATGCGCTCGTTTTGAACGCGGGCGCTTTGATATCGGCCTGGGAGGTGAAGGAGGGCAACGAGTCCAACATCACCATCAACGTGATGTCTAACTTTCTGCTGGCCGTGTCAGTCCTCCCGCACCTCCAGGCTATTGCGAAGCAGCATGAGATTAAACCGCATTTGGTGTTTGTCGGCTCCGTGGGCGGACTCTTCACCGGCGAACAGGTCAAGAAGTTTTCCAAGACGGACATCTTGGATGACTTGAACGACCAGGCAAAATGGAAGCGCGACATGCCTGATCGTTACACCGTGTCCAAATTTCTGGAGCATATTGCCACGCGAGAGCTGGCGGCTCTTGTGCCAGTCTCTGAAAGCGGCGTCGTCATCAACGTCGTTGATCCTGGCATGTGCAAGACTAATCTGACCAGGAATGTGAGCTTCTTCGACCGCATCAAGGGGTGGCTCGCTAAGGCGGCGATGGGACGGACGGCCGAGATGGGTAGTCGGACGTTGATTCATGGTATTGCGGCTAGTGAGGAGAGCCATGGGAAATACTTGACTGCCTGTGAGATTCGAGAGTAAGTCTGCATCTTTTTTTCACGTATCTTTTGTGTGTGATGGATGAGTTTGTATCATTGGCTAACGTTATGGCTTGCTTTTGCTTTTTAGGGACCATATTCCAGAATGGATGACGGACGAGTCGGGCAAGGTGCTACAGAAACAAATTTGGACAGAGCTGGCTGAGAGATTGGACAAGATTCAGCCTGGCGTGGTGGCTGCTATCATCCAGAACTAGGTTCTCTAACGGTATATCTATATTACGAGATTCCTCTTTATATGAGATTGTTGTGTGCTTGGCACAAAAGGATATTTCTGATATGGAGACAGTTTGTCAGATGAAAGCGTGACGAGATTAATACCATATGCACATTGCATAATGATACCTACCCCTACTGAATAATATCTGAAACTTTCCTACAAGTGACTAGGAAATAATCCTTAGATCAACGTAAGATGCGGACTAGTCTTATTAAGCCATGGTCTTGAAGGCTGCAGTTGTGAACCCACGTATTATATAGTAACGAGACCCATCCTTCGTTCTTAGATCGTGTTAGCTGTTTCGTAGCTCCAACTCGTATTGCTTGCTTCTCCGCTACAGAGCACAGCAAAGCCGTTGCTGGATCAGTAATCCACCTACATATATGTATCTACTGCGCGGGCTTATAACCGGGACTGTTTCGTATTTGCGCCAACTCAATACGCGTACGCAGCCGAGCCATTAGACATCGAGATGACTAGCAGTATATCGTCTGCTTATATCGTCAACTAGAGGAACTTTTGTATATATGGATATGGAATATTTTAAATTATAGCTCATTGAAGTTCTTTATCTTATTACTTGTACCTAAGCTTAGGTGCATGTGTGTGGCAACTAGTAATTAACTTGGATAATAAGGTAGGCTCAAACTGTTGCCCTTTAGGCATAGCTGATATCCGTCGACTTTTGCTTCTAGCATATGCAGATTGAGTTTGTCGAAGGATGAGCTGTACCGGCTGCCGTGCTGTATATTCCAAGCTCGTCAATGTTTCCAAGCGAGCATCAGTGTGATAAGCACCCAGGCTGTTACTCCAGGGAAGATATCTTACACGACGAACAAGGCATGTATATACCAAACGCCTTACTAAGAAAGGTAATCTCGACTGGAACCTTAACTTTTGGAATGCTCAGATGTACGTCATCTATAAGCATACGTACATCACTGCACTACGCCTCCACGAATGCTCCGCATCATATCGTGATCTCACTTCAAGCATTCAGAAAAGTGACCGAAACTGTGTGGAATCGCAGGTGAACGTTGTTTGACAGCACCTCTAGGTGGGACCCTGGCCGCGCAACCCTTCTATAGAGTGGCTGAGGCTGTGCAAGCTTGGCTGCGCGGTTGAAATAGCGCTGCAGCTGTGCCTGTAGTGGTGTGTGGCTGAGCACAGGGGAGAGAGGCCCTGTCTTTTCCCTAAAGCATCACGAAATAGAATTGATGTGATACTGCCTTTTCTCTGATCCAGAGGTATCAAAGATTGCTCTGTACACGTATAGATCGGAGGTTGTATGTCTAATTTAGGCGTGCTTTACTACCTGGACAATAGATATTTTTTCTACCATTCGAGGCCATCATGGTGCTCAATTCGTCGGATACATGTACTGTTTAAAACTCCCTTATTGACACTGTCTATATGATGCCACAACTACCCAACCGGGCAATGAAGGTGCGAGATAAACTCCGCCAGAGACGCTAAAAATACAGTGCCGGGGGACGGCTATGCAGATACCCGCCCAAGCTGCCTCTTTCAAGCAGCTGCTGGTAGCGGCAAGCGCCCGCCCCCACAGAAGAGCTGAGGCGATTTCCAGCAGGCTGCCTCAAGCGAGAAGACAAAAACATCAATCCGTCCCCTTTGAGTGATCTTGCCGCTGGGCTTTGTTCTCTGCTTCTCTTTCTGGTCCTAGAATTCTTACAGCATCCCTCCTCAGGACTATTCTCATGCTTATGTCTAGCTGCAGCCTGCTCCATTGAGCTCTACCGGTCTTGCGTTTAGCGCATTCCTTGGCCGAGACACCAGCAAACCGCCGGATGCCAGCGCCACAGGCCTAGCATCAACATGTCCTCGTTCACTCCCAATGAGCGCCAGCGCAGAATCGTTCACTTGTCGCAGCAATGGGGCGTCGTTCTGCCTCCAGTTCCTCCGCCGTTGTCGCGGCCGATGCAGCCGCCCTCGTTTCGGACAGCCGCAGATGATGAAGTCGCCGAGGGTCTCGTCCAGCGCCAGGCCGCCGACTCAGCCAAGACGCGCCCCAAGAGCGGCCTAAGCCGAGCATTCTCCTCAAGCAATCTGAAAAAGGGTAAAGGCTGGGATGCAAAGGATGTTCTCGATGTCTTGGCGCAGTGGATTGCCAACTCTGGCTCCCCGGGCGTGGCTGAGGCTCTGATTCTGAAGCTGACCTCGGTCGGCGTCGACTTGACGGGCTCGCAGCAGCAGAAGGGCGGCATTCTGAGCAGGAGGAGGAGCTTGGACGGCTTCGATGGTCGATCCCAGCTGCTACGGTCTGCGGTGGAGAGGAATTTGATGGACATGGTGAGGGTTTTGCTTCCTCATGCCGACTCTCTGGCCCTCGATGCGTCGCTTCCCGTTGCCATTCGCAGTGGCAACACGCAGATTGTTGAGAATCTGCTGAGATACGGCGCCAATGCATCACGATTGACCGATGCACAGGTTGCTTTTCGCCAAGCGTGTTCAATTCCTGGTCTGTCTGGTATTGTCAGTCTTGTGCTTCAGTCAGAGGGTCGACCTCCAGCAGCCTTGATATCAGACGCTATGATTGACGCCGCGCGGGCTGGTAACTTGCAAAGCGTCCTATATCTTAGCCGCTCGATAGCGGATGGAAATCATAAGCAGGCTGAGGCGTTGAGGCAGGCTGTTGATTTGGGACGCAGGGATATCGCGGTGGCCATCATCATGGGAAACCAGCCACCACAGCGACCAGGAGTAGATAATGCTTTCCAAGCTGCCTTCGAACATCCATCAATGAATCCGGACACAAAGTTAGAGTTCGCAGAACTGTTACTTTGCGCCGGGGCTGGAGGAGAATTCTTATCCCGAGCTCTCGAGCTGTCCTGTGAAACCCAGTTTTACGACATGGCCAACATGCTGGCCATGTATGGCGCCTCTATTGAGTCTAACGATGCTTCAATGCTCAAAGGTGCTATTGCTCGCGGGCAGCTGGATCTGGTGAATTCACTTCTGCATGATAAAACAGCGCTCAGCCCTCCCGCTGCATCGAGCTGCGTCTCGGCGATCCCAAAGCAGGCTGCAGCTGAAGTTCGCTATATGCTGCTGTGTCTTTTGCTTAAAAAGGGCGCCAACGGCGATGCTCTTAATCAGGCTCTTATAGACGCGGTTGAGGCTGGCGATGCAAACTCAACCGAGCTGCTTCTCAATCCTTATTTCACCACGGCACAAACAGACGGTGCCAAGCCTATGAACGGTGGACGCCACGCCGTAGCGTCTGTTGATTATCAAAATGGACGAGCGGTTTGTGCTGCTATTATCCAGTCAAACATTGAGCTGACACGGAAACTCTTGGCTGCACGTGCTTCGGCCAACACGCTGGCAACCGCCTTTCCACTTACAATGAGACTGTCCGGTGCAGATCGATACCATATCGCTGAAATCTTTCTCAAAAGGTCATTGCCGGCAGCAAGCTTACATGCTGCGCTTCAGGATGCTATCGGCGAAGATAGATCGAAGAGAGATGGGGCACTCATCAATCTGCTCCTACAACACGATGCCGATGTAAATTTCAACAAGGGGGCTGGGCTATCCTCTCTCATTGCACAAAAAGATGTGAATCTTCTAGTGCTGTTGTTGAAAAAGGCGTCTCCACAGACAGCAGCAGCAAGGACACACGACGTTATGCGAGTCGACGACCATAGAGCGAGGTTTGACATGATGACGTTGTTGTTTCAAGCGGGCGCTGCTTCTGGCGTCGTTGAAATTGCAACTTCCCTGCTGGAAACCTTGAGTGCGAAGCCTGTTGATATGTCGCTTCTCCAGCTGTTGCTTCAACAAGGCAATGCGGATGTGAACGCTTTTGATGGCGCAATAACGACCAAGGCCACTCAGAATCCTGATCCCAAGGTTTTGGAGTTCGTGATTAATCTGGGGAAGCCAGCGGGCAACACGATTACTAAAGCACTACAATGTCTTGCTTCAATTCCGCCATCTGAAGGGAAAACTTCCAAGTTACGAGTGCTGCTGCCAAAATCCGAAGGTAAAGAAGAATTAAACGGCATCCTTGCTCAGGAAGTACAGTTTCTTGCGCGAGATACGGGCCGGCAACAAGCGCCACTCACCACTCTGGAGATATTGCTAGAGGCAGGGGCCGACCCGAATGCGTATAAAGCAGCCTCTCTGTGCCATGCGGTTATGGGAGGCAAAATCCATATCGTCGATCTTTTATTTGGCCCTCAGTGCCGCTTGAACCAAGTTTCTCTGGGCTATGCGCTGCCTCACGCGCTGAGACTGCAAGATGCGATGAATAGGTTGACGTTGGCGAAAAGATTGGTTGAGGCTGGAGTCTCCCCACAGGAAGTAAACCGAGCATTGATACATGCAATCAAGACTTATCCCTCGGATTTTGGCTTGATACGAACCTTGGCAAGCAGAGCCGATACTGCAGATGGCGAAGCTTTGTCTCTTGCTATATCAAAAGAGTCCGTAGATGTGACGGATATTTTGCTCACAGCTGCCAATCACTCAATGGACAACAGAAGCTTGGCTTTAACTCGCGCAATGGAAATAAAAAATCGCCCCAACAGGAATACCTTGTGCCAGCGTCTTCTAGCCTATGAGATATCACCTACTGCGGCTTCGAATGCCCTTCTTGTTGCTGCTCGTGAGGGTGATGTCAAGCTTGGCGATATTCTCATGTCTCATGGCGCGAGTATGTCGCAGAACAACGGCCAAGCGGTTATAGAAGCATGTCGCGGAGGATCTGTCGAAGTTTTGAAAGTCCTATTGGGAACAGACATGAATGTGAATAATACGACTCTACAAGAAGGTTTCCAAGCAGCTACTGAGGTTGGGGACTTGAATAAACGAGCCATGATATTCGAGCAGATTCTCGGCAAAGGGTTCAGAGGCGAACTCGTTGATGCGCAGCTAGAATCAGCAGCAAGATACGGGGAAGATGGACAAGCCATGTTAAGGGTGCTGCTAGTTGCTGGAGCGGACCCAAATTTTGCCAACGGCGAGGCTGTCGTAGCGGCAACAAGAAGTGCTTTTATCAAGAACTTGGAGCTTCTTCTTGGGCTGTGGGGCAAAGGTGACAGTCAGGTAATACAGCCCTCCCCCCTTCTTCATGCCTTGATATTTTGACTTTGGCTGAACGTATGACCTTTGCAGAAGAAAGCATCTCCTCCTACACTTATCCGGGCGCTCAAAGCGTGCTGGAGCCTTAACCGCGACACACGATATCTCATAATTGAAGACCTGATGAAAGCGGGTCTTCCTGTTGCCGAGGATCTACATATTACACTGAATGATGCAGTCAATGAAGAAAACTCTGAGGATAGGCTAGTGAAGCTCTTATTAGACTATGGCGCTTCTCCTTTAGCCAACGGATGCAAGACTTTGGTCGACGCCGCGGAAAAAGCCCTTTCGTCGTCACTCTCCCTCTTGTTGGAAATTGATATTCCTCAGCATGATATTGACATGGCCTTTAGCAATTCCTTCAAGGCTGAAAAATTCGACGCTTGGTTTACACAATCTGGATTAGAGACGGTAAACATGCTTCTTGATAAAGGGGCCACGGGTGACGCTTTGAGTGAAGCGCTTGTTCAAGTCATGAAGAGCTCTGACAATCCAGAACTTACTAATCAGTTCTTCAACATCCTCACTGCTCATGATCCCGATGTTAATTATCAGCAGGGAGAGCCGCTGAGATTGGCTGCCTCTCAAGCAAACATCGACTGGACTCATAGACTTCTTGCTTGCCACCCATCCACGGAAACTCTCACGTTTGCTTTTCACTGTATATTTGATACTGAACTTACCCAGGACTTTGTTTTGGAACTTTTCCAAATGTTTGCGGATTATCACGAAGGAGATGTCCGTGTCGATGTGATGGCTACACGTGCTGGCCATATGCCGGTGCTGGGGAGAGCCATTTCGCAATATCCTCGCTCTTCAACCATTTTGACGACGTTGTTGGATGCAGGATACTACTATGATCAATCTATGCTCTATAAGCTTCATCCAGAAATTGAAGAGGAAGAAGAGATGACACTTCTTACATGGGCCATTGCACAGCCGCAAAAGAAAGTCAGTACTGCTCTGATTCAAATTTTGGTGGAACGCGGAGGTAAGTGAACAACGATACTATTTATTAACAGTAGTTGAATAACGCTGACATTCACTGCAGCCAAAGTGAATATTGGAACCAAGGTCTCAGGGACAACGCCCCTGATGCTCGCTGTGCGAGAGCGTCGCCCGGACATTGTAAAGACACTTCTACTTGAGGGGGCCGACGTCGATGCCATGGACTTTCTTGGGAGAACCCCAATGGCAATGGTTACACACCTGAGTGGTGAAGTTGCTATTCAAATGATGTCCAGTCTCCTTGCCGCAGACCCGTCAAAGGATGACGGGTCGCTGCATAATGCCGCTAGAGACCTCAACCTCCCAGCGGTCAAAGTTCTAATGGAAGCAGGTCATGACCCTGATTTTCCCAGCCCGCTTCACGACGGCCGCAGCGCTCTTGGAGAGGTTTGTTTACATGGGGCTGATGCTGGAGACATGACATCAGAACGAGAACGAAGGATGCAGAAAGTAATGACTTTTCTGGTGGATGCTGGGTCCGATTTATCTATCAAACTCGATGGCAAATCTATACTATATCTTTGCTTTGACTCGACAGATCCGGTGGCCACGACTCGCGCGCTATTGAAGAGTGGTATGTGGAAACACATCAACAAGCCGTCCAACCAGTATGCAGATGAAACATTTGTATATTCACCCACGACGTATGTTACCAAGTTTATGTCGTCACACGATGCCCACGATGAGCTCCTCTCAGTTCTTCGTGCCAGCCGCGCAACAGATGTATACTATGCCAAGGAAGGCGCACAGCCTGAAGGAGCAGTCGGGCTGCCAGAAGACATGGAGGTTCGAGAACGCATTCGAAAAGCTCGCTCGGAGCGGCTAGTTGAAGAATCACAGGACTTTGCCATGGCAATGGCTAGGAAGCGAGAAATCGCCTCCGTGGATCAACAGATACAGAGCCAGAGAGCAGAGATGGAGGACGCACGCCGCAGGAGGCTGCAATCTGAAGACCTTTCTTCCGTCCGAGCCAAGGCACAGCTTGAAGAGAGCCTCGCAAATGACGCCTTCAAGCGCCGCCTCGTTGAACAGCGAGCCGTAACGGAAGCTACGCTTGCAAGCTCACGAGCCCTCGCCGCATCCGACCTCGAGGCTGAAGAGGCGAGACAGCGCAAGGCGCTCGAGTGGGAGAATAAGCTCAACTCGGAGCGCGCGGGTAATGCGCGCGCGCTCATCGAGATGCGCATCGGCGAGAGGGAAGAGCTGGAGCGCATTGATGTGGCGTCTGAGTCGCGCATCCAGAGAAGACTGGAAGCGCAGAGGAGACTAGTTGAGAGTCAGGACAAGCTGGCGAGGAGATTGGGGGATGCGCCGACGGCACCGGGTGACCCTAGGAGACAGATTGGGTATGTGACGGAGCTGAATTAAAGACTTTCGAATAAGCAGGGGTGGAAACTGCTTTTTTGCATTCCGTTGGGCGTAGGGAATTTTTCTTGTTTTAAGATTCTTTACTTGTTTGGAGAAGCGAGCGTCTTTGGATTGTGATTATGAGTTTCATGAAGAGTTTGGTTTGATGTTCGATATACCTATTATTGCTGTTGGATCAATCCCATGGTTGCTTGTTGGCGATTTCCCATTTAATCTTTGCTTGAGCTTGAAATGCAGCTACTTTTATTCCATGTCTATCTGTGTTCATACATGACTGTTGACTAAATGCTTTACGAATTAATGCTTTTACCTACCCTTGACGATATCGCTTCTTGTGATAAGTGAAAAACGCATATCGCAGCTTTTAGGAACAGGATGGCCATTCATTAGCAAGATTCGTCACAGAACGTGATGGTGGTCAATTTATGCAATGCAAATTGTCATATAATAGCCATGGTCTAAGCAAGTTATTATATAATTAGTCCTACTCTATCTTATTCATAACCTAATAAATCATTCGCTCACTCAAAGCCATCAAGAGTCCATTTAGCAAGATCAATCACTTCAGCTTTTTCTCGTCATCTTGATAGAGTCTGCACCCGTCTCCACAACTCTAAACGCATCAGCGTTGGCATCGCCATCGCCTCTGGCTGCCTTCTCAAAGGCCTCGTCGCTCCTGTCACAGATTGTCTTTAGATCCTGATCACTTAGGATTCCGTCTCCGCCAGACGCCTCGTAGACTTGGCCATCCTTCAATAGCAAAGCTCGCAATGTTTCAGGATCCAAATCTTCCTCTTTCTCGTTGAGCTTTTGGCCCATTGTCTTAAATCCACCTTTGCGGATAACGAGTTTTTCCAATCGTCGCTTAGCATCCGCAGAGAGCAATAGCGATTCTTCGACGGTTCCCTTTGTGGCAAGGCGGTAGACAATGACTGGTCGTGTTTGACCGATGCGATGGGCTCGATCTTGGGCTTGCAGATCCTGCTGAGGGTTGAAATCACTGTCGAAAAGAATGACAGTGTCTGCCGATGCGAGGTTTATACCCTGGCCGCCCGCTCGAGTGGATAGCAAGAAAATCTTGTATTCTGGGTCGGTGTTGAACAATCGGATGCTCTCGCGTCTATCAGCTTGAGCAATGCTGCCATCAATACGGCATACCTTCCAGCCTCGCAACTCTGCACAATAATCTTCCAAAATGTCAAGCTGCGTCGTAAATTGCGAGAAAATAAGCACTTTGTGACCATTCTCGAAGAGATGGTTAAGAAGTCTGTCGAGAAGAAGCATTTTCCCTGATGCTGTGACAATTGTCTCATCAACGGGAGTGTTTGTGGCCACAGCCCATGGATTGTAGAAATTGTGTGGACTATTGCAAACAAGCCGCATCTGGGCCAGAGGATTTCCCAATTTCTTCCGGGAGATTTGCTTCTCTATTAGTTGGTTAGCATCCATACAATCATATGAATGAAAGAGGAAACATACTGGCCAATTCCAAGCTTTGAGCTAGTTCCTCGTCCTCAGGAGACAAAGACTCTGTGGAGTTGTCGTCTTCCTCCTCTTTGGCCACCTCATTGGCCAGCTTGGCTTCAAATTCATCGTCCGACATCTTTTCTTCGTCAGAATCGGCTTCTTTGTATGTTCGGTTAGTTTGTCGACGGCTCCGTACGCTTAGCGGCGTCGACTGTCGACTGGACTTGGCACTTTTAGTTTCCGATTTGATGGAAGTTGGGGGACTCTTCCGCTTCGATGATGGAGTTGAAACGGGGCTGGGTTTGGCATTCTTAGGAGGCCGTCCCGGCCCTCGTTTGCCCATCATAAGACTGAAAGCATTGGATGCGGGAGACGCTGGCCGATCTTGAAGTTTCTTCCTAGGGCTCTCTCGAACGGGCAGCGAAATTTGCTTATCATTACCACCACTCTTCTTGATCGTGGATCTTGTTCTTGACGAGGCGCGAGTCGATGCTTGAGTCGATGCTTGAGAGGTAGCCTTGCTCTTGATCATCTCTACCGCTTTATCCTCCAGATATGACCTAGTATCAATGTTTTTGTTGGAAAGCACATTGTACAAATCTGTCTGCTCTTTGGTCATGGGAGCAAACAAGACATATTCTCTTTTCTTGGGCAAATAGGCGGCGACATCTTGCTTGATTCGTCGCAATAGAAGTGGCTGCAGAATGAGATGGATTTTCTTGACCAAATCCTGCTTCATTTGATCCTCAATGAACTGCTGCGTTCCTTGTTCATCTTCTAGTTCCGAAAAGTCGAACCATGATTCGAAAGCTTCCCAGTTTGTGAAGATGTTTGGCAGCAAAAAATGCAGCAATGACCACAGTTCCTTGAGATTGTTCTGTAAAGGTGTGCCGGTGATTAGGAGACGAGTAGCTGATGAGAACTGACGGAGATGCTGAAATAATTTGGCGTCTGAGTTTTTCATACGATGACCTTCGTCCTGTTCCAAATGATTAGCCGCTAATCGTAGAGTTGGAGGAGAGCGAGAAGGAAGCGCTTACAATGATGATAAATTCCCAGTTAATCCGTGACAGGTTATGATGGTCGTTTATGACCATTTCGTATGATGTGCATACGACGGGGAATTTGGAAGTAGGCCGGCCAGACTTGAGATGGCTCATGATCTTCTTCTGAAAGATGTCCTCTCGCTGGGCCTTGTTCCCGTGGTACATGATGATTGGTATTGAGGGCACCCACTTGTGGAATTCGTCGATCCAATTTGACAGCGTGCTCAGAGGCGCCACGATCAAATGGGGGCCCAAGTAGTCTTCTTGTTCGCGCAAAAGCGCAATCAAGGCGATTGTCTGAATAGTTTTTCCTACATAGGGTCAGAAAGGGTTCACGTATTAATGAGGAGATGGAAGGGATGTGCCACTCACCCAGACCCATTTCATCAGCCAAGATTCCACTCATGCCTTGAGAACAGATCTCATACATCCATGTGAGACCCTCTAGCTGGTACTCTCTCATTGTACCACCGACCATGCATTTGGGCTGTGCGGCCATCTGCAAGTTATGCTCACCCAGCTTCTTCCCGTCTAAGCTGCTTCCAACCCGACCCAAAACTTGCGTCTTGTTGGTGAGAATGTCGCTAAAGGCAGCGCTCTTTTGCAATAACTCGTCAAGCTCTCGTGCCTTGGCCTCTCGTTCAGACTTTGTCTCGGCCTTCTTCTTCTTTCGCTGCTTGGTTAGGGCAGCACGGCGCTTCTCTTCCATTGCATTGTTTGAAGACCGTGCTCTCGCCTCTTCTTTGATGATGTCTTCATCGACGAGCCCAACATCGTTCTGGTCATCGAAGGGATCTGCAGGCGGCGAGCTCGGCGCGGTGGTGGGCGCCCTTGAGTTTGACATGACGGACTCGACTTCCGACGCTGAGGTATTGGCCATGGCGAATAATGACACAGAAGATGTTTCTTATATTTTCATTGACAAAAAGGAAAAGAGTTGATAGTATTGCAGACAGCAAAATCGTCCAGTGTCCAAGGCCAAATTCTGTCCGATGTAGCCGAGTAGCCAAGAATTCACGGGCAAGAAAGCCTCACACCAGAGAAGCACGCGTCAACGATACTTCAAAAAAAACTAAAGAGGAAGGAAAAAGAGATTGAGATGTGCGCTTATGCAGGAACAAAACGTGATCCAAAATTGAGGTGTGCAAGCATATACTGGATGAAAAGAAAGTGACCAATCGCACCGCAATCCCGATGCTCGATTCACTCACCGTTCCCTCAGATCGATCTCAAAAAGATGGGCGATTCGTGAAGGGCGGCAGCGACCGTGACGTAGAGAAAACGCGAAAGAGTAGCGGGATCACGTGCCGTTGCGCGTTAAGTGCATCTGCTCTGGTCTGCCTGTTCTTAACAATTTCGCGTTCAGCTCGACTGAGGCTGGTGAGGCGCCACAGCAGAGCATGCGCCACAGCAGAATCAAAACGAAGCTCTGCCCCTCCATCCCACCATCACCGACCCCGCTATAGAAGGAGAAAAAGAGAGCAGGATCCTACCTGTAAGCATGCAGTGGAGGTTTTCGGGATTATTCAAGGATGACTTTGAATGATTGGGCTCTGATTGGGCATCTGTCAGATTGTTATCAATGTAGGCAGTTCAAAGAAGGTAGTAGTAATCACTGTAGAACAAATATCCATGCCATTACTTGCAGCTTTGCCTGCAGCAAGTAAGAATTAAGCGCTAGTCGCGGGCATATTTTGCGTAGTGACTCAAAATTGTTCGACAACTCTCAACTCAACTCCACTCAACATATAAAAGCAAGACAAAAGAAGCCCGCACAACCGCACGGCTTCGTCTCACCCCGAAACGCAAAGCTGTTTCTGCGTCGCGCCCTCCGCTCCTTTCAGAGCATCCCCTCATTCCAGCACACCAGCATCCCGACTTCTCGCTTCAGCTTCAGCTCCTTCGCCGCAAGAATGTCCGCCCTCAGCTCCCAGAAATACACTCCCACCGAGGAGGCCGAGATCCAGCAGTGGCTCACCACCTCCGAGCGCCTCAAGTCCGCCGACAACAAGTCCGAGATCCTCGAGACGCTCAATGGCCACCTGTCCAGCCGCACCACCCTGCTCGGCAGCAAGCCCAGCAAGGCCGACGTCGCCATCTACGAGACCCTCGCTCCTATTGTCTCCAAGTGGACGCCCGAGGAGCGCACTGGCGAGAAGGGATACCCCAACATTGTGCGCCATGTTGATTTCGTCCAGAACGCTGCCGTCTTCGGCCTGGAGCTAAAGGACGAGCAAAAGGTCGCGGTTAACCAGGATGAGGTCTTGTATGTCAAGCCTCCTGTTGATGCCAAAGCCGAAAAGGAGCGCCTCAAGAAGGAGAAGGCCGCTGCTGCTGCCGGCACCGGAGGCAGCGAGGCCACTATCGCCGACCGCACCAAGAAAGCGGCAAAGGAGGTCGTGGACAAAGCTAAGGAGGTCGTTGGCGAGGCAAAGACTGCTGTGGCCGGCGGTGCTGGCGGCGACAAGCCCAAGAAGGAGAAGAAGGAGAAGGCTCCCAAGCCCCAAAAGGCTCCCGCTGCCGCCGCTCCTCTGTCCCCCAGTCTGATTGACCTTCGTGTCGGCCACATTCTCAAGGCCATCAACCACCCCGACGCCGACTCTCTCTTCGTCTCCACCATTGCCATGGGCGACCCCGCCGGCGAGGACACCACCGAGTACGAGGGCCAGATCTGCCGAACCGTTTGCTCTGGCCTCAACGGCCTCGTCCCCCTCGAGGAGATGCAGGGCCGCAAAGTCGTTGTCGTGGCCAACCTCAAGCCCGTCAAGATGCGCGGCATCAAGTCCTGCGCCATGGTCCTCGCCGCATCGCCCAAGCTCAAGGAGGGCGAGGTTGACGACCACAAGGGTCCCGTTGAGCTTGTCACTCCTCCTGAGGGCTCCAAGGCCGGTGAGCGAGTCTACTTTGAGGGATGGAAGGGCGAGCCTGAGGGTGTTTTGAACCCCAAGAAGAAGATTTGGGAGATGTTCCAGCCTGGATTCACTACTACTGACGGTCTTGAGGTTGCTTTTGACGCTAGTGTCGTTGAGCAGCTGGGCAAGAAGGAGGTTGGTAAGCTGGTTACGGAGAGTGGTGGTGTCTGCACAGTCAAGACTTTGACGGGTGCTGTTGTTCGGTAAATAGATTTATGTAGATGAAGTTGATACGATAAACAATACATGAATTACTGTACATGAATCGAGTCCATTGCAGCGAGTGGTAGTAATATGTTGATTTATTCGATTTGTTTTGTTTTCTGTTTTTATAATGTTTCTTTCATGGCTGGGCCATGGTGATGGGATGTTTTATGTACTTAGGTATAATGCATCCGCGAGCCACTCTCGTGATGCATTTATCTGTCCCCTTCATGAATCCTATTATACAAATATCTTGTATACAATGTCGCTTAAAAATGCCCACCCCTCTATCTTTCAAAACAAACTCCAGCCTTCAAGTTAAAAAAGAAATGAACTCCGTATAGATGCACACAATGTCAACGCCACTCCCTCCTTTGCCCTTTCCTCCGCGTTTTCACTTTTTTATTCCCATAACACCCTCATTTCATTATACATTGTCGCTGACCAAAAATAGTAGAGATACTCAGTAACACAGGCGCCTTTATGAGAAGAAGTACTTGCTTTCTCTCAAACGCTTAACATCGAAGTCACCCTTCTCGGGAACATTCGGGATAGTCAGCGGCAGCCAAACGGGAAGGGGCATCTTCTTCTGCTTGCGAGCAGAGGCCTTCGGTTTCGCAATGTGAGCCTCAAAGAACGATGTTTTCATGTCATCCATGAGTCGCTTAGTTAGCTCTAGCACTTCAGAAGACGTTTCAGATTGAGCCTCCATGTCTTCATCGACAACGTTGTTAGCCTCGTCTTCCGAAATGGCGCCCAAGCCAATGTCTTTGGCATCTTCGTGGATATCCATGTCGACCTCAGCGGCCATCATGTCTTCATATATCGAAGCAGGGGTGACGATTTGCTGAGCAGCCTCAAGGTCCCAGGGATTGCCAGAAAGCTTCAGCTGGTTACGCTTATGTTCGAGAAGAAGCTCTTCCTTTGGAGAAAGATTGCTCTTTTTGCGTAGTTCTTTGATCTTCTTAGCCACCGGGGTATCGGGGTCAATCTTTGCAAGGTAGATTGATCCTTGGTGGCGAGCTTCGAACTCAGCGCCCAATCGGCCTACCACATCCTCTTCGTGAATTCGGATGAAGGCCTCGCGCAAGACCTCATTCATAACGTCGATGTCTCCGGCATGTGTCCAGAAGGAATCGTGCACGGCGGCAAAGTCGAGTCCACGATCGTCGCATTCCAGTGCTGACAATAACATGTGACTAGCATCCAGCGAGTGGATGAAGTTAGGGGGGAAGCCTTGAAGCTGCTTCCGCCTATTAACGGGATCCGTCTGGTCGCTCATAGGGTAAATGACAGCCTGAAGACATGTCTTGATTTCTCGTGCTGTAGTCTTTCGATAAGGTTGGACGACAGGCATTTTGAGGGGTGTTGTCCAAACGACCGAGGACCGGAACTGCTGAACAAGGTCATCGAACTCGACCTTTTTCCCGGAAGACGGCTTTGCCTTGGATCTGGTGGAGCGAGGGGCGCTTCCCTCTCCCTCGCCGTATGAATCCACGATTTGCTGTAGCTGGGCTGGAGTCAGGGCGCGGCACACACGTCCTCCAATCTCTCCAAGCCAGTATTGAATGTTGTGAGCACCACGGAACATGGTCGCAAGAGCTTGAAAGACCTGTTTGGCGATATACGTCGACAGTAGTAAATTGGGAATGCCGCACTCTTTTCCTAGGTTAGGATACAAAGCGTCAATTTGCTTGCAGATTTGCTTCTTTGCTCCTGAGAATGTAACGCCGTAGACGTTTGTCATCACGGTCTGCTTGACAACTTTGCGAGTGATCTTTCCGTCTAGCGCTTTGGCAAATGGGTTCTCTGCCTCCAAGTCTTTGGCGATCGCTTCCTTCACTAGATTGGCCACGGCTGAATAAACATCGGCGGGCCTCTCTCCAGGCTCCAAGTTAACCTGCTTCGCTCCCCATGTGTCGCCGCCGAGAGCCGCATAGTGCTGAAGTCCATTGCATGTACCATCTTGGTGAACCGGAAGATTCGAGACAAATTTTGTTGGATCAGGGAGTTCGAGCGCAGCCTTCAGTTCGAAGCACGCAGAAAGACATTGCCACGGGTCTTCTCCCTTGAGCCACCATCGGCTGCCTTTCAGGGGATTAGTCGCCGAGTCGATGATACTAGCCACGTTATCGTTCGCAAAGGCCTCGCGCTCGTCGAAGCTAGCTTTATCCAGGCCATAGACGTTGGCGAGATGGATCTTCAGCCACCGCAAGCCTCTTGCGCCCAGTTCTTTGCCCTTGGCGAATTTGAGAATGGATCGCGCATGATCGGCACCCATATGATTAAGGTATGTTGGCATTGGATATGCTCGTCCTCGGTAGTCGACATTGTGTGGGAAGTATATCGTCTGGTTGCGGAATGCACGTGCAATTTCCAACTGTAGATTCATAAAACAGCGCTGAGAATGCAAACCGGATCGCTCGTTTTCAATCGCTTTGACGGCTCGAATCCAAGACTTTCGTGCTAGAGGGTCCGCTGAAGAATCTGGTTCCGGGGGAACGTCAAAGTGCGGATGCAGAGGTGGTATGTTTGCGATTTCCTCGCCACTGTTCCAGGCCTCCATCATAACATTCAGAGTATCCTTGTTAATCACCCATGCTGTTTTACCCAGCACATCTAGACCCTTGAATACTTGCTCCATATCTCCGCGTTTGATCGCTGCGGTACTGTACAGCTTTTGCTCGACATCGCCTGGTTTAACACGGACAAAGCTAGTCTTGCAATCCAGAAATCCGCCTTCAGTGAAGGTGGACCAAGGTTTAGGTTCAACCACCATGGGTAGATGTTTGGCAATGAAGTCGCCGACAGGTTCTCGCTTAAGCTGTTCAATCAAGTGATTGTTGAAAAACAAAGCTCCAACCTTTTTGCCTTTTCGGAGCATTGTCTGGTGGCTGAAAGCAGGTTGGTATTGGCTGATCAGCTCTTTGGATGTCGAGCCCTCCGCCACAACATTGATCTTGGCTGACTCTATCAGCATTTGTAGCAAAATCGAGCCGACCTGAGCCTTGATCTGCAGAGTCCAAGGGTTCTTGCTATTTTCCTCAAGGGTACGTTCCTGTTCCGCTGTATCAAGTAAGGGCGTCTTGGCGTCTTCGCTGGCTTCCGCCTTGTCTTTGGATTTATCTCCGACGAACTTGAGTTTGCGCTGCCGTCTAGCTTTTCTCTCAGCCAGTTCTTTCTGATACATCTCGGTATCTTCCTGAACAGCTTTCGCAATGTGGGTAATCAACCGGCTGATGGGAATACCCTTCTCGACACCTAGAACAGTTCCAATGTTGATGACAGAGAGAATTGTTACGGCTGCCAGACGCGCTGGGTCGCCCTGTTGGATAAACGGACCATAAATGCACCTTGTTAGATCCCAATCCGATTTTGACGTCTTTGCCTCGGATTGTTCAATCAGTCTCAACTCTTGTGCAATGCGGGTTTCCATGACGCTCATCCACGACGCCATGTTCTGTGACATGGAACCTTCTTTTGTAGATGGCGCCAAAGCTGTGCTAACACCCCGCTTCTGCAGAGTCTTGTTGTCAAGCCGCCATTTCTCAATAGCTGAGCTAATTGAATCTCTTTCTAGCTGAAGTTGAATATCCATTTGGTCAGAATGAGGAAGCTTCGAAATTTCAACGTCTTGTAGTCCCAATAAGAGTCCTAGGCCCCTTTTTAGTGTGTTCAGTCCCTCGCCTCGTTGTGGTGTTGGAATTAGCTCCGGGGCTGCTGTTGAATCTGTAGATTGGCTTAGGTCGGTAGCAAGAGCAGGTGAAGCTTCTGCCTCTTGAAGGTTCTCGGACATGAGAGTCATATCTTCCAAGCCTCCTTCATCTGCCGCAAAGTTGTACGTTGGGCAGATTTCAGTGATGACTGCAAGATCCTGATCGCTTAAGATTTCGTCCATGCTGAGGACTCGCAGTCCCGCTTCGTCTGGAGCCATGCCCATATATCGTTTCACGAGGCGGTCTAATCTGGTGCCTCGTTCGGAGAGTAGGGAAGCCTTTAGCATGCAGGCAATTGTTTCGGCCGTGTGTGGCAAGTTTTTGCTTCGAATCTGAAGCTCGTACCATTTATGGAGCTGCTCAGCTTGGCTTCGGTCGGGATTCGTTCGCATCTGACTGAGGGATGCTCTCAGATACTTGTTGTTGAGTATGATTTGCTCTTCGTCCGATATCGAACCCAGGGAGCTGAGACGCTTCAAAACTAGGGCAGCTCTTTCCAGCTTCCCCACTTTGATGCATGCATCAAACACCATGAACATGTCCTCTGGCTCTCCCGGGATGCCATATTTGTTCATCTTGGAGGCTGGCTTTGGAGGGCCAGGCTCAGGAATTGTCAGAGGAGAGGATGGGTTGAAGGGTCGAAGCTCGAATGGGGGTGGTGGCGCTTGGAAAGATGGTATTGATGGGTTTGGGATGTTGTTATATGGCATTCCCTCCAGCTTGAAGTCGTCAACAGCTGTGGCGAGGGTTCGCTCGTGAGAGCCGAAGCCAAGGTCCAACCCTCGACGCCATGGTCGCAAGTGCTTTGCCGTATCTCCTCGCGGGCTGAGAGTTGATATACAGGCCTGAAGAGCCGGGAGCCTTGAGGAGGTTCGAAGCGATCTTAAGGCAGTGGCATGATGTATTGAGGCACTACGGCCCGCGTGCCTCGGCAGCATTTTGATATGCAGGGATATCAATCGCACCGCCAGTGAAGACGGTCGAGATATACACAAGCAAAAGGGCAACTGGAGCAGAAACAAGCAACCCCCAGCATGTAAAGAAAACAGAGAGAAAACGGGCTGGCTAGGAACAAAATGTTCCTCCAGTATCGAGTTTGCACGATAAGAAGTTTCATAGTGCGCCACCCACCGAAGCTGCCAAAAAGATTTTCTCGCTCACATTGTCCGCCGCATATGATTGGCTGAATTGGCTAGATTGTCACGTGGAGATGGCGCTTTTGAGTGGCAGCCCCACCAACGCCACCGCGGGAGCTTTTCTGTAGAGCCAAGCGCTGCCGTATCCGGAAATTTCATTCGTGCAGCATCATCCTCGTCTTCAGCGGGCTTTAGGAGCAGAGATGATTACTCGCCCGGTGACTGCGGCGCTGGGGTGCTGCGGCTGTCGAAATGCCATCCTGAGGGCTGTTTCGTCTAGGCCACTGCCGGCCATTGGACAATCGGCGGCACGTGGGATGAGACCAGTGCCCGGCGCAATACTGCGAACTTTTCCGCCGAGCCAGCAGTTTGGCACCGCTGCGCAAAAAGGAAAAGACGCACAAGCGAGGCCAGATGTCGAGCAACAGATAATCGAGGAGGAAATCGAAGACGACGCTTTCGATGATGACGACCCTGAAAATCCGTGGTTTCTGGACATTGATCCGCCCAAACATGCTCCGCTCCAGCACATTGCATCGCTGCCAAAAGTGCCCGAAGGCGCTCCTCACCTTCTCGAGCCGATGATCAAATACATATACGAAGATATGGGATTGGATGACTTGACAATGCTGGATCTCCGCGATCTCGATCCACCTGCTGCGCTTGGCCCTAACCTCATCATGATTTTTGGGACTGCGCGAAGTGAAAGACATCTGCACGTTTCTGCAGGCCGTTTTGTACGATGGCTTCGACGGAACCACCAAGTGGGCGCTCGAGCAGACGGCTTGATTGGACCAGGAGAACTGAAGACGAAGCTCCGTCGACTGAGAAAAAAGGCAAAGATGCTCGGCACCAACACTACAATCTTGCCTGGCGCCGACAATGGCATCTCAACGGGATGGGTATGTGTCAATTTTGCGGCGCATGACCACGGAGTACAAGAGTCTTCAAATTTTGACGAAAGTGGACGGTTTTCAGGGTTTGGCGCTCCGTTGACGGGAACAACCGTTGTCGTTCAATGTATGACGGAGTCGAGGCGGAACGAACTTGACTTGGAAACGCTGTGGAGGGGCATATTGAAGCGGAATCTCGAGGAAATGCAGAGAGTGAAAGGAAAGACGTCATCAGACCCCTCAGAAATTGAGGCTTTGGTTTCTTCAAGGATCCAATTGCCCGACAACCCTGCCGCCCACCAGTGGCAGAAGCTGAAATTAGCTTCTCAGCAACAACGGCAGTTTTCAACCATGGCGCGACGCCTTCAAGCTCGTACTCAGCGTAGTGAGTCTCAGGCGACTGCAATTGATTCTGAAACTCTAGTAACAGAAGATCAGCCGGACACCCCTTCCTTTGATCTGAATACGCTGCGACGGCACATACACGACTTCCAGGTTGCTGGAACTCCTGTAAGCCGAGAAACTATTCAAAGTCTCATCTCCGCAGTATTTCATGCCCCGGCGGCTGGGGGAGAAACAGCGCCAGAGCGGCTAGCTCTTGTAGATCAGCTCAATCTGGTAGCTGAAGAGCGTGGAATTTCCGTCCTCTCTCAAGAGTGGTTGATTACGCTCATTGAGAGCATCGTCACTTCTCCGTCATACGGTGAAGAACTACAACGCGCGCTCACAAATATCGAATATCTTCTATCCAACAGAAAAGGAAATATCTTGAGTAATGAGCAAGTTTTGCGGCTCATGACGGCGTATGCGCATCAACTCGACTGGGACAGATTCTGGAACGCTTTCCGCATACCATCTCGATTCCAAACACCTCGATCGCCCGAACTCTATGAGTTTGCTTATCGTGTCTTGGCGTCCACTGGCGATAGAAAGCTATGCACCGATGCTCTGCGCTGGGTGTATCCTGAGATGCTCAAAGAAGAACCGAAAATCTGGCCGGTTGGGTCACTTTACATGTCATTGAAAGCATGCATACTAGTCGCGGACCCGGGCGCCGAGAGTTTGCTGTATCATCCTCCACCGCAAGACTCACTGGATGTTTTGGGCCAACGGCAGTTGATGCATCGAGAATTTCTGCGTGTCTTGAGAGAAGTTGAAAATCTGCGACACCATCACGCTGGAGAGCAGGCCCGAGCGCATAGAGCGGAGGCACTACGCAAAATGTCTGGAGGGGTGCCATCTAACGACCATTAGGATGACTTATGCATGTTGATTTAGAGGATATGTATCGTTTATGAGCATCAAGACTGGGACTATAAAAGGGAATGGGATAATGTAACAATAAAAATACTCTAAAGGGATTCATAGCTGTGCGATATTTAGGGCTCCCATTGAGTTTTCACGTTTTATACATGTACTATAGAATCACTTGTATATACTAAAATTTGACACACGGTTTATACGTATATTTAGGCATAGGAAGAAAACAAGACTTTCTATTCTACGTGCTCTATAGCTGTGGCTGAGACGCTTCATCAACGCTCTTCAATGCATCACGGAGCAATGGCGCGACCTGTTTCCTGCTCGCCGACAAATCCTTCTGTCTCCACGCCTTTCTCTTACCATCATCACCATCCAATAATCCATCTTTCCATGGTTCTAGCTGCAGTCCCTTTGCAATAGCCGGAAAATTATTTGCAGCTGCTACTCCTTTATCCGTCATTCCCCAAACCAGAAGATGACGCTGGAATTCCCCGCCTGGATTTGCCGTGGTCATGACGCTTGCCACGTCGAGTTCCCTTTCTTTCGCCCACGCGGCCAGTTCGTCGATGAAGATGCTGGGACTCTCGGCCTTTTCAATCAAGTAGTCGAAATCCTGGACGACGCAGCTGATGCCTAGCTTGAGGCCTGATTCTTCCCACTCTTTGTAGTCTTTGCGGAAAATGTCGTAGAAGCTGAGTTGTGCGATGTCTTCCTTTACGGTTGTGATTTCCTGGAAGAAATTGGTTTGACTGAATTGGCGAGACTGGATTTTTGTATGGAGATATTCCACTGCACTGATATCCTTTGGCTTTACTTTGTGCTCCTCCTTCAGGTCAAGTGTGTCTATGAGAATAGGCGCAAGAGCGAGCTTCGCAAGATTATCATCCTCAGCCACGGTGGCGTCTTCAGTCTCCAAAGAGGGTAACGCATCCCACGCAGCGCGAGATTCGTTAATGATGAGGCTCATGCAACTTCCGCAAGGCTCGATGAGACGAGGCTTGACATCAGGGCTGGTCACCCCTTCATCGGCGTGGTGGTCAATGCAGCCAATTACTCGGGATTGAAATTTCTGCAGCTTGCCTGTCAAGGCGTTGTGGTCCACGAGAAACCACCGCGTGTCTTCGGGTTTGAGATCAGGCAGCTCTGACAGCGTGAGAATGTCTGCGGGGGAGAGTCCAGAGCGCTCTAAGACGGCCGTCATCTCTGTTCGCAGGATGAGGTCAGACCTGGGGATGTTTGAGAGGGGGATGTGTAGGGCGTGCGGCGATGAGTTGGAGCGGAGATAGGCCAAAACTACAGCTGAGCAGAGAGAATCGAGATCTTTGAAATGATTAGCTGGCCGTTTATCTAAAACGAAGGAAGGGTGTGCTGTCGATACCTGCGGACTCATTCCCAATAACGAAGGTTAGAGGCCCTGATCTCTGAGCTGGGGGCGCCGTCAAGGCAGATCGGGCGGCAGCTAAGAAGCCTTTGAGAGGTTGTCTAGGAGGCATCTTATAGATAACTTAATAATGATTTTGTAGAAGCTGCTTGCGGTTATGTAGAGAAAGTAATAGCTGTATTGCTCAAGGTTTAATGGGGTAAAGCTTGGCTGCAACTGACCATGTTCCACATGCGTGTACTGTATGCGGGCCTAGCGGGGCACCACTTCTAAGGTACGCCTAAGACGGTAGCACATTGCACGGAATTGTAGTTGTGCAAGGGCAGATAGGTTATACATAGTTTTTCCTATATAAGAAACTTTCAGGACATAAAAGAAGGGAAAAGTTATTCAACATCCCAGTTCTGTTATCCAGTACTTCAGCCAGCATCTATACGTGCATGTAGGCTACCATTAAGTGCTGCATCTGCTATATCTGTACTGCTACTACATCTGCTACTGCTGCTACATCTGCTACTGCTGCTACATCTGCTACTGCTGTTACATCTGCTGCTGCTGCTATTTTTTGGCGTGTTTGGCAGTTATGAGATTCGGACATGTGACTTGCTGCCTCATTGAGCTATAGTTGGGCCGTTAGATAATGAAATTGGGGCGCTGGATAACTTCTCCCTAAAAGAAAGATGGCATAAGTTTTACCTACCAAGGGGTACTACCCTATGTACCTATTAGTTGTAGTTACCTATACGATTTCATTATACCGAGCTATATTAAGGGAAATATGATTGTCTAACAAGCTCCAGCCGTAGCGCAATAAACCAGTTAGTTTACATGAAACAATTTTCTGTCGTGAAATGAACCAAAAAATGGTAATAGTAATAAAATAGTTAGATGTAGTAGAAGTAGGTAGTTGATCCTCCTCCTTTTAGCCCTCCACCTACTCTTCCTCCTCCCTCTCCGCCTCTTTCTCTTCTTCTATTTCTCCGCTAGGAAATTTAACGATAGTGACTTGTAAAAGGCTATTTACATACGCTAATAGGGAGCCAGATGCTATTTCATGAGAATATTCATCGCTCGAACGTAGTTCTTCTGGAATCACGGACACCTTTTCTTGGCCGATATAAGCCCAGTGAGCTCCATCCTTATAATATAAGTGGTATCTCGGCTGCAGAGTCTTGTAATAATGCCCCCATGAAGACTCTTCGCGGACGAAAGTTCCGCAAAAAGCCTTAATACAACCCTCGGCTGCATCAGGTGATGATATATAGTACCAGCAGTAAGACCATCCATAGTTCCTAACTGCAATGCAAGCCAAGCAAAGACCGGTGGCAACTTCCCAGAGTTGTGCTTCATATCCTTTTGGTACCCTGTAGATGATCGCCATCACGGATGAATCAGATGAAAAGGAAAGGTTGCCTGCATGATTAGAATCAGAGGAGTTATAATGAAACGAAGAGGCGCACTGATCCGTGTGCCAATCCAAAACTTCCACCTCACACCTCCGTTTAAATTGCAAGGCAACATAATTTGAACGCGAAGAAATTATGGAATCGTTAAGATGCGGCGTCCACTCACCTTGGCACGTGTACTGATACACGCACTGGTCAGACTCCATGCAGTAGACCCATACACACGACCTATGCTTGTCTTGTAGAAAAAGGTGCTTTGAATCATCTGAAAATACTGCACTAATGCGTGTGCGGCGAACAAGTAGGCGACTGAACTTCCCAGTACTCATGTGCCAGACACAGACATCGCCTGGTGTTTTGGTGTCGCCATGTATGTACGCAACGATTTCCGAATCGGGCGAGAAGACTGCCTCACTCAACGCAGCGCCGTTGCCTTTGGACGTGTGAATGCCTTTTCCATTATTGATGCGCCAGACACGAATATCGCCTGTATTGCTATCGCCGCATGCTAGAAGCTTTGAATTGGGAGAGAAGACTGGTTCAAAATCTGAGGCAGGGTCATCGAAAACCAGTATGCACTTGCCGCTATCTACACTCCATATCTTGACGTTATGCTCTTCACTATCCATTACCGCGCAAAGTTTTAAATTTGGCGATGAGACCACATAAGATCTATTGCCAAAACGACTGAATGTATTCTTTACATCGGCCCTCCAAAGTCGAATTTCGTAATGAGACTGAGATGCGAGAACAAACGATGAAGTTGACCAATGAGGAGAAAAGGTGACAAGGCTTTCATTTGTTGAAGTTTGTAGTAGATTTTTCTCTTCTACAGTGCTCAACATACGTAGACGGAGAGTGGAAAGTAGTGAAATGATCATTGAATCGGGTGAGATATCAAAGTCATAAAAGTATTCATCGCGTTCTCTATCACATATATGGTACACCAATTTTGTACATGTTTCGATCCGAAAGACATCAATAACCTCGTCATTCATACGAACCAAGATCTGAGAATTTGGCGAAAATTTAGCTTTGGCTATTAGGTAGGTTTCGTTACAGCCAAGATGCATTTGGAACTTCTCGTCCAGGCGGTAAACTTGCTTTCCAGTTTGGGTACAGTAGATCCTGATGCTCGATTCGTCGATCAATGCTAAAAATGCAGAATCCAGTGAAAAGACTGATAGCATATGACATAATCCACTAACTTCAGCTTTATCCAATTGCCCAATCTCCAATAAGCAGTGGCCAGTTTTTGTTGACCAGATTTTAACTGAGCTTGTTACATTCGACGATGTGCGATTTGCTGACGCTACAAGATCCCCATTTTGTGACAAGGCAACTACCCGTTCTTGAAGGAAGTCGAATTTCCACTCTTGTCTGCCTTGTTTATACGCATAAGAGTATATGCGTGTCTTAAGTGGTAAGAAGCAAACCCTTATGCGACACCCGCTATCGATAGCCCATTCTTGCACAACACCGGTGCTAGATACTGAAACCAAGTTCTGTGAGTCTGGCGTAAACGCGACATAAAAGTTCAGATCATCGTCAGGACACTCGGTCTCGTATTGATTATCTGGATTTATCTCAATCACTCGCTTTAAGGCTCCTGAATCTGTTTTCCAAAGCGAAAATCGAGGTGAGTATATTTTCCCTGATAGAGATCCTAATAAAGTAGAATCAGGGGAAAAATACAGCGACCAAGAGTTATGATAATTGCTATCAGGCTCCATGCATTGTTTCAGAGACAGCCACCTTTGAGGTCTATTCATCAATGTAGGAGCATCTGAAAATGTGGTACGAATAGTCTGCTGAAATGTTTTGCAGATCAAACTATTCTTGTCGTCAAAGACCATGGATGAGTAGTAAAGCTGCAATGGCCACTTGCTCACAGTGTCTTTATATTGAAGAAGAAATCGGTACGCGTCGTCTGCAAATGCCTTGAGACAGCTTGTATCGCTTCTCTGTTTCGGGTCTGCCGTATCGCCAACTAGTCTCTTGATTTTGTAAACAGCATCTACCCCTTGCGGCGTAAGTTTGCGCAGCAGGGCTAAAGCTTCTAGCCAGCAAAGATATTTGTCTTTGAGAAACGTGTGAATGATTCCGTTGTTTTTGCAAAGCTCTTCAGACTCTGACTTTTCAAGTTCTGATTTGTTGGATTCACAACTGTGAACTAGATGTTCGACCCAGAAAACACAGCAATATGCTATGGGTGCTAAGGGATCAGGGCATGGGGGAGATAATTCCTTTATAACTGTATCGGGTGCCTTGAGATTATAAATATTGTATCTTAAAAGAGCGGATAGAGTATACAGCGACGCCTGAAACATCCTTGAGTGCTGTAACTTGATTCCTGAAGGAAATATAAAGTCAAAGGCGGTGTGCATCATAAAATCTTTCGCTGATTGGTGGATGAAGTAAATGGTATTTTCTCGTATAGATAAAAATGCACCACAATCTTTGACCATATCTTGTATATCGCGTATGCTGTGTATGTTGTCGCTATACTTCCATTGACACTTCACAAAGGTGAAAAGCTCTTCAAGAAGTAAGGGCCTCTTAGCTGTGGCAATAGTTGAAAGTATTATGGGATATGCTTCTTTGTCTTCTTGACCCAGTCTCTCGTAAGATTGTTGCATAATCAAGCTATAGAGGTTTTCTAGACCTTCTGGCATTTTGTTTAGTATATGCTTCACGTTCCGCTGGTCTGTGCTTTGTAGTTGCCCAACCACAAGGGAAACCCAGAGATATGTGCCATTTGCCTTGCTTTTCAGAATATTGGCTGTGTAAGCTCGAAGATCCTCGTTATGTTCCAGTGCCTCAATAGTGTGTATCGATCTGTTGATATATGCGTCAACCGAGTGGGAGACATAAGCAGCGTTTCCCCCTAGCTCAAGGCTTAGTCTTCGAGAAGGGTCAATTGACTGCAATCTCCGCTCTATATCTTTGGTATTTCGGCTCGAAATTAGCCACTTGACGCGAGGGCTCGTCTTGACGATTAGTTTTAGAAGTGACATGCAGTCGTGTTCACACTCATCAAGTGCATCAATAATACAAATAGGATCTGGAAGAGATGGTTCCTGAGTTACCATCTCAAATATGTCGCACAGAACCTCCCATGCGTTGGGTCCGCTAAGTTGGTCCATTTTGTCTTTAAACGTTTCGCAGACCTGTCCAAGAAGCTGTCTGCGTCGCTCGATGAAAAACCGTAATAAGCCTCCAACAACTGCCTTGGCAGTATTGATCCTGGAGTCTGTGGCCTGGCAGAAAAAATAACTGAAGTGGATTCCGGAAATGTTCTCCAAATTGTCGATGATGCCACAAAGAAGCATTGTCTTTCCTTTCCCAGGATCTCCCTTTATCCAGAAAACACCGCTCTCTTTACTATTGGTCCACTTGCTAAAGTCGTCATGCTTTAGAATCCAGCTAAAGGATTCGTAAAGCAAGGGGCCTTTGAGATCTAGGATTCGTTTTTTATCATAGAAGGGATCTGTTCGGCTGATCTTTTCGAGAAAAGAAGTCTCTAGGCTTGAGTAATCTGTGAAAGATGCTGGTTAGCCTTGTGTGTATACCAAAATATGATAAATCCCAAGTAACACATACCAGCGTTGTAATTGAAGTTACCCTGAAAAATTGCTGCATTGTCTCCAATGATATTTCCCGAGAGGTTATGAGAATCATCCATCTCTTCGATAGCTTGGGCAAATTATTGGGTTGTTAGGCGAAAATGTATAATGTTAAGGTAAGAGTTGAGTTGCAGCCCAAAGCCAAAAGCCATTACACTTACTAGGTACCTTGAACTTGTATATTGCGTCGGATGTAAACATCCAATTATATGTTAAGACTAGCATATGACTAAGCTCATGTAGGCGAGATTATTAGCTACAAACGAATGATTCGGGGTGTTCCTAAATACACGTAGTACATAGGTACATATAGATAGAAAATAAGGCTGCAGCCTAAACGGTGCCCGACCAAATCTAGGTAGCGTTGAGTTCTTTTGCAGTGTATAAGCTGGCGAGTTAGCTACCAATTCACTCGCTGCACCACATTCCTCCAATCAAAGTGCGAAGCCACATTCTTTGGAAATTTCCGTGAGCGAATTCGGCTAATGAAGTATGAGTTTATATATTAGTCACGTTGTCCTAGAGCAAAAGATTTAGGAATGCATACTTTAATATTGATCGTATCTTCGTGATCCAACACGTTAACTGGAACTTAACAAAGCAGTCAGCTTACAAATAAAAATGCTTATATAAATGAAACCATGAACCACATTAAAAGTTGCATCAGTAGCATCAGTAGCATCAGTAGCATCAGTAGCATCAGTAGCATCAGTAGCATCAGTAGCATCAGTAGCATCAGTAGCATCAGTAGCATCAGTAGCATCAGTAGCATCAGTAGCATCAGTAG